AGCCAACCCACAGGCTGGCCAGTAGCCAGCCAGTTAGCCAGCCCACAGGCCTACAGCAAGCCACAGGCTTACAGCCAGCAAGCCGCAGCCTGCCAGCCACAGTCAGCAAGCCCACAGCCTGCCGGCAGTAGCCAGCAAGCCCACAGCCTGCCAGCCGCAGCCAGCAAGCCCACAGTAATTAAGGTAAGAGGAGCCAACTTGGCTTAGGTATCAGCGAGCTATGTTGTGTTGCTATATTGTGAATAGGAAGAGAGCTGGAGAGACCACCCTCCAGGCCCCATTAGACTCTAGCCTCTGCTAGAAATCCCCTCCATGGCCCATTAGCCCTCAATTGTAGTTTCTACTGGGGCCTGGAGGCGACTGTTTCCAGCAGGGGATATCTAATGGACGCTGAGATGGCCTCTGTTAGAAAGACCCCCTTCCAAGCCTTTTAGACTCCATTGTAGTCTCTAATGGGGCTTGGAGGGGATTCTTTCTAACACACTCTCTAAAGGACACTGAGATAGCCTCCGCTAGAAAGACCCCCCTCCATGGCCCATTAGCCCTCAATTGTAGTCTCTACTGGGGCCTCGAAGGGCTTATTGCCCTTTTGTTCCTTGTGTCTAAAGATTGTGTAGGGTGTGGCTGGAGGCGGTGCATGGAGGCGGGACAAGGGTGGCGCTTGCTGCAGAGTATGGGTGGGGCCTGTAAGGGGGCCCTTGATTTATTTTGCCCGAGGGCCCTGAGGGTTCTCAGTCCGCCCCTGAAGGGACACTATAGTCACCTGAACAACTTTAGCTTAATGAAGCAGTTTTGGTGTATAGAACATGCCCCTGCAGCCTCACTGCTCAATCCTCTGCCATTTAGGAGTTAAATTCCTTTGTTTATGAACCCTAGTCACACCTCCCTGCATGTGACTTGCACAGCCTTCCATAAACACTTCCTGTAATGAGAGTCCTATTTAGTTCTGTTTAATTAAGATTTTCTTATCCCCTACTATGTTAATAGCTTGCTAGACCCTGCAAGAGCCTCCTGTATGTGATTAAAGTTCAATTTAGAGATTGAGATACAATTATTTAAGGTAAATTACATATGTTTGAAAGTGAAACCAGTTTTTTTTTCATGCAGGCTCTGTCAATCATAGCCAGGGGAGGTGTGGCTAGGGCTGCATAAACAGAAACAAAGTTATTTAACTCCTAAATGACAGTGAATTGAGCAGTGAAATTGCAGGGGAATGATCTATACACTAAAACTGCTTTATTTAGCTAAAGTAATTTAGGTGACTATAGTGTTCCTTTAAATCACCACACTGCGATAAGAATCTCACTTTTTATATGTAACTAAAGGGACCTTTCACAGATGATGATATAGTCAATATTTTATTGAAATTTATGGTAATGGATGGACAGTTGCGGTTCTTTGTTTCCACTTCCTTCTTATTTTAGACAGGCCGCTGACACAGCTCTGCAGCAATCCTGCCCTGCGCTCCGATGGCCGCGAGGAGTGGATGGAAGTTGCTGCTTCTCTCTCTGTGCTGCTGTCAGTGTTGGAGAAGCGGCAGCGCAGAGCTCGTAACGTCTGTCTCAGACGGGATCCCCTCTGTCTCTGTTTGTTTCCCTCATTCTCAACTTTGTCGCTGTTGTTTGAGTCACTCAGGTGTTCTACTATGTTCGCATTGGATGCTTCCTTCTCACTCTGAGCTGGAGTGTCAGGTTCTACATCCTCCATATTATCCTCACAGGTTTCTTCAACTTTGATTGTTTCATCTTGAGCCGGCTACCCGTGAAACAAAAACAAAATGTCAGAATGTATTCATTTAAAGGGAAACTATAGTGTTAGTGTTACATTGTATTTATAATGATATCGCTATATACAGAGGAATATAAAATAGAAAGCTGCTAAGAATGTATTTATTAAAACAGAATATTATACCTTTCCTGCTTTATGTCTATGTTCATGTTATAATTCTGATTATGAATAGTGATCCCCATCCTATATGCTGGAGGGGAACATTACATCCTCAGCTGCTGCAGGCGTGCAACTCCTATTATGCTTAGCCAGAATAATCTTCATGCCAATGACATGTCTCTAGCACCCAGGGATCTACATTTTTGGCCACCCATGATAATTGTATTAAAGACTACACTTAAATACTTTTATGTACCTATCAAAACAAACACATATTTTTTTTCTTTTTTAACATAACAGTATTGTGGGAAGCTGCCAAAATACACTTCTGTCTGCTTGGCACCCCAACCTGTTTTTAACAGGCATGTTGGGGATCATAAAGGGGAGAATCACTGAGGCTCCCCTCATTACACTAACGTTCAGCACAGGGAATGGGGGTTTGAAGACAGACGGCTTTGCTGCTAACCTTTGTGCCCTTAACTGCTAGTGGATAAGGGGAATGGGGGGATCATTGGCCAGAGTCTACTTATTAAACATATTAAAATAAAAAGCCTTAGTACTTTCACAGATAGGCACAAAGTAACAGTCATGATAAAATTAAAGATTGTTTTGGAACCAAATGTTTAATAAAAGTGTTTCGTTTTTTTAACTATGATTCACAATGTAATATATATTCACCTGACATTTGCAGACCTCCATGTCCTGAAGGCAGGTTTCTACACTGTAAAAAGCGAGTGAAGGACAGTGAGATTTAATTATATGAAACGGAAAAATATAATGTAGGAAAAAGGGAGTGAAAAACATTCTAAGAAATCAAAAAGTGAAAGTTGCTGAAAAATGGGAACAAATACCAAAGAGAAGAAAAAAAGACATAAAAGTAATAAAATTATTGAATGGACAGTGACCTATATCAGTAATAATACACAAATGAGGAATTACTGAATAAAACCTTCCTCCAAGGACAGATGAGTAAATAATTGTGCTGCAATTTAAAGTAAACCCCACTTTCACAATATTTGTTAAAAGAACACTCCAAGTACCAGTGGTTGCCCACGTGCCCCCAATGTAAGTAGACATGCTGTTTTAGAGTGATTTAACATCTTACCTGGGATCCCTTTAGCACCGCTCCCTACCTCCACTACAGCTCTCTGTCTTATTTATATATATAGATATAATTGTATTTAATATTTTTTGTAAGTTTTTTTTTTTCCTGTTTATTGACAGACCTAGAATGCTACCATTGATACTATGTTTTTTAACTATAGTAAATTCGGCCACCTCTAGTCCACTCCTGGTCCATACTAGATTTTTTTTCTCTCTCCTTTGAAGTATCATAGCTCACGAGAGACAGAAAAAAGCTTTCTATACTATTTATGAATGTAATTAATCACCCTACTCCCACATTGATACCAATTTTTCCACCATTTCCAAGCAACATTTCCAGTGAATGAAGAAAATGACTTACTATGGACTCTTTGAGAAGTGCTCGAGATGAGCCATGGTGATGAATGGATGGCTGAGAAGATCTATGGGAGTTATTCTCTTCTCTGGTTCTAGGGTAAGCATCTCCTTTATGAGATCAACACACTGCCACATGTCTCCCATCTCCACCATTATCCCACTCATCTCTGGCTCTGACTGTACATTTATCTGAAGAGAAAGAAGACGCGAATGAGATGATAATTTTTTTTTGTGAGGTTTACAATCATAACAATATCTAAAATTACAATTTTTTTCAGTGATTGCTTCTCATTGCTCTCTACCTCCTAACTTCTATAGTGTTCGGTAAATTTCCATCAAGCCAACGGCAACAATGCTTGGGATTCTAGACAGATCATTAAATTGAACAAAGAAATGAGTTACTTGCACACTATCCCAAATCCCTAAGCACATTCAATTAACTGGAGGTTTTTAGTATCACTCTGGTGGCCACTTGAGTGTAAGCTTGCCTGCCATGTCAAGGCAAACCTAACACATGAATCCTACACTAACAATTCACCTTGCTTCTTTCAGTTTCAGGTAAAAAATGTCATATAAGATCATTAGACTCATGTAACAAAATTGGTCATTCAAGACAGAGGTAACTCAAGGTAGAAGTGTGAAATATTGTTATTAAACAGGTACATTTTAAAAATAAATATCAAGACGGAAAGGGGTAATTTAAAAAAACTGTAGTACATATAAGCAGAGATTATGTAAATTTTAAAATGTGTTCCACCTATCCAAAATATCGTAGAGATTATCATAAAGTTGAGGGCAAGATGCTGTGTAACCTATTTTAGCTTGGTAGAAGAGCCCCAGGAATACAGTACCTTTGCCAAGTCATCAAGACAACTGAAGATATTTGTCCTTCTTTCTATCGGTTTAATACCAGTCTCCCATTCGTATCGGTCTTTAATCTAGAGAAGAGGACAAAAAGGATTCCTGATTAGTTTCTGGAAGGAGAAAATCATTCATTGTGGCATTCTCCAGTGTCCCAATGAGATTCCTGATAATGTAGGTACGAAACCATTAAACATGTCCTGCCATTAACTTACCCAGGAGTTTTCACAGAGTCAAAACAGTTAGTTTTTTTATTACCATGTTGTAGTTAATAAACTAAATGAAATAGGATGAATCTTGGAATGTTGCTTTAAACGCTTCATGGTAGATCATGAGCTGGGACATATTATAGGATTTGTTTAATCCTTTGTCCTGAAGGTTAAGCATGATAAGGTTATGGGCTCACCTTCAATCTCCATAAAGAATGCTGGTAATATCTTTGTCTTCTAAAGAAAAGATGGGTCTTTGTAGCCCTGTTGAGCATGTTTTCATCTGGTAAACCCTGGGTCTCGGTGATGTAGCGTATCTGCAGGGAGGAAGCAAGATGTCCATTTACTGGCATTAAAACCATAACATGCCCATAATCAGCAGCTTCTATGTTGCTGTATGAAGTCTAGAGTTTATTTATTTATTTTTAAAAATCAGAAAAGTTAGACTTTTCTTTGCCAGAGGGATAACCATTTGGCAATTTATTTCTAGCTCTGTTAAAATACAAATATTATCAACTTTAAAATCTGGAGTTTAATTAATAACCATATCTCAACATACAGGCTGACCTCAGTTGGGTTAGAGAACTCTTCCAAATTTTTACTTTGGCCTACATTTTGCAATTTTGTATCTTTAATTCACTAAAATTCCTTGTTTAGTGAATAAACCTCTTTAAGGAAAATTGGCCATTTCGTTTTACACTGCACTGACTACTGTCTGTACAATCAAATAAAACAGCTACACAATACCTTTCTACCCGAATTCATTCTGGTTTCCTGCCTGAGACGTTAATATATAATTAGACATAAATATCTGTTAGATTTGCACTCACCTGATCATACTCAGATGCTCCAGGATATAAAGTGCATCCTGTGAAGAGCTCCGCCACAATACACCCCAAAGACCACATGTCAATAGCCTCACAGAATGGATATCCCAATATAATTTCTGGAGACCTGCAATTTACAATAGGGGGAGATATAAGAAGGATAGACCTTGGTGAAGCTGTATAAAACATGCCCACTGTAAGAGAATGTGTAAAGATAGCTGGCTGATAAACTCCTCCAGAAGCCATAAACTGGTTCACTAATGTTGCTAAATATTTCATAAAAATAGTTGGACATTAATGTTAACCCGATCTGATTAACATTATTCTTTGGACTCATTTCATAAAAGTAGAGGGTATGTTTGTACTGACAAGCTCAACTGAAATGTAAATAATACCTAATGCATGTCTTACCTATAATATCTTGCTTGTATATAACTTGAACACCGAGCCTCGGACACATGGCGCGCACACCCAAAGTCTATCACCTTGACTTTTAATGGGTGCGTGAAATTGTCCACCAGCATGATGTTGTCTGGCTTCAAGTCTGAATGGATTATTCCAAGACTCTTGAGCTTTGCCAGTGCAGTGCCCACCTGTGTCACGATAGGGCGGATCATTCTCACAGGAAACGAGCCACCAATTGACACCATGTAGTCAAAGAGACTCATATCTAGCATCTCAAACACAAGGCAGATGATATTGTTGTAGAGGAAAAACTCAAAGGCTTTGATGACATTGAATTCATCTGGACGTTGCTTATTTAGCTGAGTCAGGATGTTTATCTCAGCTTGTGCTACTTCAGCGACATACTTGCGGCTCTTTAACATTTTGATGGCCACTTTCTCGCTGGTTCCTTTTTTAACACATTTTACGACTTGCCCAAAGGTGCCACTGCCCAAGAGTTCTTGCATTTCATAAGCATTAGTCTCCGAATACAGGACTTTTTCTTCCTCCAATTTACTAAGGGAAAAACGTGAAACAGGTTAATTTGAACCCAATGATAAGTTTCAGTCACAGTATAAAACCATCTAAATCAAACTTGGCAGGCTAATAATTTGATGATTTGTTCTGAAAACTCAATATTTAAATTTGTGCAACACCTTGCATTTCTGAAGTTTAATTAGTTCTGTCTGTTAATTTCAATATCCTCTCAGTTCCTAAAGGGGTCCGTATGCAAATTCCCTCCTATATAAACATTAAAATGGTCCTTTCACTTTCATACCTTTTAGTGTAATTAAAAGCGTTTATCAAAGTTGACAATTGTTTTAGAGAAATAAGGGATATGAATTAGAGACTATTTCACCTCAGCTGAATTGAGATTGTAATCTGTGGGGTAAAATCCAAATGGGGGGGTGGGGCCTCTTAAGCTACACTTAGAAGCTTCTGACCCAAACCAAACCCACGAGATACCCACGCAGCTGTGGCAGAGGTAGCGGATCCTGAGATCGGAGTTTCGAACCCCTTGGAGGATGTTCAAAGCTTTGAGGGCTGAAGCCTACTCAGAAATGGAGCGAGGTGGACGGCCACCACCAGGCCTCCCTTTCCAGCTGCCACACGCCGACTTCTCAAGTCGCTAGCCAGTCCCATTCCCCGCCCCCCCCCTTGGGCCTGGGGGTGGAGAGGGGGGGAGTCATCCCGGTCCCAACTAGGAAAGCTTGGGCTACGAGGAGCTTACGACACAAAGAACACCCAAGATAGATTAGGGAAGCGAGGCATGGGGTGGGGGGGCAGCCTAAATGAATAGTCAGCAAGGAGCAGGAAGGTAAAGTAAGAGAAGGAGCAGAAAGGAGAAGAAACAGAAATGAGCAGGAAGGGTCTGCAAGGAGCAGGGGCAGCAAGGAGCAGGAAATGTCTGCAAGGGGCAGGAAGGGTCTGCAATGAGCAGAAAGGGACAGAAGGAGCACAAAGGTAAAGGAGCAGAAAAAATCAGAAGGTGCACAAAGGTAAAGTAGGAGAAGGAGCACAAAGGGACAGCAAGGAGCACAAAGGTAAAGTAGAAGAAGGAGCAGAAAGGGTCTGCAAGGAGCAGAAAGGAATCAGAATCAGAAGGAGCAGAAGGGGGAGCACAATAAGCAGAAAGTAGCAGAAAGGTAAAGGAGCAGAAGGAGCCAAGGATAGAAGATGGTGTCAGAAGAAAAAGAAGACTGTCAAATGAAGGAGAAGAAAAGGAGATTGGAGCAGGAAGGACAAGTGAAGTGAACCCTCCACTTTATTCTGGACACCACATCATAAGGTTTTGGCACCTGGGCCTGGCAGGGAAACTCTGGACCTTCTCATCTCCCCAGGTAAAAAGAAATATCAGTGTTAATGTGTTCACTTTTATTTACTGAGTGTCAGGAAGCACAGAGAGCCGTTGGGTAGGGGTGTTGCTGATTGGCTAGAGTGGTCAGCTGGCACTCTAAGCCAATCAGTAGCTCCCCACTCATAAAAATGTAAAAATATTTTATGAACCAGGAACTAGCGATTGGCTTAGAGCGTCAACTGTCCACTCTAGCCAATCAGCGGCACCCATGCCTGACGTCAATCTGCACTTCCTGACATTCAGTTTCAGATGCCGAATACCACTGAGCGACCTGGAGCTGGAGGAAGCCTTTGGGGTTAAAATATTTGAGAGCGGTTTAACCCCTTAAAGGAAAGAGAGCACCCAGGGGCTTCCTGGCATCATGGCATTTTCATTTAGGTGAAGTTGTTATGGTGACCAAAATGTTCATTTAATTTACTTACAGGAACACTATAGTGTCAGGAATACAAACATGTATTCCTGACACCATAGTTGTGAAAACGCTATTCACCCTGGCTTTATGTGAAAATGACTATGCTCCTCCCCTTCATGACACTGTCAAAAAGTGGCCAAGCATGGATGTCATTACAATTATGCCCCCCCTGGAAAAATTCCTGCGGACGCCCATGACTATCACAGTGGTCTGCTCAGCTCCAGTGGTCTTTAAGCTACACTAGCTTTATCTTGCTGTAACCTATGTATACCAATCTTTGTGTACGGTTTTACTCAACTTGCATATGCCTACAGAACTAGGCTATACCTACCTATACTTAAGAGTCTCTACCCTCACATGCATGCTATAACCATCAAATATAGTTACTCTATCTTGCCTTAACTTACCCAGCATACTACTGTATATCAATCGGTTCTCCTGTATATCAATAAGGTGCAGCCTAATCCTGTCAAACTATCTAATACTACCTACATGACCAAGCTTGATGTTATTTTATCTTCTTAACTTTTTTTTTATATACAATATCTACATCTTAAACGTGTACCACTCTTGATCTTCTTTAAAAAAAAATGTGCACAGTTAACTCTAAATGCCTACACTGTTAAACTCAATGTTAACACTTGTCTTGCTTTTGCTGTTGTGGCATAGCGAGAATGCCTGTTACTCTCATGCACGTCAAAAATAAAGAATTTACATTTTTTTTTTTTTTTTTTTATCCAAATGATTAACTACAATCTATTGTAGCTATGACAATCAAATTCCACCAAAGTGGAGGTTTAACTGAATGGAGAGTAGTTTTTTCAGATAGTAAATTAACATTAATATAATTAACATGTCTTTGATAGCGACCAGCAAGGTTATAATGTCCAGGGTCATAATATAAGTAGTGGACATTGAACTGAAAAGAAACTTTGCAAAGTATCACTCAGTAATATTAACCTGTAGAACTGGAGGCACTAACACAGTCACACTCATTTTGTTACTGTCTGTCCTTTAAACTTTATATCATAGTCCAACTTTGCAGCTGTTTGGTCTGTTGCTAGGCAACGCCAGATGTGGGCAATGCTTAGCTATATTTTGGCTGAAACAACCAAATATTCCCAACCAAATGCCATTCAGCAAATAAATAAGAATAATTTGAATTAGTGAAATTACCACTTAAAATAATGATTATAACTCTGGTAGTATCCAGAAAGGTTGAGGTTATAAAGTCCAGGGTCGCAAGTTAAATATTGGACATTGAAATGGTAAATAACTTTACAATGTATCACCCAGTAATCCTAATTTGTTAAATTATATATAGCTAGACTGCCGTACAAATAGTTACCAAGGGATTTATCTTCGAACAAACTGATTACATTAGTAATAAATATATATAAAATAAACTATTTTTATATAAACCTACTGCAAGCCATTGTGTTGCTCCTCGGGTTCAGACATTTTGGAGTTATCCTCCATTTTAAATACTGCTTGTCTTTCAAATTGATCCAATGTGGTTATCACTGGAATAACTGTTAATCACTGCTTACTCAGCTCTGGATATAACAGATAATGAACCCCAGATACATCATAACTTTACATCATAGTCCCACTTGTTTTATATGTTTGGTTTGTTGCTAAGCAACGCCATTTATGAGGTAGATTTGAATGTTCATGCATGGTCATCTGGCAAGTATTGAGAGGTTCTGATGAGTCAATAATGCGTTGATATAGTCATACAATATATAACATTATGTTCATCTGATATGTATTTAAAGGGATACTGTAGTGGCAGGAATGCAAAGCTGTATTCCTGACACTACCGATCCCTCTGCCTTCCCCCTCCCTCACGCCCCCTCCTACTCAGTAAGTGAAGGGTTAAAAACCCTTTATTTACTTACCTTATCCCAGCGTCGATGTCCCTCGGCGCTGGTTCATAGCTCCACCCCCTTCCTCCGTCTTGCGATGAGCAGGGCGCATTAGACCACCCCATAGGAAAGCATTAAATCAATGCTTTCCTATGGGGCAAAATCTGATGCTGGAGGCCCTCATGCAGCGCGTGAGGATGTCCAGCGTCAGATAATGGACCAAAAGTCCGTTACAATTCTGGAAGTGCTCCCAGTGGCTGCCTGGTAGATAGCCACTAAGGGCAGACTTAGAGCTGTAATGTAAATATTGCAGTTTTTGTGGAAGTGCAATGTTTTACATTGCAGCACTAAGTGCAATAGGGACACTGCACCCAGACAACTTCAATTAGCTGCCTACAGTGTCCCTTTAAATACTGTAAAAAAAAAACATTTTTTTTTTTTTAAGAAAAGTAAGCAATGCCAATTATAGAGAGTACTGAGAAACAAAAAAAGTAAATAAAACAAAGATGCTGCTGATTGGCATACAGCGGTCAGCTGACACTCTCAGTTTATCAGTGACTCCTAATTCACAAAACGTACCTTTTCCAAGCCAGTATTGTGAATGGAGAGTCAATGATTGGCTGAGAGCATCAGCTGAGTACCTACTCAAATTCCTCTCAACATATATTTATCTTGAAAGACAAGTGCACTATTTTGGGGTTTTTGAAAGGTTTATATATCTCTGCATTAAAATAAGTAAAATCAGCTTTTTATTTAAAACCTAGTGCCATCTGGACATTTGTGAGCACTATATAATTTGGATAGAAATGGGATTGACCAATCATTGTAAAGCCAATGTTGTCTATGTCTGTAAAATGTGTACTTTTGCTATTCAACATCAGTGTAGGGACCTGTGTGCGTCAGCTTATTCACTAAACAACTAATTGCATGGCTTCACCTTGAATGCCAAAATGAAAAACAAAAATGTGTAGACTTCACTACTATTTGTTATTTAGCGAATCAATCCCCTTATGACTGTTGCCCAATTCTTTTTAGTCAGTTACACTGCATATGATTTATATTTTGTAGGTACTGAAAAAAATAATAAAATTAAGTTACAAAAGAAAAAGGACACAAACAAGACATATTGAACTAGAAATATTTATTAAATTTTTCAAATTTACAGATACAGACTGTCACCTGGCATAAATTTGAACAATGCATTAATGAAATAAAACATCAAAGCAGAGTAGCATAACAAAATCCTAGTATTTTATTAGTTAACTCTAGTATTTAACCAAAGATTTAGTATGCAGATACAAAATAAAATCATTCTAAAAGTGTGAAGCCCGCAGACATCAATAAAGATTAAAACAAAATAACTTTAAAAATGGCGGCGGAGAGCAAGTCCTGTTACAAAATACATATGCAAAACATAAAGGGTGGCTAAGCCAGCACATACGGCAATATCAAGAGCAGCTCTAAACTTTATGAGGCCTCAGGCGAAATTCAAACATGAGGCCCCACTAACACCAAACTGAAAAAAATAGAGTTGCAATACATGCACACATATACACATTGATGCACAGTCTACCTGTGTATGTGCCTGAGGGTGTGTGTCTGACAGAGAGTATCATTGTGTGTGTGAATGTATGTCTCTGTGAGCATGTTTGTGTTTTTGTCTGGGACCTTATGTGTATGGGGTAGCTGCTTGAAGTGTGTTGTGTGTATGGGGGTCTGCCTGTGGCCTTTGTGCATTGTGTTTATGGCACAGCTATGTTTCTTGACTGTGTGTGTATGATGAATGTCTTCAGATGGTGACTGTGACAAGGTGAGTAAAAGGGTACCAGTGGCAGGGAAAACGTGACAGGGTGAAGGGGGTAAAAGGGACAGGGTGGCAGGGTTGTGAGAGAGAACGAGGGAGATGGAGTATGACATGGTTTGAAAAGTGAGTGTGACAAGGCAAGTGGAGGTAAGTGTGTCAGGGCATTTGTGGCATGGTAGGAGGGATGAGTGTGACAGGATTAAGGGGCATTAATGTAACAGGGAGAGTGTGGCAGAGTTGACAGGATTAGATTAGGGTTGCACCTAAATTTTCAGCTGAAAATGGGCCTGTCCCATATCGGCCGAAAATTGGTCAAATCTGCCGAAAATTACATGTGCTGTCCTGCAGTTTGTCTTGGTGCACGTGGAGGCTGATGCAACGAGTGACCTAGTCCGTGGCTGCTTTCAACTGAATCAAAACAACGCCTTCCACCCTGGCTGTGTGAGGCACCATGGAAGCCGCGGGACTGAGCACCTGATCGCACCAAGCGAGGATCCCGCCCTCTTGCTGTTCTTCATGTTCAGCATGGCGAATCCCGCCCACCATGCTGAACGTGAAGAACAGCAAGAGGAGGAAGAACAGGGCAGTGGCGGCACCTGCAGGAGGGACGGCGGCCACACCGATCTGTGCAGGAGCCGCAGCCACAAACTCTGTAACCGGACGGTGTGCAGACAACAAGAATGGTAAGATTCGCCTCTGGGCTAGACAGGATTAACCTGGCATGTATTGACTGAGAGCCACTGACAGCCCCTGGCACAGCTGGATGGGGAGCACAGTCCGACGAGGGGCACAGCTCTCTGGCTGGATGGGGAGCAAAGTCCTATGGGGGCACATGTCTATGGGAGGATGGGGGCACAGCTCTCTGGCTGGATGGGGAGCACATTCCTATGCGGGCACAGTCCGATGGGGGGGGGGGGGCACATCGCTCTGGCTGAATATGGAGCACTATCCTATGGGGGGCACATGTCTATGGGTGGATGGAGGGCACAGTCCTATATGGGGCACATGTCTATGGGTGGATGAAGGGGCACAGCTCTCTGGCTGGGTGGATGGATTGGCTAACATCAGCCCAAGCAGGACTCACTGAGCTGTCAATCAAGCTTGTTTGACGTCACAGCTTGATGCCATACAAATACTTACCATTTTAAAATCATTTGGATAAAAAAGTAATTTTCGGTTTCGGTTTCTGGCCAATGGTATCCTGAATTTTCGGTTTCGCCCTGAATTTTCATTTTGGTGCATCCTGAGCGTAATAATGTGTGGGATATGGGTGATGGTGTGAGGGAGGGGGGACTAAATACCTTTTGTCATTCCCTGGTGGTCCGGTGGGGATATCCGGTCTGCAGACCATGTATCTTGCGAGGAGTTTGCAAGGGGCGCTGTATTAAACATTTGTGTTAAATGCATCGTTCACCTCCTCCCAACGTGCACATATACAACTCAGTACACTTTCTACAAATCAGTAGTGCATAATCCTGTAAGGAATTGGAAGCCCTTGTTAAATGTTTTCTATGTAAGTGATTTCTGAATGTGATTTGTTTTTATGTATGTGATCTCACCCTCTTTGAATTCTATGGTTTTACACATCAGGAAATAATAACAATCATCTGTCCCATAGCAGGTCTTAAAATTAGGTAAATACAACCACAGGTTTAAAAAAACAAAAACAAAAAAAAACACAAACATGGCATACTACAATGTGTCATGTTTAATTTAACAAAAATAAGGCACAAATAAAGACGCTAAAAAACAAAGTACACCTTATGATTCAACAGTTTGTAGAACCACCTTTAGCAGCAATAACTTGAAAACATTTTCTGTATGACTTTATTTTCTTTTTTTAACCATTTTGTTGTAGATTTGCTGGTGTGGTTGGGATTATATATATATATATATATATATATATGCGCACTTTGACCCAAACATACATCTATACTTGAGAAATCAAATCAATGGGATTGTCTCACCTATTGGAGCACGGATGCAGTTAAGCCATTTAAATTCTGGCTTGATCTAGTTAAATGGTAATCTGGTAGTGCAGGAGGTGTGTATACCTGGTATCATTGTAAATACTTCTCTGCTGTGGGCTCTTTATATTAAGGAAACCAGTAATATAATGAGGCTGAAATAAACCTTGACTACTGACAAACACCATAGTCAGCAACTAGCTCTTCCCAGTGAGAAAACAGTTTACGTGTTATCTTACAATATTAAATACCTTCCACCAATTATAGATTCCTCGCTCATGTTCCATTATAACTGCTTGCTATGCACAAACAGTTATGCACATTCAATGTCGGCATTCATATTATGGATCTCACAAGTTCATCAGTGATCTTACCATTGATTTATAAGGAGTCAAATTGACATTTTGATCACGTGAATCAATAACCCATTTTATACTAGTCTTTTCAATGGCAGACTGGCATTGCTTAGTGTATCTATAATTGTTCCCATGTCCTTTTCATTTACTGTACACATGGCTTGTGGGTTCGTTATCCCAAAATGCATGGCTTTGCATTTATATGTAGTGAATATTATGTGCCACATGCCTGCAGTGTGACTGTTTGCTATGCCAAGTTTGGCATTTAAAGAATAGACCTCAGGTATATTTTCAATACTTAACACGGTGTATTATTATTATTGCCATTTATATAGCGCCAACAGATGGTGTAACAGAATGTATCAACGTTACCAAGATTGTACTTTAATATGTACTTACTCCAGGCCTTTGGCTGTGTAGTATATCACCATTAGACACAAGAAATACAACAGACGTATTGTGTAGGCTAATAACATTTACCCTGTAACCAGTATTGTTCTATTGAAGTCAATTATTGCAGAACATTGTGAAAACATAACTTCTTAAACTTATGCCTTTACTTCTACACAGCTCAATATAAAAATCAAGACTGGCCATTTTTTTCCATGAAGTGAAAGTCTTGGGTGTTGTAAGCTGCTCTTGGATCTATAAATAGCAATATTAATTTAAATCAAGAAAAACAAATTCTACTTGAACTCGTGCAGAAGTATAGTTTTGTTGGGACTTATCATTAACCAACAGTACTATTTTTTTTATTTTATATGATGCAACAGCTGTGTAGCATTACCAATTATATTAGGGCATTAAAAATGTAGGCACTACTAATGCTAAATATTGACTGCATCCCACTGTGTAATACATTGGAGATTTTTAAACCAGAGCCAGGCTTAGAAAACACATCTGCAAAAGACACCTGGACACTAACAGTAAATAGAAATATGTATACCTCTAAGTTATTAGTGGTATTTCCCATCCTGAAGGAGAATTGTATTGCACACCTCAACAAAATGTTAATATTTGTGAATTTATAAAAAAAAAAAATAAAACACATTGAATAGGAGTCTAATAAGCTATAGAGCAGAGTACCTGCGCACACCCCATAAAAGTGGTTTTCCCTTGTGAGAAACCAACTGAGATTTTTGTATTATACCACATTGTGATTCCATTCAGATCCCCCAGTTCAGTAAGAGTTGGTACATAGGTACAAAGTGATTCCTCATTGGAGTCCCTTTCTGGCTCTAGCCGTTTTCGGTTTATATGTGAGCATAATAGGAGAAAAGTGGCCTCATTTGTAAGAAGTGCAGAATTATTTAGCTTGTGACATTATGCACATCCAGTAATCTTCCCACTGGATTAAGAGGTACAGAGATATCTACTTGTATTTTCATTCATGGTGCATAAGTTGTGGGTTGTAATTGCCCATTGAAGAATTAAATATTGTTCTCTTTTCTTTCTACAAGACCCAGCTTGAAGACACATTTAAAGTATTAGTTGTACCGACATCTATATTCACAGTATTAATGCTATGTACAGCAATCAAAAATGTAGGTTTGCAAGTTTAATTCCCATCTGATTGTTTAGCCTGGCAGTGAGTACTGTCATTCTCATTATTCACATTTCCCCATTTTCCCCTCAGTTCTACTTCATCCCATATTTACTGAAAGTTTATTTAAAAGTCAAGATGAGATTTAATTCAAGGCAACAGAGATTCATTATCTGTGCAGTTTTTGCTTGAGAGGAGCTCATATGACATTCGTAGTAACATCTTTGAAATGGCTGAATAACTTGGGCTCATCGTGAGGTTTGCACATTGAGGAAAAACATGATAGGCACCAGACATGTAGGCTGGCATACAGTGAATGGTCCGGTTATACCTTTACAGGAAACATTTCATTAGTTTACAGACGTTAGCTTGCTTGCGTTAAAAAAAAAAAAAAAGTTGTTAGAGCAATAGGCTGGTAGAACACCACAGAATGTATTTTTAACCCAGCAGCATTGCCGCTAAGAAATTGAAGTTTATATATGGCATATGGTGCGGCCAGAAAAATATTTTGTTATTTTAATTTGAAAAAAAAAGTGGCAACTAGCATCAATGTTCACCAATAATGGCCTAAACATTGTTCAAAAACAAGAGGATACTGAAGACTTGAGGGGAAGTCACACCTGTACAATGCCTGATGTGAATGTTACCAGAATGTAGTGGACTATGCAATTTGTTGTCTGATCAAAATGTATGAGTAAAACTTGAGCTAATTACACTGTGATACTCATCTTATATTTGTATCTTGCACAAGGGACATGACATAAAAGGGGGAAGACACTCTGGCTGCAGTTTAAAGAGGATTTATAAATCGATATGTAACTTTTATACGTTCTGAAAAAACCATCCATCCCAAAAGGGTGGCAATGTAGGGTACATTATGTTGCAATGTAGTTTTTAGCCCTCAAGCCCTGCGAGACACAAATTGCATAATTACAGAAATAGATAAAAATGTAAATCCATAGGAATCTAAACATTAGAAAAGAAATATACAGTGCAGTTAACCATCTATATACGCAGTTCTTGCTCATTCAATGGCAAGAACTGCATATAGTCTGATTCCATTACAATGTTGCAGCTTGCATATAGCAAACCACCTGTAACTGTTCCAAGTGATATGTGAACAAAATACATCATGTAACAGATATCCAATGTTGGTTCTGAAAGAAAATTATAACTTTTAATGTTAAGCATTGTACAAATCACTTTTATTGGTTAAGACAATTTTCTCACAAAAAGTTAAAACCAAGAAAAAATATATATATATATACTTTCACAAACACACGAAATACAGTGTGTCCAAATGTCAGATATAACCATAATAAAAGCAAGGCATCAAAAATGCCAAATGCATCACATTTTTTACATTTGATTCAACGCACAGCTTTGCAGCCATTAAGTACAATATACACAATCATAATGAACAATAAAAAACGCAGGACAGACATGCAGAAAAGGCCAGTGCTAAAGAAAGAAAAGGAGAAAAAAAACGTTGACAATACGAGACAAGAAGTATTGGATGAGTGACAATAACAAACAGCATGTGTCAAAACAGTTAATGATTAGGAGAATAGTGGTCTTTGGCGTTAGACAGCATACATTACATGTAGGTTTTTTGGTTTTGTCTTTTAAACTAAAAACCTTTGCTAAATAAATGTACACATTTTCTAAACGCCAGTGCATTATACAAGATCTAGACATATGACTATTTGAAAATTACAAATGTATTATTTACCCTCCAGTTGAGACATGGTTACAGGCCTAGAGCCTGGTGACTGACCAAAAGTACAAACCCGCAACTTACATATGCGCTCTTCATTTTCCACTGCGACTTACATATAGGCTATATCGCCTCTGATTACAGGACATTGCTTGGTAGTGACAGTGTCAAATCTCATCACAAGGACAAAAGTCTACTTCAAAGGCTCAAGATGTCTTATTTGGGCAACCTTGTAAATATTGAGACCTCATTAATCACAAACATTAAGATTGACAATGACTAGTGCTATGGCCATACATGAAGCCATTTAGCAGCAAGAGCCATACCAAATATATACAAAAGAATATTAGATCTTGATAGCACTAGTAATGCTACATTACAATTTACCCCAATGTGATTATAGTGTCACTGGGTGTCATATCCACAATAAGTAATCCTAGTGGTAGTTAAAGGTAGACACAAATTAATGGGATACTATAGTCACCAAAAGAACTTTGGTCTATGTCCCTGCAGTGTTGCTGATCAATTCTCTGCTATTTAGGAGTCAAATCACGGTATACGCAATCCTAGTAACACCACCCTGCATGTGACCTACAATCTTCCTAAACACTTCATGGAGAAAAAGATCTAATGTTTAAACTTTATTACAATGTTTTATTTGTATTTCTCCTATTCTTAACAGCCTGCTAGAACCTGCAGGAGCCTCTCGTGTGTGATTAAAAGTCAATTTACAGAGCAGGAGATACAAACTTCAAAGGTAAGTTAACATCTGATCAAAATTGAAATCAGTTCTTTATGCAGGTTGTGTGCATCACAGCCAGGGGACGTGTGGCTAGGGCTACCTAAACAAAAAGTGAGTTAACTCCTGAATAGTAGATACTTGAGCAGTGAGATTTCAGGGGCATGACCTATACACCAAAACAGCTCCATTAACTTAAAGCTGTTTGATACCTACAATATCTTTAAGTGGAGTACATCCAGGATTTTCCAAACCGATGAGTGCGGATTAATAGAACAATTTGACTATGACAACCCCATTATTTTTCCACAGATGCTGGAGAGATCAGAGGAAAAGCAGATGTACTTCATATACAAATCTAACGCCAGAAACAGTATTTAAGCAATTTCACACAAAGCAAAATGTAAAGTATCAGACATGATACAAAAAAATGCTCTAAACCATCCAACAAAACCTGTGTTGGCATGGAAAACTCATGAAATTAAAAGTTGAAGTCACAGCAGAAAAAAAACCATGGATAAAAATAGGTGGCAAAGCAGATGGGTAGCAGATAAGGTATTAGGATCAAGATGTCCACTACTTTGTACAAATAGATACACTCGCACACACACTTATTCAAATACACATTCAAAACACTAATGCAAACCCCATGCACACATCAAAGGACCATATTCATATACTAACAAAAAATGTACCATTGGCAAATACAAAAACCAGCAACTTGACACTATCTGAAGAATTATGGGCATACAACTACAAAAATCACAGTCTTAAGACATGTTGTATATTACTACCTCCTCTAAACCACCTGGGAGGTAGTGGAGGGATATGACTGGGTAAAACAATGTCAAATCTTATACTGTGTTTTAATCGATGGATGATGTGACCAAAAGTAAAAACTAAATATTTGCCTTTGGGAAAAACGATTTCTGGAAATTAATTTTGAAATTAGGGCTCTACCCTTTTCTTGAGACAAACATACTTGATTATACATATATGGCTTGGTAAAGCTAGTCTGTACAGAAGATGACAGCTTGGCACCTAAACTGCAAAGACATGGTCCCATGTGTTTGATTTTAAAACAAGATATTATATAATACTTATCTGAATAAATTGTTGACATGCATAGTTTTATGGAAAAAAACAAAACATGAGAAAATAAAAATTGACATCTTTTTGTGTTAAAACTTAAATGGGAATGTTGAAAAGAAAATGTAAGGCTCTATACCAAGAAATAAAAAATAAAAAAAAGATAAGACACTGAATATATATTTGGATATTCCCTGGTTTTGGATATGAAAATACTGATGGGACCGGTTAAATGTCAAAACAAACCTTTCAGATCAAATTGTAAAAATATCAAATTTATAAACCTCTTGGGAAACAATTAGAGCACCAATTTAGAAAAATAGATCTTTAGAATGTAATAACTAGATGCATTTTTTTTTTAAATTAAAAAGTCTATCTTTTCCCTCTTTTGTTTCCCGCTGGAGGCTTCTTAAGCTGAAGCAGCTGTCCTGTCCCAAACCCCGTAGATGAGGGGTTTGATACGCCGAAGGTTAAACCAGCTGATGCATTGATGCCAGGATTGCTGAAGTTAAATCCAGATGTAGATGAACTGCCAAAGCCTTAAAGGGATAAAATAAAATGTGACACCATTAATTTGAGTTATAAAAGTTTATACTGAAATTACTATACCTTCAGCTATACCTAAAACTCCGTAACCACATGCTATCGATTAACCTACACAGGAATGTGGCGTGTGTAATGTTTGTGCCCAAAGGTTTAGTGCCAAGAGTTAAGGGATAACAAAAGGTATTCTACCTAGAAAATATGTCCTGTTTAAGATTTTCTAAATCTATAAAATACTGGCAGCACAGCTTGTATTGGGTTTTGGTGCTGTGCAGCAACACATTTGGCTCCCATTTGCTTTCACATTGTTTAAAGGGACACTATAGACACCAAAACAACTAGCTTATTGGAGCTTTTTTGTATATAGATCATGACTGAATTTTCTCAATTCTCAGTCATTATGGAGTTAAAATCACTTTTGTTAATGTTCATGCTGCCCCAGCCACAGCTTCCCTTGCTGTGGCTGACAGCCTGCATGAAAACAAATTGGTTTTATTTTCAATCAGATGTAACTTTAGAAGGTTTTTATCCCCTGCTCTATAAATTTTACTTTACATACAGGGGGTCCTGCAGGATCTAGCAAGCTATTAACAGAGGAGGAGATAAATTCTATATTAAACAGAATTTGAAGTAAAGATTAAACATTAGATGACTCTTAACAGGAATTGTTTAGGAAGGCTGTGTAAATCACATGCAGGGAGGTGTGCCTTAGGCTGCATAAACAAAGTGATTTAACTCCAAAATGCCAGAGAATTGAGCAGTGAGACGACATAGGCATGACCTATACACAAAAACTGCTTCTTTAAGCTAAATGGGTTTTATTGACTATAATGACCCTCTAACTCAGCCTTTTCATAAATTAAACTATAAGCACATAGGAAAATAGCCATGTAGGGTTTATGGAATACACAAAGCACAGTGCTGTGGGAAGGAATAGAACAGGTTTCAAACACAGTAAAGGAATGTGAGGGTCATTTCAAGCATGAAGTGACAAACCATTTTAGGGTTACTGAGAATTCCATAGACCTCTTCTAATGGTAGATGATTAGAAGAGATAGAGGGGTTTTCTTGTTTCAGAAATATTTCACAAGACATGTGAACGAGATTAGAAAACTTAAATTAGTTTCAGCTACCTTAAGGTGAAAGTATGAACCCAACTGCATGAAATGAAATAATGTACAAGCTGTGAATCTAACAAATAACAAAATGTCAAAAGGTAATCACAAATCAATGGCCACTTATGCAAAGGAGATTTATGGCACGAACTGCAAAGCTTTTCAAATATATAAAAGATTTATATTACATGCAGATCATTTTAGACTAAGTGTTTATGATCAACCATATGGATTGTTTTCTGTATATTGATCCCAGAATTCCTCATATGCCCTAAAAGTGTCATTATAAACAGTACAAAGACGTATCAAAGGGAATAAGCCAGATTTGAAACTTGATAAGAAAAGAACAAATTCTCTGAATTTGTAAGAGTGCACACACATAAAACCAAATATTACAGTGAGCACAGCTCTCATAACTGCTTGCAAAGCCTCAAACATTTATATTCATGACACTTTTTCAATCATTAAAACTCAATATAAAAATAAGCAATATGTTTAAATTATGAAAAATGGCTCAATTGCCCTGTTTTAACTCATCGTAAATTTAAAATAAGACAGTATAGTCACAGTACATTGAAGCCAACATTGAAAATGAGTGAATCCAGTGCAAATCAGAATGAGGTAATGAATACAGTGGAGGATAAGATTCTTGCACAGAGGAGAAAAGTGGGGTAAGAGTGAAGGAGTCTCAAGGCTCTAGGACCTAATGAAAGACTGACCCACAGCGTATGTAGGTACTGTGATAGTGTAAGTCAGCATCGAGTGCACTGGAGGCAAAGGAAGTGAAAAACATGCAATGGACAAAAGGGGGCAAGCACAGTACACTGCCGTTTTAACTTCAGTCCTCCCATATAATAGACTGCTCATTTTGTTCATAATTGCTAAACCCTTTGCATTTAACACTGTATACATGGAGTAGATTTTTTTTAGGTTTAAAAACTGCCAAATGAACATGGCACAGGGAGTTGGCTAAACAGGTTCCACCCATCAAGTAACTAATATAAAATGTGTCCCCTTCCTCATGGTACAGGGTCTGCAGTATATTACACATCAACAGAAGTCCACTACTATGTAGCAGAGATGTACAGTTTTAGTCTAGAAACCTTGCTGTCTGTGTGTAAGCATTATTCTTCCAAACTTTTTATATATGCATTTATGACAATCTACATAAAATGCCTGCAAGTTGCTTACAAATACTTCTCTTTTCAGATTTATTTTACCATTTGAAAGCATGTCTACAGTAGTTGTGAGAACTACATTTAATTTTATATACACATCACAGCTTAACCTGCTGGATGTGTTCTTGTTGAAAGTACCAAGGGGGGTGGTGAGGGGTGTCTTCCTAATTTAAAAAGGAATGCATCAAATGTAGAACAAAGCATTTTGCTGTCCCTTTAAAGATAATTCCTTTCCCAAATCCATCTGACAGCTGGAGATATTTGAAAATAGACAGAGTAAGGGAAATCAGAAAGACACAGATTCATGCTAGTAAACATGGCATTGGAATAGGCTTTTGCTTAGTAAAACAGCTCAATTACAGAGTTGCCCCACAATATATACAATGCTTAAATAAATTGTTTTAGAAGAGAATTTCTTAATATCTTTTCAAACACTTAAATAATCACCCTTTTAAAAAACGGTTCCACACTTGGGAAGCTGCCCTAATTGTCCCCTATGGAACATTTTTTATCATATTAATTGGAAATATGACAGAGAAAGAGTTAATAAAATTTTTAATCATTTATGGTGTATGACTATATTTAGTTGCATCCAAGAACTTGCATTGTGTTCGCATTAAGTTGCGCATGAGGATTTAAATATATGAGGATTCTGCTCAAAGGAATATTTGTGAACTCTACAGATTGATACGGGACTGGTTTATTCTGTATTAAAAGGAAACCATCACTTCACTGGAAATAATACTGCAATAAAGTATTTAAAATGAGACAATTGGGTTAACTTTCTCATGTGATACTCTGACTTATGCTTTGATTTATTTTCAATGTACATTAAAGATTTCGTAATTGACACCAAAAACAATTGAGTCCTGGCAGAGTAATAGAATGGGGCAGCAATCAAAGCTTATAATGCTGACTGACAGGAAGCCAAGATGGAGGCATTCTGTTGCAGGGTAAAGGTAATACAGGAGTGTGGATTCCTACATTTAATTTTATTTTCAAACCTCATACACAATTCTATATATACAGGAAAAGTAAACATAAAAAATCCCAGAAAGTAACCGGTCCACTTTCACAGTGGTTTGTAGGCAGAAATGCCTTCTAGATGAACGTTAGCGAGTTACACATATCCTACTACAAACACTGTTATAAGGATACCCCCCAGATTCCCTTTGTATAGTAGCCAATTGGTTTGATCTAATCAATACAAACCTGCGCTCAAGCTTCCCGACGGCTTATTTGCGGTTCCAAAGCCAAATGTGGGAGCCCCAGAGGTGTTGCTTCCAAAAGCAGAACTACTTGCAAATCCTAGTGGGACAGTATCAGATAAAAATATATGTAACAAAACAAGCAAAATAAGTTCAGTTCAAATAAAATGCAATTTAGTAACCTAACCTGTAATATAGATATCTGCAACATAGTTACTATCGGTTTTAAGAGAAATTCCACTCATCCTACGTGATAAGTAGAATTGCTCTTTAATGATAAATTACAAAATCACTGTTTTGCAAAATGACATCAGTATGGATGGATCCCACAGACCAGAAGGAGGGGCTCCATTGAAACGCCTCCTGGTGTGGGAGCTAAAACAGCTATTTGGGCGAGAACCTTATACATTTATTTTTTTAATTTTATCTACATGGTTTTACAACAACTTCTCTTTTAATCTTTTTAACTTTGTAATTTGAGGTCTTTAGATGTAGAGGGGTACAGGTAAACTGAAAACAGGCAGAAAACAATGGAAAATATGATTGAGCATTGATAAACGCAAGGTAATACGTGAAAAGTAAAAAGGCAATAATGAAACCAATGACAAACTATGCCTACGGGCTAAACAAATGTGTGTAGAAGAAATATTTTGTGGTAGTATAAGAGCATATATGTCAATAAGCAGTTGCAAAAGCAAACAAAATATTAGACGAGAAAAAGGGGGAATAGATGCAAGAGCGGAGGATTATTTTGCTGCTATTTAAAGCACTAGACAAACTTCAGAACAGAACAAAGGAAACACTCATTACACAAATTGAGAAATAAGATGGACTAGTTTGTTATTTTAGTAAGAGCAGTTCAATCTTAATCCACAGATGGTCCCATGAATGCTACATAGGTCTAGAATGCCGTACTATGGTGGCCGTGATTAAATGGTCCAAGATGCATTTTAGGAAGTGTAAGGAACACTGTTTTAAACAAATGCTTCCTAAAGGAAAAGAGTTTAGAAACCGCTATCAAAACATAATACACGGTAAGCCATCTTCTAAATCAAAAGAGCACCAAGTGTTTCTATTTTAGAACACTAAACAATTCATGCCGAGAATATTCTGTAAAAGGTGGTAAATTCAGATGTTATTCCTTGCTGCCAATGGGAAAATGCTTTGGGGAAATTAGCCAATAATAAGGCTCACTGGACATACTGCAAGTCAAAGAACAAAAGTAGTATACATTATTTCTTTTAAAAAAAAAAAATTAAAAAAAATTGTATTGTTGCTTTAACTGCTTTAAAACCTGTTCTGTTGCTCTAAAGCAGGGGTTCTCAATCCAGTCCTCAAGGACCCCCTACAAGTCCAGGATTTAGGGATTACCTGGGTGTGCCTAAGGTGTTTAGAAAAAGAGGAAAAAATCTTGGACTCTTTTTTCCTCTTTTTCTAAACACCTTAGACACACCCAGGTAATTCCTAAATCCTGGGCTAGTAGGGGTCCTTGAGGACTGGGTTGAGAACCCCTGCTCTAAAGGATTCCAGTTCGATAGCACAGTCAAATGAAAGAGTGCAACTGACTCAAACACAACTTAAACAAAAAATACAGTTTCCACAGATAACGAGGGTTTAATTTTGTCAAATTTTTACTTTATTGGCATTCAAGTTATTAAAAGAATAAAAAAATCTTAAGGATCTAGAGATTTTTACCATTAAAAGGGACACTACAGGAACCCAGGCTGGGTGCCTTGTCCCCTTAACCCTGCAGCTAAACACATTGCAATTTTAGGTAAACTGCAATGTTTACATTGCAGAGACGAGACCGCCACTAGAGCTGCTTCCAGTTTAGCTCTGTGAAACGACACTGGACATCACGCATTGCATGAGGACACCCAGCGTCTGGAAAAACCTTATAGGAAAGCACTGATTCAATGCTTTCCTATGGGAAGGCCAAATGGGTGTGCGGCACTCGCATGCACATTAGGTTTCCCCCCCTCTATTCTCAGAGTAGCCAAGGAGCCAACGCTGATGTTTAACACTTTAAATGACAAATGGCGGAGAGGGGTTGCTTAGAGGCAGAGAGAGAAACACTAAAGTGTTGTGAATACAGCTTTGTATTCACAACACTGTAGCGTTCATTTAATTCCCCAAACTATTTATATAGTTAATTGATCAGCACCATTTTATTAAAAATAAATAAATCTAATTTTCGGGTTGTATTTTGAGAACTGAAGTCTATTTCGCCTCTGATCTTAATGCCACTTCAGGGCTGAAAAAAATAAATAAATCTGATAAATCTACAACAGTGACTACATACAGCATTTTAGTAACCTTACTAAAATTTAAAGTCAACCATGAACTAAATTTTGTGGCACAAAGTATTTTCATGTTAGAAAGTCCCATCAAACCATGTTAACGTTAGCCTTATGCCGCGGTCTCTCTCTTCCAAGAGGAAGTGGTTAAAAAAAAAAATAAAAATAAAAAATACAGGTGTACATTCACCAGAAACCATTTTGTGCCTCCTGTAAGCATTATATAGCATCTGGGTACATACACCACAAGTCTAGAAGTCTGTAGTGTATATTAAGTGTGCAAACCGTTTTCATGTTTACTCATTAACGAAATTACAAGCATCAGGTCTACTTTGCATTCTCCATAGAAAATGAATAGTTGAACTACATATCAAATAGTTTGAGGTAAGTACAGCAATCCCACTAAAACCCAATGGGAGGACAAGGATTAACTAAAAGGTAATATCCACTTCATGGACTACAGATGAGCTACAAACCTTACCGAATTGTAGCACACAATATATAGAATATGGTTTGTTTTTCCCCCACTTTTTTGCATTCTTTGTGATCAAAGAATATTTTGACAAATGCCAGAAACATTCAGCCAACCAATGAAAGCTGAAAACCTAAAATATTTTTCCGCCTTTCTTCCAAATTCAATTCACAGTTCGATAAATGGGTTAAATTATACACAAGTTGTGGATACTGTTCTATAACGATAACTTAAAGTGCGATCTCAAAAGCGCAATCCAAAAACTAAAAGTGCTAAACAAAAATCAAAAAAAATCATTCAAACCAGAAAGTGGGTATGAAACTTACATATACATAGAGTCAGAATAACACCCATGTTCTGCTGGGTGAGGGTTATACACAAGATACTTTTAGGATATCTAGTAAATGGATCCTCATTCAAGTAAAGGGGCTTGAGTAGTGCCCAATTCCTTGATTTTGTTGCACACTTCTGGGTTGCAACATTATATTCTCAGAGGATGAACACGCTTAAGTAACTGGATTTAGGATTAATATACCATATAGAGGGCATTTTTATCATTCTAAAGGACGATTGTGCTTGAAGATAATTGTCCACGTATTATGCAAGGTACCTGTGGGTGAGGTTTATAGGAAAGTAAGTGGTCTAACTCCAGATTACAAAACGCTATTAATGCATTGGTGTAAACAGATTTTACAGTTAACAGTAACACACAAGACAAACTTAAAGATGCAAAAAAGTTAAATAAATGACAGGACTTGCTGCAGAAATAAATTTACAAGAACAACCCTAGTTGGCCTTGCTTTCGTCTGGTTAAGTGTTCTGTGATGGCGTTATAATTTAAATTATGGTCCATGACCATAAAATTCACAAATCATAATGGAAGCCCCTTCTCTCCCCGTCTGCAATATAATGTAGACTTTCTGAAGGAACAAATATGACTTATAAAGCGCCAACAAATTCCACAGCACTGTACAACGGGTGCAGGTTTCTTGAACTCTATACAACTACTAGAACACATCTAAAGTACTCTTTCAGAAAACACATACTTCTCTAAATATAGCAATTTAGTGATTGATTTTATGCAGGTTTTATTTTTCTTATTTTAGGATTTATTCATGTTCATAGATCTAATTTAGGTTTTACAAAAGAAAGCAATTCAAAGCTTCTACATATTAATGCAATCCTGGTTTTAATAAGGAATATCCTACAGTGATAATGACTGGTATAACCGATAGGTGAAAGGTAAAAAGGATATCAGGCTGTACATGTAAGCAGACAGCACACACGTGAATTAGCTAAGCAGGAATGCAGGCAATAGGAGACATAATGAAAAATTATGTGACTGCATTAAACTTAAGGAATGTAACAATGTTCAAAATACCCCATTTAAAAATGAATAATTTATATGTATACCTTTATGACAAGTGGTTGGACAAACATGACATATGTAGCATAAAATATTATAAAAGGGACACTCCAGGCTGGAGTTAAGTCCTTTTCTATGCGTGTATATAAAATAAAATTGCACGTGAAGTTCCTTTGTTTACTAATTTGTCTTGCAGCTTCTGCATTGAGCACTCCTTAAACTAGAAAAGAACTCTGCAAATTACAATGCTTACAAAAGATTTGCACCAAGTGCAAAGAAACCCTTGTGGCTATAAAAAGGGGGAAAAAATATATAAATTACCCTGTATAAATAGGAAGTGTGAAGACTCCGCAATGTCTTCTAAACCATAGAACAATATAAAAAATGCACAACCTAAAAATATAAAAAGCAAAGGGAGACCGCAATAGTGTAGATAAAACACTAAAAATAAAAATTAAAAGTAAACTAAAATACACTCACAAACGTAGAGATAAAAAAGCAGAGTATAGAGAATCTCTTCAAGTGCTTGTTCTCTTCTATCCCAGAATGGAAGTTTGGGACAGGAACAAAACATGGTGTATAACTGTATGTGTAAAAGAATAACTTTATTTGGATACACTTACAGAATAAAAGTGGTAGAAAGGCTCATCAAATCCGTCGTCTTCCCAGTCAGGTATTATTGCCACATGCCCCTGACAAAGTCATTAAGACGAAACGCGTAGGGTGGCTGGATTACTACTATTTGATTGTTTTTTGTTTTTTTACTGTGGACTTTTTTCCATCTACCTCTTCTTCCAATTCTGATGGTTACTCTTTTTTCCTGACTGGGAAGACGTTGAGGGATTTGATGAGCCTTTCTACCACTTTTATTTTGTAAGTGTATCCAAATAAAGTTATTCTTTTACACAGTTATAAACTATGTTTTGTTCCTGTCCCAAACTTCCATTCTGGGATAGAAGAGAACAAGCACTTGAAGAGATTCTCTATACCCTGCCTTTTTATCTCTACGTTTTTGAGTGTATTTTAGTTTATTTTTTATTTTTAGTGTTTTATCTACACTGTTGCGGTCTCCCTTTGCTTTTTATATTTTTAGGTTGTGCATTTTTTATATTGTTTTAAATTACAATGCTTGCTGAATTTTTTTAAAAGCACTGCGGTGCTTTTCAATGGAAAAGCCCAGCTGAGCATGGTCTTATCAAAACACAAACCACCACTAGAAAGCATAGCCAAAGTTAACCTAACCATCATGCATAATTTGTAGGTGTGTTTAGCACGCCTTTAAGGGGTCATATCAGCTTTGCACATTTTTTCCTTTTCAAGTTTGTTTCTGCTATCAGAGTACAAAGACCAATTACCTCTTTCCTCCAGTGGCAAGCATGAAGGGAGTCTGCAAATCAGATTCTAATATCTTAATATCTTTCCCAAAAGGCTACTTTGTAATTTGTGCTGCTGGCATCACATTTTCCTACATATTTCTTCCAAGTCCAGAGATTTTGAAGTTTGTAGCACAGTTCCAAACACTACATATCTTAGTATGCATAATGCATTACTTTTATTATTTAATTTTTTATTTAGGTCACTAATCACCAGAAAAAACTACAACTTATTACACTCCGTCCCAGCAGTCACTTTTTTCCAGAGAAAAGGCAGTGTTTAAATTACAGGATACCTCCATTGGCCACGCCTCAGTTACTAGAGGTGCTTCCTGGGCCAGTGCTGCACACTATATCAACCCTCTGCATGAAGACACTAAACATTCCTCAGAGATGCAATTATTCAATACATCTCCGAGAGGTTGATTGGCCAGAGCTCTGTTTGGCTTGTGCTGGCTCTGCTCCTGATCTGCCTCCTTGATAAGCTCAGCCAACCCAAAGCTTTGTGATTGGCTTTGATCACCACTTCTGATGTCATCCAAGCAAGCAGATCAGGGGGAGACCCACAGCAGACTGGAATAAAGGTAAAATTTTACTATACTTAAGGGGACGGTCAGAGTGCTTTTACCACTATAGGGTCAGGAATAAATGTTGGTGTTCCTGATCTTATAGTGCTCCTTTAAACTATACTCCTGTTTGGGAAAGGTTTTTGTTAAGTCAAAATGGAGGTGGCTCAATACATCATATGCAATATAGAATATTTAAAAAAAAAACAAAAAAAAACACTACAACACCATGATGCCTTTGCTATGTAGTTGGAGAAATCACACAAAGTATATTTCTGGAGTAAAATAGGAAACTTTCAAAGATGCAAGGAACAAAAGGGTTTATAAAGAACAATTCTCCAAGACCACAAAAACAACTCTGTATAACTAAATTTAATGTAACCGACACACTGCACATATTAACGCCTGGAGTGCCCCTTTAAGAAGATTGAACCACTTCAAACAGTACTATATTTGTTTTATTTCGATTTTTAGACTTATTGGATGTCCAATATATATTTATACAATAAATTAGAATGTAGAAAATGTACCTCCAAGGCTTGAAGACCCCAAACCACTTGGCTGCTGCAAGGCAGTGTTCATGGCTGAGCCGAAGGGAGTTCCAAAACTAACTCCCAGAGGTGGCCGTGGCCCTAATATGAAAATAAAGTAAAAAATAAAAAGGAAACAAACCAAACAAAAAAAAAAAATAATAAAATACTTTCCTTACTCTCTGCAAAACATAAAAGAAACCCTTAAGACAGAAATGAGTTAATAGCATTTATGAGGAATCATTACGGGCCGGTATCCAAATGTCCCAAGTAAGTTTGAATACTCATGTTACAGATATTTAAAATATAAAGGTTATATAAATTGAAATTGTATCTGCAATCATTTGATGTAAATGTGTTTTAGAAAACTGAATCTAAGTAGATAAAAAACAAGACAATAGTGCATTTTGTATTCAATTTATTGATCAATTTTCAGCAAGTCAAATGGTAACATGACAATTCAAATGTGTTCACACAAAGTGATGGCTGGGAATCTGGAAGCACCCTGAAAAATGGCATGAAAAAAAGAAGAAAAGAAAAATCACAAGTATCATTTCTTTCCTTGGGCCAGTGCTTGAGAGACATTACCATACGGATTACCGCACGGAACCAGTCAAGGAAGAATCTGTAAAATTAATTCACTTCAGCTTGGAATTGCATTGATGCAACAGGAATGTGGAAGTGACCAATGTTGCAGCCATCTAAACATTTACAGTGTGAATGTACAGTGTATAAGATGAAATACTATGAAAGAAGAACTACAATCAAATGTAAAATGAGAAGAAATTCAAGATTTTGGCCCTGCCAAGGCCAAAAAGGCAGATGTGTAAAAAATGTAGACAATTGTGCCACACATTATATGAGCAGCGTTTACAAAAAGGAAAAACAGGATCGGCCTATAAGTCGCGCTGCAGTTCTGCTGGCACACAGATGGCTCATCAAGATTGCATATGATAATACACAACTGGCAAGCCAGAACTTAGTCACCACTATATTAGCAGAATGCATTGACTGGTATACATGCTCCACTACAAAGGCTGATGGGCTACCATCCTGAGAAAATAAAGCCCCATAAATACAGTGCAGTGCAGCTCTGGCATAGTGTCAAGACACTATAGTAATATGGTGGATAACGAGGTACACTCGCAATGTGAAAATACACCAGAAACCTATAAAAAATTGAGCTTAGTCTTCGAACACATCTGATTAGTGGGGCTCTCATATTTGCATTGAATATACACACAAATTAAATTATCAGTGTTTGGCAGAATAGAGTGCTCACAAATGTGATGTCCACGAAATTTGAAAGCTTATGAAAATTAACCAGGTCATAAATGAAATTATGTTAAAAAATAAAAATAAAAAAAAGTGGATACCTTTTGAACCCACAAAGAATGTACTTAAGGGGGTTTTCAAGTCTTATAGTATACTTGAAGGGGCATTGAGACAATTTTCCAAAAGAAGGATTTGTCATCAAGTGAATATCCTCTACATAACACGGACCCTTGTCCAAAACAAAGTAGAAGAACCACTAAATATAGAAGGCTTCTGATATTTAGACACTTTAAAACATTCTTAATGCAACAATTAAAGTGACACTATAGTCACCAAAACAATTTTAGCTGAATGAAGCAGTTTGTGTATAGATCATGCCCCTGCAGTCTCGCTGCTCAATTCTCTGCTGTTTAGGAGTTAAATCACTTTTGTTTCTGTTTATGCAGCCCTAGCCACACCTTTCCTGTGGCAGTGAAAGTCAAATGCAGGGAGGAGAGTCCAGGGCTGCATAAACAAAGTGATTTAACTCCCAATTGACAGAAGTGAGCAGTGAGACTGCAGGGACATGATCTATGCACCAAAACAGCTTCATTAAGCTAAAGTTGTTTTGGTGACTGTAGTGTCCCTTTAAGGAACCATAATAAATAAAACAATTTTAATCAAGAAAGCAATTTTAATAATCAAAAGCAATAATGAATTTACTTGTCTTAAAGACAACTTTTCAGAGTAATTAGTGAAGAAAAGTTTCAAATCAGCACCTTCAACTTTAATATATAAAAACACAAGAGGGCAAATCTCCTTTAAAGTCATCTTGATTTCAATATTAAATATCAAATTGCACACAAAAAAATAATCTGTAACAATACCAAGTCTGACTTGCTTCTACACCAAACATTTTTGCATTTTGTACCTATGAATGCAGAGTAGCAAATATCGTTTACAATTGTTTTAGTTCTTTGTAAATTTATCTGACATCCTCTATATGCTTAAAGAAAAACAAAACAGCTATTCAGGCGCTTATATTGTAATATAGCTATTAAATATGTAGCATAATTCATACACACGTGTGTTTGGAATTACGCTTCTGTGGTTAGGAAAGTATTTTAAGGGTTAAGGGATAACCAGGAATTCATTGGAAAGAACATTGTTATTAGAAATAATCAGCATGGGTTTATGAAACAAGTCATGTCAAACTGACCTACTTGTATTCTAAGAAGAAGTATAGATCAGAATCTAGAAAGTTGTCTAGATGAAAATTTTTGGCATAAAAGTAGAGTACAACAGAGTTGTCATTAATGGTAAATTTTCAAGCTGGAAAAAAGTGGTAAATGCGGCCCCTCAAAGTTTGTTCTGGCACCTCTTCTATTTAACTTCATAATAGATCTTTAACCCGTTAATGCTGTTACGGCGTTCTATGCCATCCCGCATTAAGTGGGCTTTAAAGCTGTTGCGGCGGCATAGGACGATGTAACGGCTTTGAGCCCCTGGAGGTCCGCGGTACTCACCTCCGCCGCGATCCTCTTCTGGAGGGCTGCCTGACAGCCCAGGCAGCCCTCCCCTGGCAAATCAGGCCCCGGGGGGCCATGTGATCACTCTCAAAGAGCGATCAGATGGGCCCCCTATAGCTGGCTGTGGAACTGCCAGTAGGGGGCTGTCTGAAATGTCAGACAGTCCCCCTGCTGGTGGGAAAGTAATAAAAAAAAAAAAATCTTAGACAGGTTTTAAAGTAAAATAGAAATATGTATGTATATATAAATATATATAGTATATATGTAACGTCATACAAAGTGTATTTTAATATTAATGTAAGTACATATATTAGTATTAAAATACACTTAGAATGACGTTATATATAATAGATATATACACATTATATATACACGTATAATTACAATAAAATATTGAAACAATTTAATATAAATTATATATTCATATGCAATTTCATTCTAACTGTATTTTGTTAATATATTGATAACAAAATGCTTAGAAAGACATTCTATATATCTATATATAATATATACACATATTACATAAAAGATTATATTAGTATACACGTAGAATTTAAATACCTATAAATGCATATATATTAAAATTCTACATGTATATTTAAGAAATCTTTTAACATAATTATGTGATTTTATTAATTAAAATTTGATTGACATGCCTGACAACAGGGAGGAAGTGCAGAGAATTTAATTTGCAAGCACTATATTTGACCCTGTAACACTCCAAGACACCATAAAACCTGTACATAGGGGGTACTGTTTTACTCGGGAGACTTGGCTGAACTCAAATATTAGTGTTTCAAATTGGTAAAATGTATTACGATGATATTTTAAGTAAAAGTGACTTTTTTGCATTTTTTACAAACAAACGGCACTTTTGTGGACTATATTATTGTTTTACTGTTTTAAAACACTAATATTTGTGTTCAGTGAAGTCTCCCAAGAATAACAGTAACCCCCATGTACAGGTTTTATGGTGTTTTGGAACGTTAGAGAGTCACATAAGGCTTGCATTTCATTTTTTTTACATTGAAATTCGCCAGATTGGTTATGTTGTCTATGAGAGCGTATGGTAGCCCAGGAATGAGAATTACCGTACCTCCATTTGCAAAAGTAGACCACCCAAGGTATTGCAAGTGGGGTATGTCCAGTCTTTCTTAGTAGCCACAAACACTGGCCAAATATTAGTTTTTTGCTTTTTTCACACAAAAACAAATATGAAAGCTAACTTTGGCCAGTGTTTGTGACTAAGTGGCTACTAAAAAAAGACTAAACATACCCCACTTTCAATACCATGGGTTGTCTACTTTTTCAAATTATATGCCATTATGGGGGTAATTCTCATTCCTGGGCTACCACACCGTCTCAAAGGTAACATTACTAATCTGGCAAATTTCAATTTGAAAATGAAACGTTCTATATTTGACCCTGTAACTTTCCAAAACACCATAAAACCTGTTAATGGGGGGTACTGTTGTACTTGTGAGACATCGCTGATTACAAATATGTGCATTTTTTTGCAGTAAAACTTAACAGTATTATGACATTCACAGCTAAAATGTCAGACGGAAATCCAATTTTTTTTTAATTTTTATTCATAATAAATTATGTTCCATATATGAATAGTTAATGATAAATTAAAGCCCTGTTTCTCCTGAACAAAATTATATATAATAAGTGTGGGTGCACTTAATGTGACAGCGGTGAATTACGGTTGAACAGATATAAAGCGCAAATTCCCGTTTTTGTTTACGTTTTGTTTTGATCAGAACGTGCACTATTGACTCCGTCCTGAAGGGATTAAATAAGCATTGCAAGTCATGTTTCAGTGTTTCAAGATGATAAACTCTAAAGTAATACAATGTGAGTAGGATATTACTTTGCTGTAGATGTATTTAGATAGATTGGGGGAATGGGCAATCAAATAGCAGATAAAGAATGCACAAGTAACTTGCACACTAAATGGTAGTGAACTAGGGATAACAAGAAGGATTTGGGAATTGTTATAGACAAGAAACTAGGCAACACTGAGGAATGTCAATCAGCAGTGGCTAAAGCCAGTAAGGTTTTTTTTTTTGGCAAGACGATTTTGTAGGAAAATGGGGGGCTTGAAAACTGGCATACAAGGAACAGTGTAATAATTGGGATTACGGATTTACTTATACTTGGATAAAACATTTGATTGTGCTAATCATTTAAATGGATACATTATTTTCAATGGATAAAAAAAATAATAAATCTGTTTTAAAGCCAAGTGTTGAAGTGTTGAAGAAATTGTATGTGATATTATAGGTGAGGATGAGGGGAGTCTTTTTGCTAGAAGTATGCATAGAAGGAAACTGGGGATATCCATTAATATCAAGAATCTGTTACAGTTCCCTACCATTCCAACTGATCTGGAAAAGCAACTGTTAACTTAAAATTAATAAGGCTGCACAACTGGGTAATTTGTCAATCATGGAGATTTTAATTATCTCGACACTGATTGGGCCAGATGGATTAGTGGTACAGTTAAACATGTTTTTGAACTTAATTCAAGTCTCATTTAGTAGAAGAGCCAACTAGAGGAGACACTTGTCTGGATGTTTCCTTTTTCCCCCAAAATTCAAGAGGGGGAGCACATTGGAAATCGTGACCATAACATTGAGGTTAACACAAAAATATGGTCTGTAAAAAAAACATTTTTAAGATGCTAGATTCAAAGGGATAAAGGCATCTTTACAATTGACTGGCTGGAAATGTTAAGGGATAACATCCATTAATTAAACAAATTTGCAGGAAGCATCATGGTTTTAAATTGAATTTGATGAAGAAGCTAGTAGAAATGTGGATTACTGTGTTCCAGTAGATGTGATCTACTTGGGTTTTGCTATGGCATCTGAGACAGTTCCACACGAAAGATTACCAATAAAACAAATCAGTTGCTTTAGGGGGGGGGGGGAATGTGTTCTTTGATAGAACATGGGCTTACATATAGAGTCAAGAAAGTAGTTTTAAATGGAACATTTTCAAATCAGACAAAAGTGGTCCATTGAGTGCCTCAGGGCTTCTGCCCTGGGTCCACTTCTCATTAATCTATAAATGATCTTGAAGTGGGCACTGAAAGTCATTTATTGGTGTTTGTAGATGAGACAAAACTAGGTTTGAAAATACAGTCTGAACTTGATATAACTTCTCTATCATATCAGAATATACAACAGACAAGCGGTCACTCATTGATACTGGAAAAAAGGAGTTTTTGCAAACAGCAGAGGAAAGTTCTTTACAGAAAGAACAATAAAGACGTTGCTTTATCAGATGCAATAGCCAAATAATTTTAGATATTAGGATAGAATTGATCTGTATAAACAGGTTGTTGACCAAAGGAGATATGGGATTGCCATTATGGAGTCGAGGATTTCTCTCTTTTGTGGCATAATTTGGAATGGCTAAAATGTTTTTTTGGTCTTTTGGATTAACAGCACAAAACAGGCTTTACTGTTGAACCTGAATAATTTAGACTTTTCTTCAACCTAGACAACTATGATTATAGCAGCCAAATGAATTAGTTAGGCAAACAAAATAAGGCAGAAGGCACAATAAAAAGAAAGCAAAAAAACACTACTTTAGATTAAAAAATAAAAAGGCGGGGGCGGGGCCTGATCCTCAAGCTGGCCAGACGTGCTTTCTATCAGCTCCGGCCAGCACAAGGCCTAAATGGGCTAAAACTGAACGGAACCGACTGTGAATCCATCGGCTGGGAGAGGCAGCCGATCTCCCGCTGCGGACTGCACACCCCACAGTGAACCACCTGAAGCCCAGTTACTACCCCCCCCCCTCCCCCTTTTGACCGGCGGGGGAGATCCCGGTCACCACAGGGAACATTCATCACGCCAATCAAGCTGCCGCAACCGCAGTCTCTGATAATCCTGAGACCACGTGGCTGAACAAAGATTGCCGACATGACTACTGTCCCAGGGAACCATGCAGACCCACGGTGCCCAGACTGGCTGGAAAGCATTGCGGACAGTTTTGACAGACTGCCAAGATTTTTGGACTTGCATAGAAAGCTGCTCACTAATTTCCACCTCACCCGTACAAACCCAGCGACAACCACTGAGGGCTCCCACCTCAACTCTGCTTGAACCTGCAAAACCCACAGTTCACTGCTTTACCTCAGCACCAAAATCTGGGAGGCAGAAAGTGAGGAAGCTGAGAGAGCGGCGGCCGCAGAAATGCTGCACCGGCGGCAGCCCTCACTTACCTAAGCCTCAGTCCAACCATGGCCTGAATCCCAGGGAAACAAGGACTCAGCGTGCATGGCAGGTCACTGGCGGCGGATGCCAAGACTACATCCAGGTAGTGGACCAGGACCGGAGGGCAGAGAGCACTGGGCCAGTGGGGTACCGCTATATGGGACTCTAGCAACAAAAATCTGCCGGGTTCACCGCAGTGTCAAATGGGCATAGGATGAGATGCACAAAATCCCGAGCCTAGGACTGGAGGTCCCTCACTCATTACCTACACTGGCTTGCTAGCATATTTGGGGCAACAGTTTTCTTATGATTTCCTATGTTTTCTTATGTCTTCTCTCTTCCAACCAACAGTGTTCCAGTCCGTAACAGTGGTACTATTTTTCCTGTTTTATATACCCATCTAACTATAGCCCTGTCTGAAAGGTTATGCCATAAAGGAAACGTAGTGTAAAGCCTCACACGCAGACTCATTTATATAGCATGTTTAGCCCGCTTAACACCTATGTCTACAATGTTATGCATGCCATTACTCATGATCCTTAAAATTCATTAACTATCTATATCTATCTATAACTATCTATATTGTTTTACGCTTACAAAAAAAGACAAAAAAAACCCATTAAAAACAGTGCTGTTAATGATCGCCACGATATTGTATAATATGTATTATTTCACTGGCTAGTACCTGCTTTCCTGGCGATACAAGCTTGTTTGTTCAATCTAAGCACTGCAAAAATAAAGACTGTAAAAAAAAAATTAAAAAAAAATAGAGGCAAAAAATGTTCAACCCTAAATGTTTTGTAACATTCACAAAAAAAGTTTTGTAACATTCCAGCGCAATTATTTCTCAGCTTTGTCTACAGAGAATTGCAGGTCACCTTTTCCCAGCTATCACAGGGAAGCAATTTACCAAATTAACAGCAGCCTCTGAATCACCATATATTTTCTCTGTGCACTCTGCATTTTGTTCAGTGATGCCGTAGGATTTTAAATGAATTGAATTAAATAAATTAGAACAGCCATTTGGGCTGGGGAGAAACATCTGATGCAACAGTTCCTCTTTAGTAGCTTTAAGTGTGCATCTTTCTCAAGCGGTTTTGAATGGAGAGTTACTAACTGGCTGACCAAGCTAGTCCTATTAGTGGTGCCCCAGCCTGGTAGCTCTCCCAGGCTTCCATCCCAAAAGATTGAGAAAGCAGATATGGAGAAGCAGCGCTCTATTTCTCATCTATAATATACATCCCAGAAGCAAATAAAAGAAACATTAAAACTTGTGTAAGTTATATCAAAGGCTTACTTGTGGATCCTGTTCCTTAAAAAGAGTCATTACAAACATACATGATCTTTCATGTACCATGAATTTGGCCTGAAGGCTCTTAAAAATGCATAAAACTATTTAAAAAAAAAAAACCACAAACTAAAACGCTGTACTAAGGAAGACCCGTCTAAACTCAAGGAGTACTAACTGAAGGACTGATCAGACTTTCAGGAACTAATGGATTCAAAGAAAAATGTAGTAGTTCTACTCAAAAACAAACAAAAAAAAAAAAAATCACATGCGCAACGCACATGACGCCAGTTGGCAGAGGTAGTTTGCCTTTGTTACAAGTCTGCTTCCTAAAAGACAAAAAAAAAATTTTTATATGCACACACGACAACTCCTCCCACCCATAACTCCCCCAACCACTCGTTACAGGGAAAAAAATATTCAGTTCAAAAGTCAAAGCTGTACGAGCCATAACACAAGTTAAGATGTTTCAGCTTTCATGTAAGTCACATGCTTGTTCTTTAAAAGTAGTTTTTGCTGCATTATTAGGATTTGTAAGCCATGTACTAAGCACTCTTTCACAATGTTTTAGTCGAGAAAGCTTAAGCGCATTTTTTTTAGAATACCAATTATATTGTAATCGCCACATTTAAATTGAAATGTCAGCCTTAACGCCAAGAATACAATCTATCACACACTTCACATTTGCTGGGTAACGTGACCAGATATTTACGCAAATCTAAGACAAGAATATTCAGTTTTCAGTAATATTTAAATAGATTTGTGCATGAAAGTTGCACTTAATTACAATCACTTAAATTGAGTTGTAAACAAGAGAAAGGATTTCGCCATGTTTTGCACAGTTCATCAAGTGCAGCACAAAAGCCATCCTTTTCACCTATGATGCAAAAAAGGTATGTAAAAATGTATGAAACTAAATAAGAGACATACCCTATAAATTAGTGGATCCCAATACTGATTATAAACTTAACATTTTGCCACACACAATGAGATGTACAAATATAAATATGTTAGTGAGGTTTCCATAACTCACTATTCAAAGAACATGCAATTTGTCCAGAGAGGAAAATATTGCAACTCTTAATTAAATAAATCAAAATGAAATAATTTAGAGTAAATTCGCATATACTTTTAAATTTGAGGCTAGTGCAGTGCTTACCTTATATGTATTATAATGTACAAAATGGCAAAGTGGAGAATTTTGAACACTTCTCTAAATACCAAATGAGCAGGTCATTAACAACTGCCTATTTAACCTTTTAACCATGTGATGCTCCATGTCCATTTAAGGCAGCTCTGTCACCCCCAAAAATTTGCATTTCAGAAAAATAAATTCTTTATGAGATACTCACATTAGAGGTGTTGGAATTTCACTCCAGTGATCTCCACAATGACTAGCCAACTTGACGTACTTTGCAACATTTTTCAGAACACACTTTGATAGATCTCCTGCGTTCGCAGTTTTTAGGCCACTAATCTGCAGTTGCCTGACCACAGAGTATCCCTGCCTCCACAGAGATATTTGGTGCAAGATGTTGGGAAATCTGGATGCAGTGACAACTGCAAATACCTTCAATGAAAGGCTAGAGCTTATTACAATAACTGACAAGGAACCAAAATGGAGGCACTTCATTCTAGCATAGAAAAACCACAATGGTGTGGATTTTTACATTTTCTTCATTTCACATTTGTTTAAATATAAGGAAGAAGGAAAGCTCCCCTTTAAAGTAAAATTTGAGGTCCCTTGCAAGCAATAACCACATATTTTCCTCAATAACGCCCATTTGGTATTGTAACTTTTGTAACCCTGATGCTTCTAAACTAGATATTCTATAGTCCCCCTCGTAGGGCCATTGAGGTAATAATGCCTGATACACGGTCTTACACAGCCTGCAAAGTACACCAAGCAAATTGCCGTTTGAACAAAAACAGCTAGAGATTTCTCCTCCGTGACCTGCTTGGTACAGGTACTTTTAATATAAAACTCAAACTTGCCGTCAAAAGAGGCTACCCAGTCAATATAGTTTTATACAGTTTAGTACTTTAAAAGAAATACCTAAATATAAAACCTCATTATGGCATATAAGCCCTGCCATACTTTCTCCAATGCCTTCGGCACAAGACTAGTTTACAAATATAGGTACTTGGTTGGTTTGCCTGCTTATTGCTGGGTGTCTGGGCAGTCAAGTCTTTGCACAAAGGGGAGCAGCGTTAAGTCCCACATTCCTTCAACACCAACATTGCTTTTGTCCAGTTTAGGGGCAGCCCCATACACAATTGGGTATGTCACATTCAATTTCAAGGTTATCAAGGTTACTTAACCACCATCTTTATCCATATAGGACAAAAATAGCATGTGTCTAAAAACATTCCCTTGTATATACCTAACACACACTCCTACTGGATTCAGGTGTAGTATAGAACACTGGGTAAATTTGTAGTGTAATTTGTAATCAGGGATGGAATAAAAATATAATTTTTGAATATCAAGTAAGCAAGTGTAACTCAACCAGATGTTACATTTTATGGGTTGTGTCTTTTTTTTGGGGGGGTGGGGGGGGGGTTCTCACTGACAGCCTGCAGCAGAGCCCCTCTCTGCTGTTCGGTCTGATTCTTTCACATTAGCCAAACCAGTTAAGTGTGTCAGTTATTGGCTGAGCGTCCGCTGACCATTCTTAGCCGGTCACGCATTATTCGTATGGATAAGGCAGAGTATCTACACCTTAGCCATACCTCCAAGGGGGCAGGCTGCAGGTGACCAATGTTAAGCCATTTTAAACGGTTTAATATTGAATCGTGAGATGGCAGCAGGTGATGAAAGGCAAAAATAACACTTTTTGCCTAGACTGCCCCTTTAGTGTTCCCTGTCAGGATGCTGTACATCACCGAATAATGAACCAGAACAACCCAACATCTCATATGTTCCAGTTATTACCAAGCTTCACTAACGGAGAAGGAACTGACCATTTGTTTGCCCCAACATACAAAGTACTTGTGCAGAAAGTTTGATTATATTTTTGTATTTGCTATAGCTTAAATGAATAGGTGATCCCAAAATTATTTAATGCTACTAGACACAGCCATTTCTGATGGTGATTAAACCTGAATAGATCCACTTTTAGCGTACTATACAGAGAAAACAATACACTCAAAAAAAATAAATAAATCCAAGAACACTAAAAATTACATTCATTCCTTGGCACTAGTGCATGTCAGACAATATGACAACCGTGGTCACATTCTAAAATGCAAAATACTACTTAAACTTCTTTACATTGAGAAAAACAAAGACACATTGCTAATGTTTTTGAGAATTAAAATTTAGAGCATCAATTCACTCAAATGATCACATTTCCTATGTGAGAAATGGTTTGAATTGTAGTGCTGAACTAATAATTTATGTAAAAAAGTAAAATGAAAGAAGGCGGATAATCAAGTAAATACTAAACACGCTTTACAATGTACTGTAACTAACCTATGGCAGTATCAGTAAAGAAACAGCAACATATTTGTCACCATATGAATGCTTAGAACGCACCCAATGTACAAGTACATACGATTTGATATAACATTCGCAGTTCAAGGTAGAATGAGTTTTGCTCACCCAGTGACACTGCAAGAGTTCATGATCACTGCGTATCTACTATGCGTTGCTAAACCTACTATTGTCACACGTGTTGCTGAACACAGCAATCCTGCCTACTCTATGTGGGTCTAATTTACCCAATTGGAATAGTGTAATCTCTCAAATATAGTTGGCTCTTTAAACTCTGGATTACAAGAATTAAAACCTTTCCCATCTGAAGCCATGGGAAGGCTTAATCACTATTATTTTGCTTACGGATATGAGATAGCTAGCGAATTAAGTTTTAAACATTGGAAGAATTTTGCTCAGTAGCTTAACTCAAGCATAGGCTAGAAAGACTAAAAGCTGCATAATACTTTGCAATCGGGGAAAGAGGAAAATAGCACTATTGTCTTCAAACCGTAAAATGCCCTCAAAATATGAGAGGAAAGGAGGCAAGACTAGTTACTGACCCTTTGAGTGACGGACAACAGTTCCGTCCAAACAGGTTATATAGTATTATAAAAATGCAATCAATCGCGCAGTTATTAAGAAGGATTAACATTATGGTCTAATCCTGCATATTCTAAAATCTGTATGTCCTGAGAATATGCAAAAACTGTCAGCAAAGAGACAGACCCAGTATGAAAGTTGACAGAAGTTTACGGAGTGGAGGACAGTAATGATCTATAAGGTGAATGCATTCAGACCTGTAGCAGGCTGCTGTTGCTGTGTAAGGGTTGCAGCCATAGCAACAGCAGCAGCGTTTGGTATGTTGTTGAATGGGGTGGGTCCTGTGGTGACGTGCGGAATGCTCTGCCACTTCTTCACTTCCAACCTCCGCGCTTCAAACACATCCGAGGAATCCCCCAAATAAGTTTTCCGGTAGCCAAGGTATTGTTCTTTGAGCATCTGAAGGAAAGCTGTGTTAGTGTGACAACGCCAATAGCTCATAAAAACAACTTGATTGAACTTTACAGCAAACTGCATAAATATCACACACAAAAAACAGCAAGGAAAGATCTCACATTAAATAAGGCAGATTACGTGGTGGCACTGAAGTGTGTATCATTTTTAAGTGGAATTTTAACCACCACGAATACTATGTTTTGCAGAGGTTTATGGCACATTTTAAGGGTGCAGACAAAAAATGTTTTTTTTTTTTTTTTTTAAAAACCCAGATAAAGATCCAGTCTCTATGATTAGCCATACAACTTAACGGCAATAAGCTGTGTGCAGAAATAAGGAGTCTCCAGCTCTAAGCCTTTTATTGGAATTCCATATTTAAATGTTTGTACATTAAAATAAATTGTTAGGGTAAACTACATATGGTAAGTTACAAAAATTTCGTGTGAGACCAATGCATGCATTACAGTACATTATAAAGTGGACTTTTGCATGAAAGAAAGTATGAATTTACCACCACACCCACAATTGATTGGTGTTACATTAAAAGAAAGGAATGTACAATGTAGGCATTGTGTTCAATAAATGTACAGATTAGTAAAATAAATAAAAGTAATTTTGCTATAAAGCCCTGGATTGTTGCTATTCTCTGGAATACAATACAAATAATGTTTTGTGGCTAGGATCACTTGGTACACAGAAGAAAAAAGACAGGCAAATGATCCACACTTCACATTTTATGTGTTTAAGTGACTTATTCGGATTTATGGAATAGATGCAAATTGAAACCATAAAAGTACACACATTACTCCAAATTACTTGTTCCATCAGCAATATATTCCGACACTTCCCTTGATTTAAAAAAAAAAAACAAAACATTTTGTATATAGGATTTGATACGTTGTCTACATATGCATATTGTCACATACCTTAACATTTTCGTGTACTGACTGAAGCTGAGCCGCCAAAGCAACAAAGGATTGATAAAGCTTCTGCATTGCCATGGACAAATCTGAAAAACAAAACTATTAACTGTAGAAACAGGTTTACAGCAGACATTACATACAATTACAAACAAATTTGCGCAAGGTAAAAGATTTCTAAAAAGCAAGTTAAAGCTCTACAAAAATAGAATTAACCATGGTTCTCCCTGAAGTGGTAGCTGCAACATTTATATGTTAGGCAGTACTGCACAACTTCTGTACAGAGGGATTTGGATAATGTAGAGATAAGGCAGGCAGGTGGCAGATTACATTCAATACAGATAAATGCAGTGTCAGGTATTTGGAATAAGGAAAACAAGCCACTTCTACATTCAATGGTTGATCAAGGAAAAACATCAAATGAAAAGGACTTGGTAACACTTAAAGATAAACTAGTCACCAATATGCAATGCTGGTGTGCCATTACAAAGACTTGTAAAGTGCAGTCACTTATAACAATGGGGTATTTATTAACGTGATAAATATAATTTTGCCACTTTAAAGTTGGTTCCCATAATTGCACTGCATGTTAATGTGATCTGTAAAGGATATTTAAAAATTAGAAAAAGTTCAGATGCAAACTACAAAATTAAAGTGAATTGAAAATGATATGAAGACTAAAAATGTGTTTTATAAAAATAAAAAGGTATCTCAGATGGGATATGGCATTCTACAAATAAATAGTGCAAACCGCTATATGTAACATGTACATTAGCAGGAATATACAACAGATAAGCTGTTGCCCATTGAGAGTGGAAGAAAGGAGTTTTCACTTACAGCAGAGGAAAGGGCTCTTTACAGAAAGAAGATGTAGGATTATCTACCTACATTGTTTGTCTTTGCAAATTCTACAGATATTTATTTAAAAGGGGCTTGATGTTTTTTCCCATAAACAGAATATTCAAGGATATAATATATATGTGAATTGTTTGTTGATCAAGGAGAAATTTTATTTACATTATGGAATGAAGGAATTTTCCCTTTCATAGCATAATTGGAAAAATTGCAACAATTGAGGTCAACAGCATAACAGGTTTTAAAGGTTCAACATTATGAAAACAAGTCTTTTCAACCTAGATTACCACATAGTTATGTAAAACATTGATTACAAACTGTCACATATGGGCTTTTATAACAACCGAAAGAGTTACAGATATGAATCTAGAAGCTCTAATTATGAGAAGTACATGGGATTTTGTTCATCTCGCTAATTGGCAAATTCCTACAACTGTGCTTTCCAGTAACCAGCAAACTAAGAAATTTGATGGGAAAGACCCGATATTTTCACATAACCATTAACAGACTATAAATGAACACAAATTCTACAAACCAAATGAGCACTTGATTCAGCACACAAGTAGGCATTATTTAATATAAAGCAACAATTAAAAAAAGCAACTGCTGAATTCAACGATTTATTTAAAAAAAACACGAAGGGAACTAGCATAGAAATGGTAATGTGTTGTAGCATACATTACTGATACAATCAATAATTCAATAAATATATCCCTAAGTACCCCTGCCTCAAACCCACCGTGAACCTTTTTGGGGTGTGCTAAAGCATGAGCAATGAGACAAAGTAGGACTCTATGGAAGATCATCGCACGCATGTGTACAGAACATAGTCCCTTATTTGTATCTAGATCATGTTGGAAATTCCCAGTCAGTCAGTTTTTCTTATTAAAAAAAATAAAGCGAAATTGACAGCTGCCTTAAAGGTAAATGTGTTTGGTATTAAACTCATGAGCTACCAGTGCCACACAAAATATTGTCTATTGATAAGAAATCTTTAGAAGGACATACCTTGAGGAGTTAAGTGTGAACTATAGGCTTGCGTTGTGAGGTGGTTTTCCAGTTCCTCTATTTGCTGTCTATATTGCTGCAACTGCACTTCAAACTGTTCCACCAATGACCGGAAGTAGCTACAAAGTAATTCTTAGTTATTAAAATTGGATAAAAGCATCTATGAGCAACAAGGAACAGTGTTAAATATCTAAACAGGATTCTGAAACTCGACAAGAAGTTAAAACACTTGTTAACGAGATGAAAACTGCCACGTTCTAAGGATCCCAACACGTCCATATAAACATACTCTGCAGGAGCTGTATTCTCATGCTGGAGGCCGGGGGGTGTTTTCTGCGTCCTCAAAGATATTTCAGCATTTTTCAGTTCCTTGGAGGGAAAAAATAAATAAATGAAAGCCTATACTAAGGTGGGCACAAAAGGAGTATTGTTTTAGGAAAAACTTATACAAACACCACTATCTTGAGAACTACATTTACTGGACGATTTCATACATTACTTTTGTAATTTACCAATATACCTGCTTTACACAGTTAAAAGCTGCTTTAAAAAGTATTACATTTATCTTACTTTTTAATTCTAAAAATGATACAGCACTTGACAGAAACAGTTACTGAGTATGCACCTGAGCCGTTTCCATTTTCAGTTTGTCGATTGCCAGTGCATTTCTCTGCAGACTACTGGATGCAACAGATAAGAGCTGCTTCAGAGCTTTCGTATCCTCCTGGACCTTCTGCATTGCTTTCGAAGACATCCTGCTAATTTCCTCTTGAACTTGTTTCTGCTCTTTTACAAATTTCCTACCAAGGAAGAGAACATAAGATGAACTATAGATAATAGAATGACAGCAGATAGAAAACTAGCTCTGTCTGTTCATTCACTGGTGAAAGAGCATAGTCTCTATTTAAGGATGTTTTTTTCCTTCAGGACCAATTCACAAATTCCTTGCTGAAAACAATACATTTAGAGCTGCTCCTCTTGTGCACACCTCGCACTATTCTAGTTGTCTTTCTTTGAATATTAAGCCTCTCTCTCTCTGGAGAAGTGCTGAAGAATTCTCCTAATCTTCAGATACCCCTAGACCTGTACTGCATGTTCTTAAAAACAGCCAAGTTATGTAAAATTGCATTCACTTAAAACGTTCACCGTGAGCTTGGTAAGTGAACTTACAGTTTGCATATAGTGTTGCTAAACTTTTTGGGGGTTTTTTGGATGATTTTTTTTGTTTACACATTAGGGCTGACTACTAAGTTCAAGTGGCTACCCAATAGTGAGGTGACTGTGTGCAGAGAAAATATGCATTTTTAACGGTCTTTGTATTTTACAACTTATTTATTGTGTAGCCCCAAAATCCCTCACGCGTGTGTTTTCTATAAAGAATTAGTTAGTATTGTTAAACAAAAAGACTTGTGTCTCTTAGGAATCACGATTGAGGTAACAATTGCCAGTGAAACCCTTAACCGGAATCACCCAACAATGGTCTTGAAATTTCCAGATAAACTTACACTTATTCTATTCTTTTTTATACACATCGCGGATGTCATGCAGCTACCCAAGAGAGATTGGAGTCCATGTATGTGTTTGAGCACACTTAAAATAAGCAGCCAAAAAGTAAAGTCGTTTCAGTATGCAAACAATGACAACTTCTGAAAATAGCCAAACTCTGCTACAAAAAAAATAACCCAGAGAACTATATGTTCTAGTGTAGCTCTTCACTTAACCATACTTACTGGAAATTGTCTACATCCTGACGTATTAATTGAGGTAGATTTTCATCCTTTAAGGCTTTGCTGTCCCTGAGATTTAAAAGAGTAAATTAATATACACTTACTACTACAACTACAACTTAACTACAACAAAGAACACAGTTTGGTTTCCAATAAACCGGAAACAATGATCCTTCTGAATGTTCCCTCACACAGAAAGCACAATTACACTAAGGTTTCCACAGAAATAGCAATCAACTCCTAAAACTGGAGCAATCCACAAGACATGTAGCATTCCATAATATACTGCGAACTGACTTCATTCTACACCCATTATAGATTATCTGTTCTAGAAATATAGGCTCAGAAAAAAAATAAAAAAAAATAAAAAATCAAGTTTTTGCTCTGTGCTGGTCAGATAGTTCCCCCCCCCCCATTTCTATTAGTCAAACCTTACAAATTTTTTTCATACTTGCAATATAAATACATTGTTTAGGTATCAAAATATTTAATGGTGGCAATAAGAAAAGTCAAATCACAAAAATAAAATATGATGACTTACTCAGGCCGGTTTCCAGTTCTGTCACCTAGGTAAAAACAAAATGCAGAAGATTTTGATTTTCATAAAACACAGAAGAGGAGCGATCTCTACAATATTTTTTCTCTATAGGCTGGAACTGAACATCCCTCCCTTTATCAATACTAAATGTACTAAAACCCGTGCGAATACATATACCTGCCACGTCAAGGAAAACCTCTCAGGTGGGTCCAACCGGAGAGGTTTGCCTTGACGTGGCAGGTGGGCATTCCCTCCAATGGCCATTGGAATAACTAAATAACCTCCATTTGTTCATCCCCATAGTGACCAGATAGTTTTTACATTTTCTTACCGTTTGGAACCAGGGCTGTTTTTTACATTTCTGCGGTGTGTCATTTTCTACTCATTTACTGTACCCACACATGATATACAAATTTTCTCGCCATTAAACATTCTTTCTAAAGATACCATTATTTTCATCATATCATAATTTACCATAATTCTTGTATAAATAAAAAATAAAAATAAACGTTTCCAACTGTGACCCCCAAAATCTGTTACATATCTACAACCGCCAAAAAACACCCGTGCTAAATAGTTTCTAAATTATGTCATGAGTTTAAAAATACATGTTCTTAGCTTTTCTTGGAAAGTTATAGGGCTATAAGTACAAGTAGTATTTCCAAACCCTTTTTTCTTTCGAAATTAACAAGTTACATTGTAACACTGATAGATCTGTCAGGAATCCCTAATTAACCCTACACACACACACTGGTGATACCATTTTACCACCAATCTATGCCAAATAAATATTAAAAAAAAAAAGAATTTTTTGACATAGCAATTTAAGAATACATTTACTGAGAACTTTATGGGTTACTGCCAAAGAACACCCCAATATGAGTTCAGTAACATCTCCTGAGTACAGTGATACCACCTATGTATAGGTGTGTCTTTTTCTCTTGGGGTTAAAAGATCTTATTTGGAAGGCGCGCATTCCAGTTTTTAAATTTGGAATTTTCACAGCTTGTCAGCATGCACCCATGTCCAATTTGGGACATTATTGAAGCCAGCCAATGTAATTTACTCCCATCAAACCATATTTTTTTGAAAAGTAGACAACCCAAGGTATTGCAAATGGGGTATGTCCCGTCTTTTTTAGTAGCCACTTAGTCACAAATACTGGCCAAAGTTAGCTTTTATAGGTGTGATAAAAATGCAAAAAACTATTATGAGTGCTAACTTTGGCCAGTATTTGTGACTAAGTGGCTAGTAAGAAAAAAAGACAGAACATACCCCATTTGCAATACCTTGGGTTGTCTTCTTTTGCAAATGGTATGCCATCATGGGGGTAATTCTCATTCCTGGGCTACCATACGCTCTCAGAGGCAACATAACTAACCTGGCAAATTTCAATGTGAAAAAAAACGCCTTATATTTGACCCTGTAACTTTCAAAAACAGTAAAACCTGTACATGGTTATACCTGTACATGTAAGGTTATACTCTGGAGACTTTACTGAACACAAAAATTAGTGTTTCAACAACGATATCAGTGAAAGTGCCGTTTGAGTGTGAAAAGTGCAAAAAAATCACTTTCACTGACAATATGAGCACTGATATGTTTTACTGTTTTGAATCACCAATTTGTTTTCAGCAAGTCTACCAAGTAAAAACAGTACCCCCCTCCCCCCCCCCCATGTACAGGTTTTAGGGTGTCTTGGAAAGTTACAGGGTTAAAAAATAGTGCTAGCAAATTAAATTCTCTGGACTTTCTGCCTGGTTTGTCAAGCAGGTCATCCAAATTGCAATTAATAAAATTATTTAATTATGTAAAAATATTAGATAAATATGCATGTAGAATTTAAATATAAATATGTATATGACATGTATATTTTGTATATACATATATACATATACATATATATATATATATATATATATATACACATACATATATACATACACACATAGATAAATACAATTATATTCCAAGTGTATTTTGATATAAATATGTATCAATATACGGTTAGAATAAGATTACATATAATTTTTTTTTTTACATTTATTTGTAATTATAATATACATATACACACACACACACACACACACACGTGTAATTTAACTCCAAGTGTATCTTTATATTAATATAGCAGGACATATATATATATAATTTATTTTTTAATTTTGTTTTCACCAGCTGGGGGACTGCCTGTCAGTTTAGGCAGTCCCCCTGCTGGTTGCACTATGGACACCTATTGCGGCCAGAGTGATTGCGGACCCTGTGTGTCCTATTATGCAGAGGGGGGCTGTCAGACAGTCCCTCCATAGAAGAAGAACACTGCTCCGATAAGTACATGGAGTGAGAGGGAGGGAGTGGGTAAATTTTTTTAAATGTATTTTTTAAAATTACTTATTTTACTGAGTGCCTTGACCCCTCGAGGCACTCCGCACAGGAAATGGGGGTATTGCAGGATGCCTCGACATCGAGGCATCGCTGTAATACCATTAGAGCAGCTGGAATCGATCATGATCGCTTCCAGCGCTCTAATTATCCGCCTTAAGGACCGTTTTTCTGTCGGACGTTCCAGATACATCCAAGGTTGGGATGGGGTTAAATATACATAGGATTTGGGAAAAAGCGCAGGTAACTTTTCTTTGAACTTCTACATTAGCAATACAGCAAGCAGGAACTTGCCTCCTACCAACACCATAATCTATACAACAGAATTGCTTTAGACTTGAGAAAGATTCTCCTTAATTCTTGCCATTCCAAAGTTTTTAGTCCAATAAAAAGAAACAAACAACTAGAAAGCAGTAACGTAATGTTGCAATTCCCAATCTGCCCCATTGCTGAGAAATTAGAATCACGGCAGCAGAAATTTCAATAAACTGTGTATTGCATGTGTAAAAGGGGTCAAAACTCTGGTGTAATAATGCAGTATGTGATTGACAAGCCAAATCAAGGTTCTCCCATCTTGATGTAGATTAGGTTATAGGTTCAGGTTAAATAATAAAAAGCACAAACTTACTTCTTTTGTCTGATGAGCTGCTAAAATCTATTCCACCTAGTCCTTCACTTGTAGTTTGTGTGGCTGGAGCAGCAACTCCTAGATTTAAACCTAAGCCCAATGTGTTTTGCCCAAGTCCTATAGTAGAAAGATGAATTTGTGTTAGTTACAGCAATACAGGTTCACTGTTCGGGCAAAACTACTCCTCACTCAATGCGGGAAGTTTAAAATAAATAAATAAAAGATTAAAAAGGCCAAGCCACGGACATATTATTGAGCTCTGATACTGTGCGTGCCTTTACATCATTTCAAGTAGCAACCAGAAGTTTGAAACTGCAGTTGGTTTAATGGTCATCGCTCCTTTAGGATCACAACCCATGGCATGGATTAGAATGCCATGTTTGTATATAAAACTGAAACCTAATGCCCTTTTTGCTAGGAATTCTGGGAGGAATTTGTAAACATTACTTTCAGAAACTGTGTCCAAGGTGGTCTATTCCCAAAGTCCTACTTGAGATATGCAGATGAGCAATACATTTTGAATATGCATAAATCTGTAGAAGTCTTATGTTTGACCAAACCACAAGTTTAGTACTTGGACAAATACAGTCAAGCAAAGTGGGTATAGCACTTAAAACTGTATTGCATAAAACCAGAGGGGAAAAAAGATAACAGATTTAATAAAAAATGGTCTTTACATTCCTTTCCATTTTAGTGTAGGTTGCTCAGCAAAATATGGTGGCAATTTGTATGCAGTCAATGTGAAGCTCTTTAACCCCTTAAGGACACATGACATGTCATGATTCCCTTTTATTCCACAAGTTTGGTCCTTAAAGGGTTAGTAAAGGTGAAAAAGGAAGGTGTTAAGCTATTATACCTGTTACAGGTTGACTGGTGTTCTGAAAGATGGATCCACCTAGTCCTCCTGTGAACGACCCACCAAGTGAAAGACCAGTGGAGGCTGCTGTAGTTGTGGCTGCTGTATTTCCCAAGTTTAATGTAAATCCAGAGGATCCTAAAGGAAAAAAGTAGTAAGCATTTGGCAAAGCAACATGAATTTGAAAGTCTTGTAGAGGAACACAAGATGTGATATTCCACAGCAGGTTTCTTATTAAGCAGGTAAAAGATACAGATATTAATTCCCAGGATCCACAGAATCTCCAGGATTGAACAACACTCGTAGGTTTACTTACTCAACACATTTCACCAGGACTCACAAGCAAGCCTGGGAATCTTGTTTAACAAGTTACTCCAAGCACCATGACCACTTCATTGAATTGAAGTCATCATGATGCTTGGAGTCTATGTGCAGTTTCAGTTTAAAACTTTAAAAGCATTTGCTGCTGGGGGTGTGAATCGAACCTTGTGAATGATGTTAGCCAGCTAGGTACAGGAAGGGGAGAAGCTGTAGGGCACTGCTGGCACCATAAGTGTAGTGGTTATGGTGCTTAAGAGTGTTCCTTTAAAGGGCCCTTTAATAAAATAAAACCAACTAATGTGCACCTGGCATGATAAATACGCTGCTCAAAAAAATAAAGGAAACATTTAAACACAATGTAACTCCAAGTCAATCACACTTCTGTGAAATCAAACTGTCCACTTAGGAAGCAACACTGAGTGACAATCAATTTCACATGCTGTTGTGCAAATGGGATAGACAACAGGTGGAAATTATAGGCAATTAGCAAGACACCCCCAATAAAGAAGTGGTTCTGCAGGTGGTGAACACAGAACACTTCTCAGTTCCTATGCTTCCTGGCTGATGTTTTGGTCACTTTTGAATGCTGGCGATGCTTTCACTCTAGTGGTAGCATGAGACGGACTCTACAACCCACACAAGTGGCTCAGGTGGTGCAGCTCATCCAGGGTGGCACATAAATGCGAGCTTGGCAAGAAGGTTTGCTGTGTCTGTCAGCGTAGTGTCCAGAGCATAGAGGCGCTACCAGGAGACAGGCCAGTACATCAGGAGACGTGAGAAGGCCGTAGGAGGGAAACAACCCAGCAGCAGGACCACTACCTCCGCCTTTGTGAAAGTAGGAATAGGAGGAGCACTGCCAGAGCCCTGCAAAATGACCTCCAGCAGGCCACAAAATGTGCATGTGTCTGCTCAAACGGTCAGAAACAGACTATGAGGGTGGTATGAGGGCCCGACGTCCACAGGTGGGGGTTGTGCTTACAGCCCAACAACGTGCAGGACGTTTGGCATTTGACAGAGACCACCAAGATTGGCAAATTCGCCACTGGCGCTCTGTGCTCTTTACAGATGAAAGCAGGTTCACACCTAGCACGTGAGTCTGGAGATGCCTGCAACATCGTCCAGCATGACCGGTTTGGCAGTGGGTCAGTAATGGTATGGGGTGGCATTTCCTTGGGGGGCCGCACAGCTCTCCATGTGCTCGCCAGAGGTAGCCTGATTGCCACTAGGTACAGAGATGAGATCCTCAGACCCCTTGTGAGACCATATGTTGGTGCGGTTGGCCCTGGGTTTCTCCTAATGCAAGAAAATGCTAGACCTCATGTGGCTGGAGTGTGTCAGCAGTTCCTGCAAGACGAAGGCATTGATGCTATGGACTGGCCCGCCCGTTCCCCAGACCTGAATCCAATTGAGCACATCTGGGAAATCATGTCTCGCTCCATCCACCAATGTCATGTCGCACCACAGACTGTCCAGGAGTTGGCAGATGCTTTAGTCCAGGTCTGGGAGGAGATCCCTCAAGAGACCATCCACCCCCTCATCAGGAGCATGTACACGCACGTGGAGGCCACACACACTACTGAGCTTCATTTTGACTTGTTTTAAGGACATTACATCGAAGTTGGATCAACCTGTAGTGTGTTTTTCCACTTTACTTTTGAGTGTGACTCGAAATCCAGACCTCCATGGGTTGAAAAATTTGATTTCCATTTTTTAATTTATGTGATTCTATTGTCAGCACATTCAACTATGTAAAGAACAAAGTATTTCAGAAGGATATTGAATTCATTCAGATCTAGGATGTGTTATTTGTGTTCCTTTTTTGAGCAGTGTATAAGTTAGGCTTGTAGGAGCCATTGCAAAATATTCCCATTTACAAGTCAAGCAAATACAAAAATAAACTATGAATGGAAAGATCCTCTACCTGCTGCTGGAGCTGAAGTCAACGCAGATGATAAAAGGCCAGTTGCGGCACTGCTAGCTGTAGGCAGAGAGAAAGGTGTAGCAGAACCTGCAGGTTTATTGAATGCCAAACTGAATCCAGTGGTAGCTGTAGATGTCGGAGCCACTGCTAAAATGAAATTAAAAACAAAAACAAAGTATGTTTAAAGAGTAACCACGGCAACATGTAAATACCATTTCTAAAATCCACAAAAATGAATGTGAACGACTAATTGAAGGGGAAGTGAGAACGTCTATAAGCAACTGATTGCAGCTACACAATTATTTGCACCAAAACTACACAATAATTGTGTAACTTTAATATAGCAAAAGATGGTATGCAGTGCACTTAAGGACAGTGTACTTTGTAATGCACATTAACCTGAGTCAGGAAACCGTGGCTATTAAAAAGTTACATCTGTGTGGTTTGTGGGATACATTTTATTTAAATGTCTTTGAGGTCTATGCACTAAACAATGAACAGCGACCAAATGCAGTCTTGGAGACATTTGGTAACATGGAAATTTGTCTGCAATTCAGTTGAAAATAGTTCAACTTATTTTCTAAATTAATCTCGCTGCAGCAATATCCATTTAAAAAACAGCAGATACATTTGCGAAATAAGCTAAAGGAATAGTGTCAGGAATACGAACATGTATTCTTGACACTTTCTATTACTATTTAGAATCCCAGATCCAATGTCCGGAAAGCAAAAAAAAAGGCATAAAACTCACATTTCAGTGCTGCACAGGTCCTTTCGCGGTTGACCCAACAAGACCTCTAAATGTCACGCCATTCAGCATTTTGAGCAATGTCAGATTTTCCACAGTAACTGCCACTCATTACTGCATTAAGGTGCAAGCTGACTCTAGAGCACACAAGTTCACTTAGAGGCTAAGTCATGTATCAATATTGGACCATCCAAAACTTAAATTTTTCCCTGGGTTACACTGGGTGGTGATAATTAAGCCCCACACTACAATACATCAAGACACCTACATATGTACACAGATTGTTTATGATCTCTTTATGGAGTGAGAGTGGTGGTAACCGTTCTATTATCTAATGAAGCATGACTATGCCATGCGACCAGCCTTTCACTCCATATCTCCTTTATCTTTCACATGTTAACTGTAGTTCAATGTTTTGATGCCATGAGAGATTTCAATATTGATAAATACTTTAGTAACTAGGGAAATTACAGTTGCAGCAAAACTGATTTACAAAAGAGGCTTAGCTGTAAAAACCAACTCACTCGTTACAATATTTTGTATCTGTATCTTTTATAGATTTTGGTATTTACAACAGCACACTGCCAAGAATGCATGTTTAGGGCATGCCCAATTTCTTTTTTCTATGTAATCCACATCAGATTCCTACCCCGTCCACAATAAGTGCCTCATTAAATGTGATAACAGGAAAGCACACATTTAGGGAGTCTCTCCAAGCAGTTTCAGCAGTGAGTATTGCTGCGGACAGGTTTGTCTCCCATGTTAGGATTAGTGTAGGATCCACCAATATTTGGTTACTGTGATGTAGTGTTGGGCTTGACACAATATGGCCATATGGTGGAACAGAATCCCCATTTTTGTTTGCAGAGATAGGAGATTTTAAGAAGCCCTGTAAAATGTAAAACTATTTTTCACCTAATTTCATATGAGAGACACAGACACGCATGGAGCGGCTGAGAGGGGAGGAATTACACGCCTCGCTGATTTGGAAAATCTGGCTCCTAACATGAGCTGGCTCCTAGATTTCAATGAAATTTGTCAAGCCCTGTCCTAGTACAATGTCATATACCTATAGGATGAGTCTGGGGAGGATCCTGCTTTTTTTGTTTTTTTAAACTGTAGGCATCAGCCTCCCTTTCCCTCCAGATTAGAGACATCCCAGGAAAAAAAAAATTACTGCAAGTAAAATTTGAACTTCACTGCGAATACATGATTTAGATTTGAAAATAAATGGTTTATTTAGATCAACCTAGAATTGGCCATCACCATTTTAGCTCATTGTCAATAATGACACATTTTCCTGTTTAACATAGGGTTTTTTTTTTGCGCTTACACGATGTTTATATTAATCCACATTTGCACTGTCTCTTGGCTGTGCCTGGATTAAATGCTTTACTATGAAAAGCACTGGACTGGCAATTGTCATGCAAGCACACTGTCACCAATTCTGCTCTACAAGAGTCACTGGATTGGATAAAGATCAGTCTTGATCTCACAGAAGGCAGATTGGTTGCATAGAAAAGACTGTCCCATCGCAGGATTACAGGTAAGTTTAACTGCTTTAAAAAAGTTATAAAGGTAGACCCAGTTATCTACGTTGAAAAATATTTGAATAAGGACATTAAACATTTCCCCCAACCATAAAAAACAAGCAAACAAAAAATAGACAGTATTTTAATAAAACCTTGTTCTTTGTCAGAATGACCCATGTCAAACACCCCGTCCATAATTAAATTAAACCTACTTCTCTTACATCGCCGAAACCAGGTCCCCCAAGGAACGCAATCCTCCTCCTCCTCTGAAAACATTCCCCGTTGGTGCAGGAGGAGGGATGCTATGAAGGCCAGGTTGAGAGGAGGGCAGGGTGCATTAAGGGATGATGACCGTGTCACAATTGGAATGCTGTCACCAGCATGCTGGGTGTGGTGACAATATATTGCCAATAGGCACAGAACAGACATTAGCCATCCAAGAACTCCTATTGATGCTTCCAAATGTGGTTTTCCCCCTCCAGCAGCCAAGGGGTTAAATTCTTCATGTGCAGCTTTTCATAGAGAAACTGTGCACAAACTCCAAGTACCATGAAAATTTTAAATCAGGGATGTGTTCATGGTGCTTGGAGTAACCCTTTAACAGTAAATTTGTTTTAACATCCCTCTCTTTCCCTCTTATCAGGATGTTATAAGGTGAAGAAATCTAACTGCACATGTGACTGTTAAGCATGCCCAATGCGCTTTCTCAGCATTCCAAGGAATAAGGCACTGATTGGTTAGATCAGTGTTTTCATTGACGTAGGTGTGGAAAGCATAAGAAGCAAGTACATATTAAAATACAAATAGTTTTTACCAGCTTTAGTGAGACATTTTTGTCTCAAAGTGATGCATGCCCCTTTAATTGAACATTCCACCCCATAACATCTCAAAGTTATAGGGACTTGAGTCTCCAGGCACCTTCTTAAGAAAAGCTAATCAAAATGAATGCATTTATTTGTCCTGATTTGTAGAGTACCTAACATATCTAAAATTTCAGTTTATTTTAAGAAGTTACAGGTCACAAAATACTGTTTTCCAGATTTTTAACACCTATAAAGGTTTGTTTTTGCTCAAAACCTGATGTGTTACTCTCCTGTACAAAACCCCATATTGTGTTCAGCTACATCTTCCGAGCACAACATCCCCAATGTATGCCTCTGAAATAATCATGTGAAGCAACAGCACCATGTAAGAGGACTGATCATTTCAGCTTTTACAGTTTGAATTTTGATAGACAGTTTTGATAGGCTTGTGTCAATGAGCATTGTAGCAGTTTGAATGTTAAAATTACCCCACAAAAGTCTACCATTTGTGAAAGACATTTCAGGCATCTTATATGGTGTATATTGTCTCTCTTCCGGGTTGCCTAATGTCAAATCTGTGCAAATCCACTGCACGCTGACAGACGTGAAAAATTTCCCTTGCACTCACTGTGCTCCCTTCTGTCTCCCTCCATGCAGCATTGGTTATTTTTAAATATTCCTCACAGTAGTTAATGCATAGGTCCCCTATCTTCTGTTATCGTTTACACCAAAGGAAGTTTACCTGTTACTGTAGAACAAATGTACTTGCAGATACCCTGTCTAATACCACAGATCATATTGTGGGACCACTGCAACGTCAAAAAAAAAAAAACTTTTGTGCCCTGTAGTTGGCAAAGTTTAAGATATTACAGTAATATGGAACATACCTGGGTTTGCTCCACCTAGTGTAAATCCAGTTGCAGGTTTTTGTCCAAAAAGTCCTCCACCAAGACCTGTAGCCGGTGTAGTAGCTGCAGCGGTTGCAGCAGAGCCAAAGCCACCAAAACCAGCATTGCTGCACAAAATACAAAGTAAGTACATCATCATGAATAGTCGAACCAATATGATAACGGCAAGCAGCTCTGCCAAAGAAACAAATGAACGAGGAAGAATTCTTCACTATGATGGTTTAAAAAAAATATATATATAGTATATATATGGGTGGGCAATGATCTGGACAGAGCGTGATTGATTATCTCACAGAATGAAATTCAGACTGCAGCACGCTGACTGTCCAGGTGCTTTTTTAAAACTTCCTTATAAAAAAATAAAAATAGGGCCAAATATCTACACTAAAAAGAAACACAATGGAACAATTTAATCTCATATTTTAACTATACCCAGAGAGGGATAAACTGGCATATTTATGTCATGTACCAATTTGTTGTGCTTTTATCAGTTGTCAGAAGCATAACATTTTTTCCTTGAATTATATCAGTTCTGAAAGAAAGATCAGCATGGGGCACACATTTTATTTTAGTTTTACAATAAACCTCATTCAGACAAAGACCAGGACTGACTGGTGCAGCACGTTTTTCCCATCTCAGTCCTTTCCACATGTAGATGTGTAACATTTAGCAGAGTTTAATGATATAAAGCATGGGGTCCTCAAACTCCGGCCCCCCCCCCCAGATGTTGCTGAACTACAACTCCCATGATTCTCTGTCTATATGTAACTCAGAGAATCATGGGAGTTGTGGTCCAGCAGGAGTTTGAGGAGCCCTGTGATCACTACAGACAGGGCTGGGTTACCCAGCGTTCTAGAAGCAGAGCAATCAGCAGGAACATTCTACCGGTTGCCATGGTGACTGCGCTACTTCTACCACTTCGCCCGCCTTATTAAATCTTAGTACATCGCGCACGCGGGTTGCGTGCGAGCGGTGTATCCGATCTCCCACCTGGCTGCCGCCGCCGGTGCTGCTGCCGACCCCCCGAACGAGAAAGGAGCCGCAGCCCCCGCTGCCGGGTTCAGGGTAGTGGTGGTGGTGGCCCCCGCGGGGGACCCGAATGAAAACCCCGTGGACATGTCTTCCCTCACACACGGTGAGCAGACCGGAAACGGCACCACGCGCGACTCACTGCGCAGCCGCCGGGGCGCTCACTGATGACGTCACGCCAGGAGAGAGGGTGGGGGGGGGTGGTGTTTAAATTTTACTAAATCCAACAAAGATCAAATCTGTCACTATGGCCCAGATGGAGAGTTTATGTTTGTTTTATGTTTAATAAAATCAGCTATTTTAGACTAAATGTTGCAATTGGTATTTCCATTCACTATACTGTACTTTGATATCTACAGGGTTATTCACTAAAGTGAAATTAAAGTTTAACCCTTTAAGGACCAAACTTGTGGAATAAAAGGGAATCATGACATGTCACACATGTCATGTGTCCTTAAGGGGTTAAGGTCATACTAGCCGAAATGGAAAAATTCTCCAAGTCCGTATTCCAGTCTCACAACAAAAAAATAGTAAGTTGCAATGGCGCTAGAGGACTATAGCAACAATCCCCGGATATCAATGATCACCCAATTGGTTACAGAAACACATGAAAAAAAAAAACAATATAAAAGTGGGGAGTGCTTATCACTACAGATATACTATAATGGATATACTTGTTAATGCAGTCATGTAATCGCGTCGTTAACAATTCGGCCAGCACGTCGCTTCCTATAGCGTGTTTCCGGTATGGGAAACAGTCACATGATCGTCATTGGGAGAAATGCATTTCATACAGTAATACACTATGTGGACCTTTTATTATATCTTTATATAGATTTGTGATTCCCTCCATATTGTATCCATGGAATTAGATCCATGATGGTATATCTGTGGTGTGAAGCACTCCACACTTTTATATTGTTTCTTCCTGTTCAACGACCTATACCTTAAATGTGAAATTCTCTTTGAATTCTCACTCTAGTGAATAAACCCTTTAGAAAGTTCTAAACATTCCCAACATTCCAAATTGAAGGACTACTCTAGGCACCCAGACCACTTCAGCTTAATGAAATGGTCTGGGTGCCTGGTCCAGCTAGGGTTAACCCATTTTTTATAAACAGCAGTTTCAGAGAAACTCCTATGTTTATGAATGGGTTAAGCTTTCCCCCATTCCCTCTAGCGGCTGTCTCATTGACAGCCGCCAGAGGCGCTTGCGTGCTTCTCACTGTGATTTTCACAGTGAGAGCACGCCAGCGTCCATAGGAAAGCATTAATAATGCTTTCCTATGCGACCGGCTGAATGCGCGAGCAGCTTTTGCCGCGCGTGCGCATTCAGCCGACAGGGAGGAGAAGAGGAGGATCGGAGGAGGAGAGCTCCCCGCCCAGTGCTGGAGAAAGGTAAGTTTTTACCCCTTTCCAGAGCCTGGCGGGAGGGGGACCCTGAGGTTGGGGGCACCCTCAAGGCACTATAGTGCCAGGAAAACGAGTATGTTTTCCTGGCACTATAGTGGTCCTTTAAGTGAGTAAGGTTGTGACCAGGGGTGAGGTTTTTCTGAGCAGTTACAGGTTAATTTATGCAACTAAAATGTAATTTAGAAAACAAACAAGTCTTATTTACACCAACTGATTACTAAACATATTTTAGACATTACTGTGAGTATTATTGCTGTTGAGCCCTGTTATACAATCAGACACACCCATATGGAGCTCATAGAAAAGATGGTTATTTGGTTTAAAAAAAAAAAAAAAGAGGAATGGAGGGATTTGGGCCCCAAATAGCCCCCCACTCTGCCCCCTTAATAGGGACAGTTGGGAGGTATGGCCGCCTTCTACCCAAATGATGCAGCTGCACCACATTTACAGACAGATAGCCCTCAGTTCAGTCTAATTCTATAATATGCGATCACTTAAATACATCATCATCAGTTCTGAATTTCAGTTGTATTCAGACAGGCTGAAGTCAGGATAATGCTGGTCTCCATTTTGCAAATTGGATTTTAATTCGCTACAGTTCAGGCTTTAGTGAATAAGCCTTTATTCTCAACAATCCCAGAAAAAAAGAAAAAAAAAAGTCCCCTGAAATTGCAGAAGTGGTTATGGTGCACCCTCACAGAAAATTCCAGAATAAATAGTAGAATGGAGTTGTGACAATTTGCCTAGTTCCCACAGAGCACAACTGTCTACTTTGCTGTCAGAAGCTCTCTGAGATTGCCCAGTAGTGCAGGGTTTAGCTAGAGGGAGCTTCTATTGGCTCCATTGACCCAAGCCCTGCCATACAGGCCTATTGGTTGTGAGTGTTAGTGGAGCACTCTCAGCCAATAAGCCAGCACTGCATGACAGGGCTGCCAGTCAGTGGAGCCAGTAAAAGCTCCTTGTAGGAACTTTCAGCTTCACGGAAGGGGGCAACAGGCACCAGGCAGGATCCAGGTAAATTCTCAAGCTTTTTTTAAATGGAACCAGAGCTATCATGGCACTAACAGGCTGTTATGGTGCTTGGAGTGTTCCTTTGATAGACAAGTTTGTGCTGCACATAGTTTTCACAGAGCACTTGTAGAAACAGGTTCTGAGCTTGTGGAGGCCTGAGTGTGCCAACAGGACTGCCAGTTAGCCTGGAGTGTGTTTATGACAGGCTAAGTCACCCCACCCCTATCCAAAATTCACCATTCCCAGTATCCCAAAGTTAATTTCAGGTGTTCAGTCACATTAGCTGAATTGGAAAAATTGTGCAAGTCGGTGATTTTTCCAGATCAGCAAGTTTAGTCCAACGTTTGAAATCAACCTTGTATTGAATCAGACTTAATGGCAATACACACTTTACACATCAAATTGATCACTATTCCATACCTAGATGTCTGAAGCACTGTTTGTTTTGTATTTCTAAACACTAGTAGGATAATTCACAACTGAAAATTCTAAAATTAATTTTAAGTTTAAGGCCAGAGTAGCCAGACTGAAAGTATAGCAGACAGATTTTTTTCCAATTTGGTTATTTTGGGCTTGAATTTGAAATTCACTTTTTTGAATAACCCTGCAGAGTGCCAATGCAGGCTTAAAATACCATTTTCCTTTGAAGAAAGAGAAAGAAAATGTGGGGAGCATTCTCATTACACAGTTTAAAAAAAAAAAAAAAAAAAAAGCACTCATGTTGTCACAAGTCCCTAGGGGGAAGTCCCTTACCTGCTCCTTAACGACCCCTTTGCTCTTGGCATCCTGCAGCATTAGTGTTCTGGCCTTAGTCTCTATTACTACTATGTTCTCATATGGCGTGCTCACACCAGGCATTATTTATAGAGTCAGGTGACACTCCACCCCAGGAAGAGGCTGTCCTTTTGAACAGGAAACCCTAATAAAAGCTCTCAGCGTGTTTAATTGTGATGCAGCTAAGTTTGTCTTGTGTGTTAGACCTGTTCTGATTAGTTATTGTTGGGTATGTTTATAAGTCTTTCCTGGTTGCCCAGATCATGGACAGTCAGACATTATTTTGCCCGCTTGTCTCACATAGTTTACCTGTACTATCCTCTTTCTTTCGTTAATAAAGCTCCTATGCCCAATATGACCCTGTTCTCTGCTCCAAGTTCACCTAGAGCAGTGGTTTCCAACCCAGTATTCAAGGCATGCATACCAGTCCAGGATTTGAGGATTATCCACTTGTGTCTTCATGATTAGTGGCTTTATGGAACTGCTGCTCAGGATCTCAGTGGGCCTTTTTATTGGAATCCATAAAATGAAGTGTGCTGTAGTGGTTATGGTGCCAGGGATGTCTTGGTGCCATCCCACTGTAATGTGTCGGTTTGTTTTGTCATGGTGTGATGCTTACCTTGGTCATGCTGGGCGCTCACTCTGCTCACTTATCCAGTCATAAGTCAATTCTTTGCAAGATAGGAGCTCCATTACTATTTCATGAATGAGCTCCTATCTTGCACAAAATTTACATGCACCTTCTGCAGCTTGAAGAATGGAAGCAGTGGAACACAGATAAAAGTAACAAAAAACAGTCTAAAATGTTATGGTAGTATAACTTAGTGAATTTGAGTGTAAAGGCAATTCCGCAATAGCTGCAGTTAAAGGACCACTATAGTGCCAGGAAAACATACTCCTGACATACATTTCCTGGCACTATAGTGCCCTAAGGGTGCCCCCACCCTCAGGGTCCCCCTCCCGCCGGGCTCTGGGGAGAGGAAGGGGTTAAACTTACCTCCTCCTCCTCTTCGGCTGAATGCGCATGCGCGGCAGGAGCCGCGCGCGCATTCAGCCGCACGCGCATTCAGCCAGTCTCATAGGAAAGCATTAATAATGCTTTCCTATGGACGATGGCGTCTTCTCACTGTGATTTTCACAGTGAGAAGCACGGAAGCCCTCTAGCGGCTGTCAATGAGAGGCTGGATTAACCCATTTATAAACATAGCAGTTTAACCCTAGCTGGACCAGGCACCCAGACCACTTCATTAAGCTGAAGTGGTCTGGGTGCCTATAGTAGTCCTTTAAGGTTTCTGGAAAAATCCTGCCTGCTAGAAAAGATTGTTTAACAACTAATCCATTTTCCCTCCATTCATCAGAAGTCACTTGATCTCTGAATAAAATCATCAGCTATAGTCTGTCCCCTAACCACTAATCTTTTGTTTTCTACCTCTAGATTGGACATGAGATTCAGTCCACGTGATTGGGCAGTGCTATTGTATATCATGGCAAACTAAATTGCTTATGTGCCCCAGCAAAAAACAATCAAGCACAAAAACTAGCCTCTAGTCCATTCTATCCCTCTTTTATCTGACAACCTTGCTTGTGTGTGTGTGTGTGTGTGTGTGTGTGTGCCTGCTAGTGAGTAACTTTGTGTGTTTGTGTGCCTGCTAGTGAGTGAGCTTGTGGGTGTGTGTGTGCCTGCTTGTGTGTGTGTATGCCTGCTAGTGAGTGAGCCTGTGTGTGTGTGCCTGCTAGTGAGTGAGCTTTTGTGTGTGTGTGCCTGCTAGTGAGTGAGCTTGTGTGTACGTGTGTCATTGGTTATAGCTCTACTAATCCGTGCATACCGCTCATGAATTCTGTCAGATTGTTTTGAAACAGTTTGAAAAGGCCAGAGGTTCTCCACTGAATATATAACCTCTAAAGCGAGGTTTTAGAAGCATATTATCATATCTGCTCCATTGTAGGTGTGGCATTGTGCCAATGACTCGTTTGCAGGAAAAAGTAAAGGGTGGGCACAGAATATCTAGACCATGATTATTACAAACTTTGTGTCAGTGAACTTGTCTGTAGTGAGCATTTGTGTGACAGTGAGCTTGTCTGTAGTGATCTTGTGTGTGTCAGTGAGCTTGTCTGTAGGAAGCATGTGTGTATCAGTGAGCTTTTCTGTAGTGAGTGTGTGTGTGTGCGACATGTGTGTGTGTGACAGTGAGCTTGTCTGTAGAAAGCTTGTGTGTGTCAGAGTTTGTCTGTACAACATTTGTGTGCATACCAATAAGCTTGTCTGTGTGTTTCAGTGAGATTGTCTGTCAGTGAGCCTATGTGTGTGCATCTGTGAGCTTGTGTTTTTATGTCAATAAGCTTATGTATATCAGTGAGATTGTGTGTCTATGAGTCTGTGTATCAATGAGCTTGTATGTGTCAGTGAGATTGTCTGTGTCTGCATGTGAGTATGCTTACTGTATACTTAAATGTTTTACTCTGAAAGGACCAATATTTTATATTAGAAAAATAAATATATATAATAGTTTATATTTTACTTAATCATCTGCCTGGCAAGACATAGCCTTACATATTGTTGACACATATTACATGTGACAATATATGGTGCAATGACTTATGGGGCTGGCATAGATTATTTTCCAGGGCTGCTTTGTATTCCCAGTCCGGCCCTGGTGGGGCCTGATCCAGCTCCGAGGGACATCACTGCTGGATACAGTTAAGTGAATTAAGGGTTTCTGCTCTGCTGAGGGGCATGAGCGAGGGGGGCACTACAAGGTACTGTAGTGCTAGGAATACAGTTTTGTATTCCTAGTCTATAGTTTCCTTCTAAGCACCAAAAATTTACTTAGATACTAGACATATTATGCATTTAACAATCAGGACAGATATGAATCTATTTTAAAGGGACACTATAGCCACCTAAACAACTTTAGCTTAATGAAGCAGTTTTAGTGTATAGATCATGCCTCTCAGGTTTCACTGCTCAATTCACTACCATTTAGGAGTTACATAATTTTGTTTCTGTTTATGCAGCCATTGCCACACCTCCCCTGACTCTGACTGACAAATCCTGCATGAAAAAAACTGGTTTTACTTTCAATCAGATGTAATTTACCTTGAACAATTTTATCTCTTGCTATGTAAATTGAACTTTAATCACATACAAGAGGCTCTTACAGGATCTAGAAAGCTATTAACATAGCAGGGGATAAGAAAATCTAAATTAAACAGAACTTGCAACAAAGGAAGGAAAAACATTAGATGACTCTTTGCAGGAAGTGTTTATGAAGGCTGTGCAAGTCACATGCAGGGAGGTGTGACTAGGGATCATAAACAAAGGGATTTAACTCCTAAATGGCAGAGAACTGAGCAGTGAGGCTGCAGGGGCATGTTCTATACACCAAAACTGCTCCATTAAGCTAAAGTTGTTCAGGTGACTATAGTGTCCCTTTAAACTATTTTTTTTTTTTTTTTTGAAGTGTCAAAACTGACACTTCAAAAACAGCCTATTTGCAACTTTCTCCTACTTGGCTATAGTTACAGCTTGCCTGTTTTAGAGTGAATTTATTTTACTATTTAGACATTTATCTGCAACAAAAATTCATAGTTCACTGAATAAATCAGAAATGACTAAATTCTGTCCAAAGCAAAAGAAACTCTTCTGAAAATAATATAATAATAATAATACAAATTCCCCAGATAGAATAATTTGTTCTTAATATTTAAATTCCCTGGTCATTTCATGTTAACAAAAAAAAACAACCCACACACCATCACTAAATCCCTTGAATATTGCTAGGCTGTTTTTGTGTTTGTTTGATTTTTTTTTTTATTGCCATGAGATCATTGCTAGGATATTTTTTTATTTTATTATTATTATTATTGCCATGAGTTCATTGCTAGGATATTTTTTTATTTTATTATTATTATTATTGCCATGAGATCATTGCTAGGATATTTTTTTATTTTATTATTATTATTATTGCCATGAGATCATTGCTAGGATATTTTTTTATTTTATTATTATTTTTATTGCCATGAGATCATTTCCCAAGAGTCACCACCCCAGGAAACCGCACAGATTGCATATGACCGGCAGGGGGCGCTCTGCAGATACAGCTTGGGCTGCCAGTCAGTCTGCGCATGCTCGGTGGGTGTCCGGACCAGGAAGTGTCTCCCGGTAACAGCTGCCGCAGGAGGAAGCGAGAAGGCTCTGGTTATCTGTGTGCCCCGTCCATGCAGGACCATAACCACAACCCCGAACATGGAGCACATCAGGACTACCAAGGTACTGGGCTGCTTCAGGCAATGGCTACTGATATGAGTGCATGCCCCTATCACCTGGCTAGTATACACAGTGCCATGGCTACCTAGCATCCTGTAGTGAAGGTAAACAAGGAGTGCCTGTCCCTGGGCACACATGGCTGGGGTATGGGGGGGGGCCACACATGGCTGGGGTATGGGGCACAGCCTTGGCTGGGGAATGGGGGCACACGCATGGCTGGGGGCAGGAGAATGGGGGCACACATGGCTGGGAGAGTGGGGGGCACACATGGCTACAGAGATGGCAGGGGGGCACACACATGGCTACAGGGGAATGGGGAGCACACATGGCTGGGAATGGGGTGCGCAAGCATGGCACAGGGAATGGGGGGAGCAAGCATGGCTGGGAAATGGGGTGCACACATGGCTGGGGTGGGGGCAAGCATGGCTGGGGAATGGGGGCAAACATGGCTGGGGAATGGGGGGGCCTGGCTGGTGAATGGGGGCAAGCATGGCTGGGGAATGGGGGAGGGGGCACGCCTGGCTGGGGAATGGGGGGCACGCATGGCTGGGGAATGGGGGGCACACACAGAGGTGGCATGCTTGCTGGGATTCCTATTCAATGAGACAGCCCTGCTCTCTGTCTGATGGCATCCTGTCCTCACTCAGCATTTTATTTAACATCCTGCATTATCAGGATTTTAGCATTTCAGTGCCAGTGGGTGAGCTGGGCCAGGCATTGCTTGGCACTGCGCACTCCCCCTTGGCACAGATTGCCCCCCTTCTAGTCTGCACTCTGCAGGGATGTTGTATTATCAGGGATTTGGTGGTTTTTTTTTTGGTTTGTTTTTTAGCTTTATAGCAAGCACGAAGTCCATAATTATCAAGCTTTCACTATAAGGATGTGCGCAACATCATATAGTAGGTTCAAAAGATATTCCTTGCTTAGAGCATTCATGTTAGTGGGTAAACCTGAACCATGGGAATTGGGAAGGGCTCTAACTTCTATGATTTGCAGCAAGATATAGCCTGGCAGAAATTAATGGGAATTTATGTATGTAGGGTATCTAATGTGCATTTGTTTATTAGTCCAATGCACTGAAGATGCTCCAAACTGTAACCCACCTACGGTAATTCCTTTTCAGAAGATTCCTGCCATATTGTATCACTTGGTTAAACATGCTGTTAGCACCTAAATGTTCCTTTTTTAAATTTTTAAATGTAATTGTTTACATTTTTGACGTGCAATAATACATGTCAGATTGTGTCATAATATCTGAATATTAGTCGATTAACATATAGGGTATCCGACGTAGAGGTAAAAGATCCAAGTAAGAATAACAATATCTGTTTCAGTAACATACATCTGATTCAACATTTAAATAATAATAATATAAAGACAAAGAGAACACAGCACTAGTGAATTAATAAAAAAGTATATAAAGCATAGCAAATGCACTGTTTGCAGATTCGTAATCGATGTCTGACAAATGTATTAAAAAATGACAACAATGTTAATCATTAGCGTAGCTCAGTTACATGGAGACAGTATTGTGTACCAGCTGAGGAAGGTGAAAATGGCAGGATGCCTGTGGGACAGTTCCGATCAGAAATCCAAGTTCAACCTATGCCCTCCATGGGCCGGGCAGAATCCCATATTACTACATACAGGCAGGCGTACATAGGCCCATGTGCTAGTCGGAGTCTGGACAGAAAGAGACTTGCATATCGTGAAACCCAGACGTTGGCATTAACCTCTGCTTTCTAGAATATAGGTAGCAGGTTATTTAAGAATGACACCACATGCTGTCTCTAGCTACCATATGGTTATGGCGGCAGGAGTGCCTTGGCACCCTTCTAGTGTAAATAGTTGAATGGTACGACAATTTTCCTGTGGTCTGCCAGTCACCTCTTCCAGGATCGGCAGAAGTTCTCTGTCATCATTGGAGGGCTTAGCCCATTGGTTGAGAGTGCTCAGCTGACGCACTCAGCTTAGCTCAGGAAGTTCCTGGAAGTTGATGGACCTCTTGTAAGTTGTAAAACTGTTTGCAAGTGGTATGACTCTAGCACCATAACCACTGCAGCACGCTGTAGTGATAACAGTGCTTGAAGTGTTTCTTTTTTGTGTTAATAGACAAATACACTTTTTTTTTTTTTAAAGGTCTTAATTCCTGGGGAAAAAAACAGTGAGTCACATCTTTATAGGTTTAGCAGAACTGTATAGAAAATTGTTGTGCAATTGTGCATGTTTTTAATATAATGTGTTTCATGTAATCAACAGGGTACCATGAAGATATTCTGTAACTAAAGTATTAAGATTATTCTTAAAGCAGCACTCCAAGCACCATAATCACTACAATTAGCTGTGGTTGTTATGGAGCCCAATGTGCCCTGGTGACCCCTATTGTTAGTAGGCAGGAGCTTTTTTAGCTCTGCTGTACTAAGCCCTGCAATGCCATGTTTAGGTCAGACATCTTCTGGCTCTCTTGGAGGTAGTGAAGGCAGTGGTGGAAGTAAATCTGTTAAAGCGGCACTGTCACGCCGAACTTACCTTTCTCTTATGTTTTATCTACTCTTCCTCTCCGGATCTGTTCTTTATTTGTCCTCTAGTTTTCTTTAAAACATAAGATAAAGTAGGGACTACTTTGTCCTACATATTTTCCCTATGCTTAACTTTCTTTGACCAAAGGAAATGGAGGTGGCTTAAAGGCCCCCTTGGGTAAAAGTCAGGCGTAGGAAAAATACATAAGTCAAAATAGTCCCTACTTTATGTTTTATGGTTTAAAGAAAATTAGATGAGAAATAAAGAAATGAAGAGCAGATTCTTAGCGTGGAAGAGAAGAAGAAACCATAGGAGAAAGGTAAGTTCGGCATGACAGTGTCGTTTTAACTGTTTTGACTACTAACAAAGGGAGGGGGTGGTGCCTCTCTTTTCTTTGGCTAATTCTTGGATGCAAATCGCATACGCTAGGATTGAGGGTGGCCTGTGGATTTCAGTTCCTGCCCCATTCTTACATTAAAGTGGCAGCGATAAGCTCTTTGCATCAAAATAATGGCCCTCCAATTTAGAAAATAAAATTCCACTATTTTTACTCATTGTTCCTTTGTGAAATTACCAATGATGAATCTCACAAGACTTATGAAATGTACCTGCTACAAAAAAAAATTGAACTATTAACAAATAAGTTATTTACCTGTCAAATCCTACTCTGGATGTTGGCCCACCCTGTACTTTTTCAAATCCTTACAGTATCTTAGTGTTCTGTGTGTATACCATAAAGACAGTTATACATTATCCACTGAGTACTGTAAGCAATCATATCTTTTAGGAGGAAAAAGTGGTTTAATGTTTTACAGCATCCCATCATTAGGACTTTGCTGCTTGGACCCGTAAACGGGACTTGCCTTGAATTGAAACATTTTATTTGCATATGGTGTAATTGGGTCGTGTAAAAATGATTTTTTTTTTAAAATGTCGAAGTTTCTTTGCTTGTTCTCGTGATTTATTTATTTATTTTGCACACATACTGTGTAGATCAGCGATGGCTGATTTTATCAATGTGGAAGTGCGTTGCATACATTTTGCATGATTTACCCCTAGTCCTGCTGATTACCAGATGGTTTTAAAGAAAGTCTGCAGTGCTGGTGTTAGTCATCGCTGATACCATCAGTTTGTAGGACAGTTGAATATCTAAATTTAGTTCATAAACATCTACAATGACAATGTTGGCCAGCACTTATTGATATAGACCATTTATTTCAGTTTAGTCTGTACTGTTGACTGCTTAAAGAGTTACTCCACCATGACCTTCCACATTTATTACATATTAAAAAAAAAAAAAAAAAAGAATAATACACAATTGCAGGAATTGTCAACCTTTGGCAATCCAGATGTTGTGGACTACATCTCCCATAATGCTTTGCCAGCATTATGGTCGTTAGAGCATTGTGGCATATGTCCACAACATCTGATGTGTCTAAAGGTTGCCTGCTCCTGCCCAAAAGGTCCCGTCACCTCCAACGCTAAAAAATTTTTTTAACCCCTTAAGGACCAAGCTTCTGGAATAAAAGGGAATCATGACATGTCCCACATGTCATGTGTCCTTAAGGGGTTAAAATAAAGTTTACCTTCCCTGAAATCCAGCTTCTCTGCACTCCCCCTCTTTCTTCACACCTGCTGTTTTGTGGTGCAATCAAATACTTCTCATAAACATTTGATTGGCCAGTTTAACCGGTTTAGTGCGCATGCTCTGAGCCAGCAGTGGGAGAGGGAGTGGGGAAAGTAAACGGGGGAAGACCATAAAAAAATTAAACGGAACGGATAGGGAGGCAGGAGGGAGGAGAGACAGAAGCATACAAAGGGAAGTGCACCCTGAGAACAGACATTATTTTTGCACAAAATTGGCAATCTAGATTAGAGTTCCGGGCTACCAAAGCCACGTGTGCCGGGTGTGTATCTAGCCCTCTGCACACAAGTGCAATAATCTCTATATGTGCAGCGTTTTCAAGCAGAAACGCTGCACATACAGATTCCTTCCTCCATTCTAAAAGCAGAAGTGGTCATGGACGATAGAGTAACTCTTTAAGTGACTTTTGTTTGTAACATTCTATATATTCCCAGTTGGAATTTAACAGTTTGTCAGTGTCTGGATTTGCTTTTTTTTAATTTATTTTTTTACTTTCTTTATGATTTGTTCTTCAGTCCAATGCAATTATCTGTTTGCTTTTTTTTTGTTGTTGTTGTTTTGCTGATATTGATGTAATTTCTTTGTTTCCTTAATAAAGGTGGAACAGGTGAAATTACTGGATCGGTTCAGTCCTAGCAACAAGTCAACCTCTGGAACTCTGTATCTCACTGCGACCCACTTACTGTTTATAGACTCTGTACAGAGAGAGATCTGGGTATGTACCTATGTTAAAGAAATGGCTGTACTGTGTGGACAGTGAATATGTGTAATTGTAGGATGCAAATAACTGATGGTCATTATCAGAGCATATGCTTTTATGTTATTGGTAAACAATTTTTACCCCATCTGTTGTACTTGTGAGAGGGTGAGAAGCTTTTGCAAGTCTCCTGAGTTTAATGTAGTCGGTGAAACTTACCATATAGTAAAAACATTTAGTGTAGCAGTCACCTTTGGTCAGTTCATTTTGAGTTTTTCATTCGAGTGTCCTAAAACGTTTTGGAAAATAATAAAAAAAATTTTAAAGAAAAGAATAATAGTTATCTGTCAGAGAGGTACGGTTGGGTCGGATACTGCAAACTTGCACTCTATAATGAAAAGGCTGACCTGAACCATACCTGGCTGTAAGCTTTTATGTTTCTACAGAAACGGCCTTGTCTAGGTTTTTGTTCATCAATTAAAGGAAATGATATTACTAATGTTTTCTGTTACTAATATGTTTGAAATGGGGAAGAGAAACACTGGAATTATAGTAATGCACATCTGCCTGGTCTTTGGATCATTAGTCTTTGGGTGTTTCTCTAAAAGTTGAATTGTAACAACATTAGAATCTTATTTGAACTCTTCATTTATTTGTTAGATGATGTGCCTAGGAATGTATTTGGAAAACATTTCTACATAGCCACTGGTATTACCAAAGGGTATTTACTGGGTCACATTCTGGGCACTTGATCATTTTGTGTGATCACAACAGTGTGTCTGTTATATGGGGACTGTGAATGGGGTAGGAGTGATCGTGAAATATAGTGCTTTACTCTGATTAGAATGTAGTTAATGGAAACATTTAAACTTTATAGCTGAAATGTATGATTGTTTGCTATTAGATTTTACACCATCACATTGCTGCTGTTGAGAAGCTTGCCTTGACTACTACTGGCTGCCCTCTAGTGATACAATGCAAGAATTTCAGGGTGGTGCACTTTATAGTCCCCAGAGAACGTGACTGTCATGACATCTACAACTCACTCGTACAGCTCTCAAAGCCAGGTAGGTAAATCATTAAGTGTCGCAGTGTACATGTTATGTGGCTAACAATAGCAGCTTATACAGCTCTCAGTCTGCCTTGGATAATAGCAGAGGATAGAAAGTTGGTTTCTGTTATTATACATTATGAAAATCTCTTTCATATACATTTAAATAAGTATTGCAATTGTTTACTGTTAAAGCTTTCTGCCGCTTCCTTCAAGATTGCTGCCTCGGTAGGTGTGAATAAATATGTTGCAGGCTGTTTGCAATCTGTCTAATGTAATCATAAACATTATATATATATATATATATATATATATATATATATATATATATATATATATATATATATATATATATATTATGCAGGTGCACTTATTTCATATATCATAAAGACTGTCTTGCCTTAGAGGAACACTAAAAAATAAATTAAAAAAAGAATATATATTAGAGGTGCTCCTTAATTTTGGAATATTGAGCCTGCCTTGGTATGTGTTTTTTTTTTTTTTCTTCTCTATTCCACAAAACCTATAACAATAAGAGTATATCATTGAGCTAAATTACACGTAATACAGCATATTATCGATAGAAAGGCATAATACTGATCCTCCTCTTTCGCTGTCCCTGCAAGTTAATGGTACTCCCATCAGCCCGTCCTTGCAAGCTCGTGGTGTTATCTTTAATTCCCGCCTCACCTTTGTGTCTTGTGTCCATTTCACCTTAAAAACATTGCTCACATCTGCTCCTTTCTTATGAAAAATGCTGCCAAGGAGCTTGTTCATGCTCTGGTAATCTCTCGCATGGATTATTGTAATTCTCCCCAGAAGCCGTAGTGCCTCACAACAGTCAGTAATAATTGCGGCTGCCAGGCTGATTTTTTTTAATTTTATTTATTTATTTTTATTTTATTTTATTTTTTTACTCCTATCACCCCTTTGTCGATCCTTACACTGGCTTCCTGTATCCTATAGGAGGCTATTCAAAATGCTAACCCTTACTTCTAAAGCTTTAATCGACTCTAGCCAGAGTAATGTCTATTTCACAAACCTGTCTCTTGCTGCCTCCTAAAGAGCTACACTCCACTCTTACCTACAGTTCTGCTACTTTCCCACCTTGTTATTTAGTTGCCCCTCCATGTCCTCTTTATTGTGTTTTATACCCCACCTCCTCTAGACTGTAAGCTCGTTTGAGCAGGGTCCTCCTCAACCTATTGTGCCTGTAACATTTTTTGATTTTTATAGTATTGTAAAGCGTTGCGGAATAAGTTGGTGCTATATAAATGCCAAATTAGTAATACTAATAATTAATTATAAGGAAACAAGGGCTTTTAGTTGTTAAAAAAAAAAAAAAAAGTAGGGCAAGCCGTGGAGGTCTAACTGAGTAAAGCTGAATACCCTGAGGCAGTAGAATAAAAATAATGGTAATTATACTAAATCCAAAGCAAGTCCATGACAATTAAACAAAGGGCATTTCAGTGAAAGTAAAGAATGCCCGCAGTGAGGGTTTATTATGCAGGGGCACATAAGTACTACTCTGTGTAATGAGCAGAATAGAAGCAAACAAGCTACTTAGATATCTAAAATGGCTGGGTTACCAGACCGCGAACACCAATGCCCTTCTATAGAGAATTCTGTGGTTTCAGGTCACATTTTCTAAAAATAAAAAAGACACACTAACTGGTTTGCACTAAAATTTCACCATCATTTGTCAGCTCATTACTAGTAAACACATATTATATATGGGAGCTATGCTTACTTTATTCTACTGGCTTTTTTATTTTTTCACTTAAAAAAAAAAAAAAGAAATACAATAATTTACTGTCGTATGCTTCATGAACATTGAAAATGCATGTAAAGTAATGGAACAATCAAGATGTTTGTACTTGTGATAATGACTTCCTTCCTCTCTTCTTGTAAGTGAGCTATGATGATCTCTACGCATTTTCTTATAACCCAAAACAAAAGGAGTCTGAAAGAGTCCTTGGCTGGCACCTTATAGATTTGAAAGAGGAATACCAACGTATGGATGTGCCAAACATTTACTGGCATTGGTCGGATGTTAATCGGGACTATAAGGTAATTCCTTATGACTAGAGAATAATATTTAAAAATAAAAAAAGTTTTGCATATTCCCTGGAAACCTTAGAAATAGGCAGACACAAAGCTTAGAGATACCCTGCAAATCAATATTCACACTGTTACCATCTTGTAAATAACAGCAAGCACACGTGCAATAATTAATTTAAAGATATAATCCAAGCCCCATAACAACTACATCACTGTAGGGCTTAGCTCAAGAGCCAATGGAACTTTCTGCTTAGGAACTTTTGGCTCTCTAATGTTAGTAGTGGAGGCAGGGAGCAGCACCCTGCAGACCCCATGTATAGAGTAAGACCATTCAGAAAGGGTTTGACTACTTACAGTGTGGGAGCACCATAATCACAACAGTGAACTGTAGTGGTTATGGTGCTCAGTGTTTCTTTAAGGGAAACTGCAGTATTGTCCCTTTTTAAAGGGACACTATAGTCACCTGAACAACTTTAGCTTAATGAAGCAGTTTTGGTGTATAGAACATGTCCCTGCAGCCTCACTGCTCAATGCACTGCCATTTAAGAGTTAAATCCATTTTTTTATGAACCCTAGTCACACCTCCCTGCATGTGACTTGCACAGCCTTCCATAAACATTTCCTGTAAAGAGAGCCCTATTTAGGCTTTCTTTATTACAAGTTCTGTTTAATTTAGATTTTCTTATCCCCTGCTATGTTAATAGCTTGCTAGACCCTGCAAGAGCCTCCTGTATGTGATTTAAAGTTCAATTTAGAGATTGTGATACAATTATTTAAGGTAAATTACATCTGTTTGAAAGTGAAACCAGTTTTTTTTTTTTTCATGCAGGCTCTGTCAATCATAGCCAGGGGAGGTGTGGCTAGGGCTGCATAAACAGAAACAAAGTGATTTAACTCCTAAATGACTGTGAATTGAGCAGTGCAATTGCAGGGGAATGATCTATACACTAAAACTGCTTTATTTAGCTAAAGTAATTTAGGTGACTATAGTGTTCCTTTAATATATCAATATCTCTTGTAGTTTTCCTCTCTGTTTTCTCAGTTTGCCACATATTATGGAAAACCCATATTATTATATTATTATTGCACTGGAGTGCTGCTGACTCAAACTTACATTTTTTTACTCCACTGGCAGGTCAATGGTAGTGCTATTCATAGATTATAAAATATCACAATTTATACACTGCACATACAGACTCCAGACACCATGACCATTTCAGATCACTGAAGTGGTCATGGTTCTTCAAGCAGCCCTTCCATGTCGTGGTTCTGGTGCAAAGAGACAGCCCCTACGGTCTAAGCAGTGCAAACGATGTCTTTTCAGTTTACATTTCTAGCTATAGACACCTCTAGTAGCTGTCACTCGGCCACTAGAGGCCCTTCCTGGTGTTGCCATGCAATCTTTGCATGACCGACATTTGGCATTTTCATGCTCCGTATAAAGACACAAAATGTTCACCCAAAAATGCATTGAGCAACTGCATCTCTGTGAGGACATGCTGATTGGCACAGTGTTAGTTACTGCGCACGTGCACCTGCCACCCAATGCTTCCCTTTTTCCATATTATCTGTAATGATGATGATCTCAGCCAGGGGTGCAGTAGTGGCTGCGGCAAGACCAGCACGGCACACCTCAATAGCTAAATACTCTGTTACGGCTATGTTTTATTCCTAACATTAGAGTGTTTCTTTAAGTATTGAATTTTGAAAACGTATTGTGTAGTTTTCACTTTTTTAAATTCTTTTGGATGTTTTGATTTTATACTTTCAAATAATATAAAATATTTGTAGTAAACATGGTCTCCCTGTGGGCACAGAGGGCATTTCATACTATCCTATCCATCTCCCTGCTCGTAGAAGAGACCAGCTCATTTCACATGTTAAGCACCCTTTTCAAGTTTGGTTTTATGTCCAATTTGGTAAATTGAGGTGCAGTTCTGTAATGCTGTCTGTGCCCTGAAAATGTTACATCTTTAGTTGTAACTATAGTTATGCATAAAATAACTTGGGGGGGGGGGAGGGGGGAGAGAAACATAAATTACTTTTTTCAAATTTAATTTTTATAGTTAGTGAGCCATTTTAAATGTTATGACTTAGTCATGTGTTATGTCATATTAGGAGCTTGTGTGTCGCAAAGTTGTTTGACATTGTATTAAATTCTTTATAGGTGTGTGACACGTATCCAAAGGACCTTTATGTCCCTGTAATGACAAGCAAACCAATTATTGTGGGAAGCTCAAAGTTTAGAAGCAAGGGAAGGTTCCCAGTGCTATCATATTATCACCAGAAGAATCAGGTATGTATAAAATAAACACACGATGCAGGAATGCATTATTTGGAATATTGAACTATATTGTATGGTGGAGTAGTGTTGAATTAATGTTTAAAGAGAAAATTACTGATCTTGTTATGCTAATTTTAGTGTGTATATTTACTTTTGGAAGTCTGTGTAAACTTTGAAAACCAGTACAACCATTTCTTTAGCTCTGAATTGTCTGTGAACCATGTTTGTTTAAAATGTTCAAACAAATGTTATTACATTTAGTATAGAGTGTTTCAGCTTGATTTGCAGGCATTTGTTCTTAAATTGCTGATGGTAGATTGTACATTTTGTAAGCTAAAATAAAGTAAGCGAAAGTTATTAAAACAACTTTAAAGGGACACTTCCATTTAAAAAAAAAAATTTTTTACTGACTGTTTGCTACAACATTGCGGGTATAGTGCATTAGTAAGGATGTTTAAACAAACATTTAAAAAGCTAGTGGCCTAATGAGTATACTTTTCTGCATATCCACAAGGTTTATGGTTTTTGCAGGGACCAGTAATTTATGAGATTTCAGCACATTATGCTGCAGCAGTTTATGGGTTGCAAACAAAAGCCATGGGATGCTGTACTACAAAAAATTAAAAACAGATTGGGCTTGCATTCTCTTGTGCGTTGGAAAGCATTCAGTCAGGGACAACTGGTCAATCATGCAGATGAAGTGATGGTGGTGTGAAAATACATGTGCACTTAAAATAAAGTAGAATGATATTTACATGTTGGCTATTTAGTGAATAAGCCATGTAACAAGCAATATCAATGTTTCAACCGCAAAACAGGCACTAAAAAGTTAACTACCAATTTACAAAATTTCAGATTCATATTTAAGAAAATTTGGTGAACATGGTACAAGACAGGATTAGGACGCTGGGTTTTTCACTAAAATGCCCTTTGAGTTATACTGTTGCACAATGCAGTACACATGAAATCACAGCTTTGACGTTAAACTATTGTCTGTTTTTTTTGTTTTTTGTTTTTGTTTTAATTCTAAATGTTTTTTAGTCAACTGAATTACCAAAAAAAACTCTCATTCCATTTTTTTTTGTCTTATTAGGCAGCAATTTGTAGGTGTAGCCAGCCTTTGTCTGGCTTTAGTGCAAGGTGTCTGGAGGATGAGCACATGTTACAGGCTATCAGCAAAGCCAATCCCACATGCAGGAGTATGTACGTCATGGACACAAGACCAAAGGTAGGTAACCAATTCACTGTTGTTTTATTTTACAATGCTAGTGTATATCATAAATTAGACTAAGCTCCCAGGGCACATCGACTGGACAAATATAGTTTGTGGTTATCATGGCTTGTGCACAGTTACTTCAGTAAATGACAGAGCTACTAATTAACACCTTTAAAGCAGATACTCCAAATATTTCTAGTCTGTTAGTAGTTAGTGCAGAATCTTTTGAAGCAGACTTCTACAGAAAATAGAATGCTGTAAGATCTTTCTGTAGATGCATGCAGTCTTCTCTTTAATCATCAGCCTGTGTCAAAAAGAGCTACAGATTCAAACCAATGAAAGAAGATTTAGGGGAAGCAAGAATGCTGCTCGGGTGTGTTCTTCCATAACGTCCTGTTAGCTGATTCGTATGTGCCTGCTTCTCTGTTTTTGAGGAGGGCATGTGCTCATTTCATTGCTTTGTGGCACTGAATTATTAGTTGTTGTTTTTTTCTTTTTTTTTTTTTACTGTGATTGTCATTGCCTTAACTGCACAAATTGGTCTTTTCACCATTTTTTAAAACTCTATATAGTTTTGCATGAGGTCATCCAGCGTGTTTACAAGTCCCATGGGAAAGCATTGAATCAATGCGTTGCTATGGGAAAGGCCTAATGCGCCTACTGCGCATGCGCTTTAAGTTCTCCCATCGGATGATGTCAGAGGAGAAGGAGACTTTGATGGTGGAATCAGCTAAGTGTATGAAGTGTTTTTTTTTTTTTTTTTAAACCCTTTACTTGGAAAGGGGGGAACTCGAGGGCAGAGGGACACTAGTGTTAGGAATACAGCTTTGTAGACTGCGACTTCTTTTCTAGATAATGTATTACAGGACCAGGTGTATCGGCTTGTGATTTAGTGTAGACAAATGTAGAATACATTTAAAGCATTTTCAGATTCTAATGCATTTAATCTCGAATTATTTTTGCAGCTCAATGCTATGGCTAATAGAGCAGCTGGGAAGGGATATGAAAACATCGACAACTACTCGAATATTAAATTTCAATTTGTTGGAATTGAAAATATTCATGTTATGAGATCCAGTCTGCAAAAACTCTTAGAAGGTAATGCTTTTGGTTTTTCAGATATTGGATTAATTTACTATAATTAAATTTATCCCACTAGCCAAAATCCTGATTTATTACAAATTATGAAGTTAATTTATCAAGATGTCCCAGATCAAAAAAAACTGTTTATGATTGATTTATTTTTATTTATTAGGTGATTTATAGGTGTAGCCAACACATTATAAACATTACCCAGTGTTTTTTAAGACGGCTGTACTATAATGTGCCTAAACATTTTTTGCTTCCGTTTTTTTTTTTTTTTTTTTTCACAAGGGCCTTTAATCGCAATCATCTTCTAGGTCTGGTGCCATTAAATCGGTTATTCCTATAATTTATATTTACTTAATGGTAATAGAAAGAGAGCAGGCGAGAATGTGTGTGCATGTGTACTATCGCCTAAATGCCACTAGAGGTCAAAAGATTCCATCTTTTCACTAGTTTGTTCAGTCCATTGTATATAGTGTAACATACTGAGTGTCATGGACCCAGGCTTGAAGGGTAGGGTTCTTGCTTGGGTGGGAATTTTACGACGGGTATTTGTTTCATGTTTGAATTATATGGACAAAATGGAGCCGAGTGTCTGTTTGTTTTGGTGGGACTGAGGGTTATTTGCAGCAAGAAAATCAAGGAGTTATGGGAAGAGGACTTGATGAAGAACTGTATGTACTGTCAATTACCCTACTGTATGCAAATTACCCTCTGTGGGTATATATACCTCTGCTCACCTGCAGTAAAGCCTGTTCTGGTTAACCGCTACATGTCGTCTCGACACATGATGTGGGGTAAAGGCTATAATTGCACGCTAGATTTGACCTTGGATACTGCTCAGAGTACTTTGAGATGGGCATCTGAGTGCTGTTATAGCATCGAATACTTCAGAATACAGGATGGTCCGAAATAGCCCAGGAAGCCAAGGTGTAATGGGGTTACTCTGCCAGAGTTCCCGCAGGCTGTTACACTGAATTTGATGATAAAAATCACAGATATATATTTCTGTGAACTCTTTGAAGGCATGTGAGGGTCCGGTTGAAGAGGTGAGCTTTGAGGGAGTTATAGGATGCAGTTTTATTTTAATCAAAATCAATAAAAGGTGGTAGAGTACTTCATTTACTAGTGAAAGAAAAGATTTTCTAGAAAAACCACAAATAGTTATGTAGATATATGGACACATGACTGTAAGAGATACAAAAATAGACCAAGAATTAACCCTTAATAATAATGTCAATAGAAAGGTAGATTGTACATAAAAAGACTAAGAAGCCCTTAAATAGTATCTTACTAATGCCACAGTAAAGTAAATCTATGTAAAGATATAAAATGTTTCCCAATTCTGAATTATTTCACTATCCATGCCACAAGAAACATTATCATACAAAGTAGTATATAGGTGGAAAAAAAGCTGAATATTGATACTTAGAGGAAATACATAAACAGCTGTTAATGAAAATGAATGTGCAAACCTAGGTTTATAGCCTATATATTGTACATCTCCTTAAATGAACACTATAAGGTCAGGAACACAAACATGTAAAAACACCATCTGCCCCCTCACCCCCTTGTCCACCTAAATATAGTAAAATCTGCTTCATGGGCAGACATCAGAAGTGATGATCTCAGCCAATCACAAAGCATTGGATTGGCTGAGATTGTCAATTCTGCTGATCTCAGAGAGGGAGGCGGGCTGGAGTTAGAGCCGAATGCCATCCTGGCCAATCAGAATTTCATCGTAGAGCTGCATTGAAGCAATGCATCTCTATGAGGAAGGTTCAGTGTCTCCATGCAGGTAGTGGAGACACTGAATGTCAGTGCTGCACAGTGTGCAGCACAGCCCCAGGAAGGACCTCTAGTGGCCGTCTGAGGAGTTGCCGCTGGAGGTGTCCCTAGCCTTTAATGTAAACACTGCCTTTTCTCTGGAAAGACAGTGTTTACAGCAAAAAGCCTGCAGGGATTGACTAGACTCACCAGAACAACTACATTAAGCTGCAGTTGTTCTGGTCACCATAATGTCCCTTTAAAGATATAGTGTCTAAAGAGTTTAGCCACTATAGTCCAACTTAAGACCTTGAGGAATCTCTAGGTTAAAACAAAAAGGTTATTAGCAAGAGTTTGGGGAATTGAGGCAGGCATTTGTGTTAATAGGAATTGTTGTTACATCCAGCTATATTCTTCCAATCTGCAGTGGGCTTTTTGTAGTGAGTATTATTCCTATTGTATCTACTGATTTCTATTAACAAGGGTTTAAACCCAAAATACATTCTAGTGGTATCCACCTGACATCTAGGTACTTGGGCCTTTTTTGCTTTGGCACATTAATTTGCCTATTTAGTCAAAATTTCATAAGAGCAGGCATTAGCTTTCTAGAGTAGGACTAGCCAAGAATGGGGTACATTAACGCTGTGGCAGGCAAGATATGATCATATACTGTAACTTAAACCCCCGTTATTTTTTGCATAGATAAGATGTTTTTAAATAAATCTATTACAATCTGTGAGACTTGAATGCGCCGTGTAAGGAATCAGCGAGGGCGCTGGATCTTGTGTGTTGTAACATAAAATATAATGATGCCTCTACACGATGCATCACTGGCCTAAATAAACCTACATTTTCTATGTCTTTTAATTGCAGTCTGTGGGACAAAAGGCTTGTCGGTTAACGACTTTTACAGTGGTCTCGAAAATTCTGGATGGCTGCGCCACATCAAAGCTGTACTGGATGCCTCTGTCTGCTTAGCTAAGGTAATACGTGACATGTTTTTCATACATACATGTACCCAGTTTGCTGTGTGTCCCCTTTCCAGCAATTTAATTAAAAGGACATTCCAGGCACCAAAAGCACTTTAGCTTGCTGAAATGTTTTTGGTGTGATGTTCCTGTCCCTTCAGGCTTTTATAAAAATGTAAAAGTGCCACAGTTAAGCTACTATCAACGAGCTTTGCAAGAGAAGGCTGTTTGACTTATGCTATTTGTAATGTGTGGAAAAAAAGTGCTGTCTTTTTGCAGGTTGAAAATGGTTGTGACAGCTGGAATGAACGTACGTTAGGAGCTTTCTAGAGAGTTAGTTAAGAGGAATGCAAAAAGGTGAACAGCACCTTGAATCCACCAATTATAAGATCACAATGATTGGTATTGTAGCTACATTGCAGAATTAATCAATGCAATATGATGTACAGGCTGCTGATCTTACAGAAATTATTTTCTAGTAGAAATGCATATTCTTCTTAATTCCTGTAACACATTATTTGTTGTAAGAGCCATTTTGTAATTGGAAAACTAAACCAGATTTGTTTCTGTGTAGTGTGCCTGTTCCAGAGATAATGTGTGGATTATAGTTCGTCCATATGAAAGCAAAATGAGAGATGGGGATCTAACCCTAAATAAAAGTAATCTCTTGGAAGATTATCTACTTACTGGGTACCCGGTAATTCTTCTCTGTAGGACAGTCTGCCTCTGCATTTCCCCAAATTATGTATTTTCACTTTCTCAGCCTTCCCACACACATCCTATGTTATGTATTGTTTTTTTTTTTTTCACGTGTAATAGATGCTTGTGTTATACCTGGCAATCTTTCATCCCTTCTGGACATGTTGCTTTTAACCTCTTTTATTTTACCCAAACTGTTCCTTGATTATAAGCTTATTTTCAGTTTGGCCCTCTATTCAAATTTGTCTTCACCGTAACTTGTTTGTAATGAATGCATTGTTTTTAGATCTCCATTGCAAAGAGCTATGAAATATGTTGGCTCTTCAAAATTGACTTGTCCATTTTTGCTCTATTTTTGTTAAATCATGACACGGTGTAATATGTCATGTGTTGTTGTTCATCTGAGGTTGTGTTTACCTAATTTTAAGACCTGCTAAGGAACAGATTGTCATTGTGTCCCGATATGTAAAACCATAGAATTCAGAGAGGGTGTACTTTTTCTTTTTCCCATGACTTTAACACTAAAACTGTTTGTGTGTTATCGCCGATAATTTTGTCTCACTTTGCTGAACATTGTATCAGGATGCATTCATACGTGACCCATTTCTACAAAGCATGGTATTGATTGGCAGTGAATTCCTGCCACAGCTCACAGTAATTGTATTTGTAGGTAGCTGTTAACCAGGAAAGATAAAATATTGCACCTTCAACTGAAGAATGCTTTTTACTCTCAAGATATATATATTTTAATATTTATTCTTCTCTCACTGACCATTTAAATCACACAAGCATTTATTCATAAATTACCTTTTACCTAGAAATTGGTAATTGGGCAGAAAACGAGTGCAATAGAGTTTTTTACTATTCATTAATGATTAGCAGCTGACAGTAAATTTAGACTAAAATAGCAAAGTTTCGTGAACAAAACAAACAATGGACTGGGTGTAGTGACTAATCCCCCTTGAATTTGTAGTAAATCCCATGTAAACATTTAGTTACTAATATACAAATTTATTCTTGAGGCTTAACCTAATTCTTAGATTATATATTTACATCTCTGGGGGGATCGTTCATTGCATCCCATGTTGATCTTGTTAGCTGTTGCTCTGTATGAGACTGCATGCACTGCCTGCCAGCTGTAATATCTGGAGATTTTGCAGAATCATTTAGTATGTCAGTCAGGTTTACTGTGGAGCTAAAGCATGTGATAGCAGCTTACCAGTGTCAAGATGGAACTGTGTTCATCCATGCTTTGAATGCAAATTAGAGGAAAACTCAAAACATCTTTCTCATTCTATTTGATACAACTTAACAATTTCGTAGAAACGGCTGAAAAAACTATGGCCTGTTAGTAACCTCGTTCATTATTCTGCATTGTTTGAATCAGAAATACAGCTAATACAGATAAATGGGAACAAAATGGGATACTACAAATCGCAAATGATCGATTGGCATTTATTAATCCTAATTTATTAGAATTAAATTACAAACGGAATCATTCATTTCTTATGTAATATAGTCCGTGAAGGTGACCTACTTATATTTGAATGCTCAGTGAAATACAAATCTGGATAAATAAGTGTACGTCTGTCTCGCTAGATCACATTTTAAAGTAATAACCATCTTCCCTTAAACACAGAGTGGAGGAAGACACTCTATTTTTTTTTTTATTTTTTTTATTCGGCTGTGGTTAATTAGAATCTCTGGGATTCCTTCTCCGCTGGGACACGTTTTCGGCTTGCAGCTATATGTCTAAAACTTATTTCACTGCTGTAGCCAACATTTGAGCTTTGCTACTCAGCTGCAGAGTTGAAGTAGTTAAATTTGTTTTAGCTAGAGATGTCAAACGTGCATAGCGAGGGACCTCGCTGAATTCCCTTGTGGGCTCTTTTTCTTCTATTAGGGAGTTTTAAAATGATTCAGTGAATTGCAAAAAAAATAAATCAAAACAAAACATTTTTCCTTTTATGATTGTCGTTCTGATTTTGCCAAAATCATTTGTGGTTGATTGTCTCATAAGTTCACATATTGTCCTTTTTGTTTCTTCATTAAATATTGTGCAAATTGCATTTATAAAAAAGTACATGTCTGTTCTAAGGTTTTTTTTTTGTTTTATTTGGTTTTTAATATGGCCTCTTACTTAGTCTGTATTCGTCCATACATATTCACTGGGATATAAATAATCAAATATCATTTACAAAATGTATCCAAACCTGTTTCCTGTGTCTCTGCTTGCAGGCTGTACATGACGAAAAGGCCAGCGTGTTAGTACATTGCTCCGATGGCTGGGATCGTACTTCTCAAGTATGTTCGCTGGCATCCATGATGCTGGACTCACATTACAGGACAATTAAAGGATTCATGGTGAGCTTTTTTGGTATCTTTTTTGTTAGTCAGGAAGACTTAAGGTTTCTCCCAATAAAATATGGTAACATTAATTCAAATCCCCCCCGAGCTAATGAGGGACATTAAGTGGTGAATATTTTTAATTAAGGAAAGCAATGCATACAATTTTGTGGGGGATTTATCTGAAACATTTGGGATCTATGACAATTGTGACTTATTACTTAAATCATTAAAGGGACACTATAGTCACCAGAACAACTACAGCTTATTGGATTTGTTCTGGTGAGTAGAATCATTACCTTCAGGCTTTTAGCTGTAAACACCGTTTTGTCAGAGAAAATGCAGTGTTTACATTACAGCCTAGTGATAACTTCACTGGCCACTCCTTAGATGGCTGTTAGAGATCCTTCCTGGGTCATGGCTGTCTAAAATGCATCCAAGCATTCAGTGTCTCCTCCCTCTGCATGCAGACACTGAACCTTCCACATAGAGATTCATTGATTCAATTCATCTCTATGAGGAGATGCTGATTGGCCAGGGCTGTGTTTAAATCATGCTAGCTCTGCCCCTGATCTGCCTCCTTGTCAGTCTCAGCCAATCCTATGGGGAAGCATTGTGATTGGATCAGGCTACCACTTCTGATGATGTCAGCAGACTGCATGCTGTTTGCCTAAAAAAAAAACAAGCAGAGTTACAGCTTCTGGCTTGAATACAGTAAGAGTTTTACTATAGTTATGGAGGCATGAGGGACCCAGGGGGGATAAATGGAGGTTTTAACACTATATATGGTCAGGAATACATGTTTGTGTTCCTGACCCTATAGTGATCCTTTAATATTTAGTAATGGCTAATAAAGTTATAATTAAACATCTCTCGTACACAGGGAACCTTCCTGGTTTTTCGGCTCTGGACCTTGGGTGGCATGAGTCTTAAAGGGCAATATTCTCCTTCTTATGACATACGTTTAATTTGAGACCTGAGTGGGACTAATAGAAGGGGAAGCTGTCATTCTCATTGTTCTCTTACACCATGTTTTTGCTTATTTTAATTTAAAAAAAATATACAGGGTGCACTGAGAATTACATTTTTGTTTATACCAATCATGTAATACATTGCATCTGCATAAACAGAAACAGTGATTCCTTAAAGGACCACTATAGGCACCCAGACCACTTCAGCTCAATTAAGTGGTCTGGGTGCCAGGTCCATCTAGCGTTAACCCTGCAGCTGTAAACATAGCAGGTTCAGAGAAACTGCTATGTTTACACTAGGGTTAATCCAGCCTCTAGTGGCTGTCTCATTGAAATTTACATGAACGAATGCACTCTTTGGACTTCAAAATATACAAAAGAACAATTTTGTTTTGAACGGACATTTGCAACCGCGTACAATTAAAGTTATATTCTCATTATTATTTTTTTATTTATATAGCGCCAGCAAATTCCGTAAACCTTAATGTCTTGAATTTTTGGAGTAAGACTAAAACATTGACTGTATATAGTTGCTTGTCACTAACAAACAAAGCAAAGTTATTTACATCCCATTCTTACAAGACATACGAACATTAAACAGAGATTGCTGGGAGGAGTAAAACTGTCTACATTTTAAAGGATGTCTTTGTAGCACACTCTCACTGACACACTGTACAATCCCATTAAACTCTTCCTTACCAGCAGCAGGCTTGGAGCCGCTCCAAGTGCACTTCCTAGCCCTAACTAGTGGGTATTATACAATGTTGGGGACCGTCTGTATCTGCTTCTTAACCCTAGCACTGCCCCTTAACTTCTCTCATAATTGTGTACAAATGTTATTTTTTTAGAATCGAGGAAAAGAATCACTGGCAGAAGCCAGCCCACAGTGGAGCGGTCTACCAGACCAGCTCTAAATATATATATACATTGTTCATCGTATTAAAAACAGAACAGAAACCTATTTAATAAATCTCAGTCTTCCTATGTATTACTTTGTATTAAGATGAAGAACCACCTCCCCCACTACTAATGATCATAATTAGGGATCAAACAGATTATCTGTTTTGCGGATATTCCGATGTAAATTTTTTTTTGTATCAGCCGATAATAACTAGTAATACTGATAATGAGGTGGGCCGGCGCGTCCATAATGGGGCACAATGGCCGCCAGGGGGTGCTAGATTGGGGTGACAGGCAGGAGGTGGGCATACAGCGCTCCCTCCTGCCATTCACTCTGTGCAGCGTGGCCGAACGGAGCAGTGCGCACCATGGTACAGGAACTTATGTTTCCTGTACCCGGCCAAACTGGCCAGGTACAGGAGAGTGAATCTCCTGTACTGCGGGAGACAAGACAGGAGGAAGTTACACTTTGTGAGAGGGGAGGGAAGGAGAGGGGGAGGAAAGGACACTATGGGACAGGGGAGGGAGCGGAAATGAAAGAACACAGTGGCTGTGGGACAGGGGAGGGAGGGAGGGGAAAGGAAAGAACACTATGGGACGGGAGGGGGGGAATGAAAGAGTTCCTACCGCACATATTTACACACAAACACACACACACACACTCACACACTGCATGTACTAATCAAATACTCTTACTGCATCCACTACACACACACACACACACATATTCTTGAAAACTTAAAAAAAAAAAAAAAAAATCTGACTGGCATGTATATTTTGTGCATTTTTTACCCCCCAAATTTTTTTTTTCTCAAAACGCTAAATCTACAGAATATCGTTAAGCTATCGGCCTGAAAGTTCACAGATTATCGGCATCGGCTCTAAAAAAATAAATATATATATATATATATATATATATATATATATATATATATATATATATATATATATTTTTTTTTTTTTTTTCCCTTCTTTCTTTTTAGGGTATTGTAATGGCAAGAATGATAGCGTGTTGTAATTTGCAAACTATATGCATCACTGACATGTAACAAAAGCCATTTCATCTTATTGTATCACAGGCTTTAATAGAGAAGGACTGGATTGCATTTGGTCACAAGTTTTCAGAGAGGTAAAAAAAAAATCAACCATTTATATTGCACTTTCAGTGTTTTGTCTCCCTCTTTGCTAAACAACCAGGAAGTATCAGGATAGATTGTCTGATTGACAGCCTGGAGGGAGTATCAATGTAAATTCATGAACATACCAATTTCTATTAAAATATGCACTTTTTACAAGTAAAATAAAAAAGAAGACACACTCTTCATACATAAAGCATTTCAGCAGGCTCTGGCTGCTGCGTGTTGTACCATTGGTAGACAATGATGATGCATTTATGGAAACCTGTCATCCTCTGTATTTTCTCCATACGTTACTGATTTCATATAACACTATAAGTGGCTGTTGTTTCATACTTAATGCTGTGAATGTACATCTGGCTCTCTATGTGAAAATATATCATTAGTGTAGGCTGTTTTTTTCTTTTGCCACTTAGGACACGATTAAAGCTAACGTAAATGTGCAATGTTTTATGTAAAGTTTCATGGTTCATGTGATCTTTCATGAAAGCATTATAGTATAACAGCTTTAGTAATAATATAATGCGATTGGCCAGAAAGGCTAGCTGTGCAGTAAAAGAACAGAGGCCAGTAGCAACTAAACTTGCCAGAGTTTTATTCTCTTTGGTGATAGGCTAGTTTACAACTCATACTCTGCACGTTGTCATGGAGCAGTATATATATATATAGTGTAGACATGGAATGTTCAGATGCAACATCAAGTGTAAATCAATCACTGTATGTATTTCCATTCTAGGTGTGGGCAGCTTGACAGTGACTTGAAGGAGGTCTCCCCAGTTTTCACCCAGTTTCTGGAATGTGTCTGGCACCTCACTGAGCAGTTTCCAAGAGCCTTTGAGTTCAATGAAACATTCCTTCTTCAGATTCATGAGCACGTTCACTCCTGCCAGTTTGGCAACTTTCTAGGCAACTGCCAGAGGGAAAGAGAAGAGCTAAGGTAATAAACCAAGCAACATGGTAATGTGAATGTGTTGTAAACGCAAAGTTGGACCATACTGATTACTATGATACATATGGAGTTAACAGTCCAGTGGTTTTATTGTTTCAGATGATTTTGGCAAGCAGAAACAACCCTTAGTACCTCTAGCGTGGAAATCAGAACTTGTTTTACAGCTATTTGAGTATAAAATATCAGCATAACATTGTGCTAGCTTGAGGGGGACAACAGGCCCATGTCCAAGTTGAATGTGAAAAATGGTATAGGATTAAATCTCAGCTATGAATAGAGGCAAAATAGAATGATAATGCTATCAACAGGTGTGTCCATACATAATTAAAAGTAACTGCAAGAGAGATTAGAATATGCTGTTTTTAGCAGTATAATGGATTCTTGCAATTCTGTGCTTGGTATCATGGATTCTTGCAGGTTTGTGCTTGGCATTTTCTGATTTCCATACATAATTCTTACTTGTGGTGTTTTGGAAGACCTTGGTTGATTTGGTTTAAGATTGCCTCTAAACCCCATTAAAGATCAGTGTTTTCATCTGCGGAATCCACACCCCGTTTTGCCCCTCAGTATTCACATCTCTCATTCGGGATCTTGCATTTATTTTCTCTATTTTGGTTACCTTTTATTATTGCAGATGAAAGTGTGGATGTTGGACAGCATTGTATAGTTAAACTTTATCGATACAATTTACCACATTGGCTACACCTATGTTTACATTTGTAGTTTGGTTTTGGTGTTACATTTGTTTACATTTGTAGTTCAATTTAGGTGTCAATTATGTAGTTGAGAATTTTGATAATTTGCTTTAATGAATTGATAAATGAAATTAGTTATTCTTATTGCTGAAATTAAAATTACCTTTTTTTCATTATGTTTTTGATTTATTTTAATTTTGCCTTTCTTAGTATACCTTCTGTCTCTTACGCAACAATGTATTAAGTGTTTAAATAGATTTCTACTGGTGGTACAGTGTGAGTACCACGTATTCGTTGCACAAGTGGATAGAAATATTTTATTTTTAGAGGTGTTCCGTCTTGAGAATCATATAGTGTACACTATATGGCAGTCGTGTCACAGACACGGTGTGTATGTGCGTGTGTAAAATGTGTTACACTATTTGCAGCCTCATTAAAAGTTGTTTTTCAGAGATTTCACAAATGAAAGGCAGGATCAGGGAATACAATTGTTTAATGCTTTTACATTCATTGGCGATGCCTATTAACATTTTGCAGAGTATCTTAATATAAGCTGCATCATATTCACAGATAATTTCTCATGATCGTTGTTAAAGGGACAGACTCGAAATGACCCCCATTTTTTTTTTATTCACCATATAACTAATGTGTTGATAATATGCCAAAAAATTACTTGTGTTGGAAGCTCCTAAAGCTGCTACTTATTAAAGGGTCAGTTACAGAGAGATTCCTCCAAGATCAAGAAAAGGTTTTCTGCTACATAGTCTCTCATTCTGGTGGCTTTTTTTTGTTTTGTTTTTTCCTTTTCTTAAACAAAAATCGCATGCAGCAGTTTAGGAGATTTATGTTTTTCAGTCTCTGACTGAAACTTTTCTGGAAGCAGATAGTGGCCATAATGTGTCTATTATTTGTTTATTCACAGCTCCATTTACATTTTTGTGAAAATAAAGCTGCAGATATTTTTACTGCAAATTACTGCAGTTATAAGCCACTCCGTGCAGAAACCAAGTAGAAGGGGTGGGGGGGGGATTTTGCTCCATAACCTTTGAAATGTGTATATGTCATTATAGTGCTTAGATTGACCCTGTAAGCAGTGTAGCTGCTTCTCTAGCAGTTTCCTAAAATCATAACTTAATGATAGCAGAGCATCTTTTAGACATCTGCAAAATTACTATATCATTTCTTAAAGCTAAAATGCATTTTTGTAGCAGATATTGTATTACATATTATTTAAAAAGAAATCTTAAATTTTAAACTAAATAAAATAAAAAATTTGATATCTCAGGGATTTGGACTTCTATAGCCTGACACCATGGATATATAATTCCTGTTGCCAGACAAACACATGTTGAGCTCTTCCATGGGCAAATAGCAGTGCTGCTTCAAAGGACATGGGAGGATTAGTGCAGTGGCAGGATGGGAGAGTCTGCACCTCTGCCACTTACTCGCAGTTTGTCACTCGCTATTGGGTCAGAGCCCTGCCACCTGGATTCCCAGCCTGCACTCTGACTCATTTAATGCCGAACTGCAAGGGAGCAATTACTGTACTCTGCACCTGCCAAAGATGCAGACCTCACTCTCCAACACTGGACAGAGGCTTTTAAACCCATGCAGACCACCAGATGCCATAGCCCCAGTCCCTGTAGAAAGCTAAGAGAGGAAGAGAAATAACTGTGTCTGTGTCCAGAGCTCTTGGCCGGTGCCCCTGAAATGTGTTTCAGAACAAGTAGATTGCCATGACGAACGATTAGATTAGACTTCTGCTTTAGTCCCATGGAAATTAGAATTTTTTGGAAAAAAAAAAATAAAATTCCCCACTCTTTGACTACCAGTCTCTGGAGTTAAATCCCAGGTGAGCATGGATGATCCTGCAAGCCAACATCAAAATAGTCTCTCACCCAGACCTTTGTGAATTAAGAGAAAAAAACAAACCGCTTCTGTAATTCTTTTTTATTAAAACATTTGTACAAATATGTTTGTATAGATTAACGGAAAGGACACATTCTTTGTGGGCATACCTACTGGCAGAAGAAAGCAAGTATCACAATCCTATTTTCGATGAGGGCTCCTTGGAGACTCTTGAGTACTTGGAACCAAACACCATACACTTCAATTTCAAGTAGGTGTCTCTTCCCAGTTTCCTAGTTTGTGCAGTTGTGATGGGAATGCTTTCCTATCCTCATTGTCTCCTTTTTGAGCAGGCTTTGGAGAAACATGTACCATCAGTTTGACCTGGCTATGCACCCACGGCAGTCTGTATGTGGCTTGCTTCTAAAAATGATTGATGAAAGCAAGGGTCTGGAAGAAGAACTCAAACAGCTAAAACTGGTGAGTATTAATGATGTTGATATCACTTTTTCTTTCTCGATATGAGTGTAAGTGCTTGTATGTTCTAATTTAGGGGGATATTTAGTTTGTTTTCTAAATATATTTGAGTAGCTACACAAACAGTGTGTTTAAAGATTTGCAAACATTCTTACCTCTTTGTTTGATATTAATTGTTTGATCACATGTTAATTACAGACTTCAAAATCTGGAAGCAGCTTGTTCATTGAGTGTTTTGTTCAAAAGTGTTTTGTTTTTTTAATACAGGTATTACTTTAAAAACTCAAATTCTTATCAAAAAATGTAAATTTTAGGTTTTGTGTGTTTGTTTTTTGTTGGGGTTTTTTTTTTTTTTTTAGCAGAAAGACGGACAGCCTGAAATTCATGGTCTGTGATTAATCTTAGTTTTTAAACTTTTGAAAGGGCAGCAGCCTGCCTCTGGTTTAGGTTCAGACCGGTAAAGTGTTACCAGCTTATATTTAATATGAGGAAAGTTATGGCTTTCTCTCCACTGAAAAACTGCATTTTCCGTTATACTTCTCCCCAGTAAAAATTCATCAACGGCCTGCGGAAATCTAGTTGTTGATGAACTACAGTTATCATCACCCTTTAAAACAAGCACGGTTTACATGTATACTTGGATATAAAGAAATGTATAGACAAGCTATTGTTAGAGTATAAATGGCAGCGAAAGCTAAAGAACCGAGATCGTCACTGCTGTAGGCGCAATGCTATTTGGCTGTGTTTTTCACAGCTATGTGTTTTGATACATTTCTTTTGACACAAGTATCCCAATGTGTCTCTCCACTTGATGCTGCAGCAAGCCATGTGGAGCTGTCACCATAGAAACAAATGGAATGTCCCTGATGTTCTGTCCACATTTGATACTTTGTGCCAGAATATGTCTCTAATACAATCCTATACATAACCAGGCTATTTGTAGTATACACTTACTGATCTGTGGTATTCAAATGTTTTTGCGAACTAGAATAAAGTGGTAGGCATAAATATGGGTGTAGTGGATAATACTAGATAATTTTATTCTGAGATTTGGAAGGTGAGTTTGACACATCTCAGTAGTATGAGGCACAAGTGTCCAGTTTGCTGCGATACTCCTTTTATGGAATTGTCACCTATTGTGTTTAAGTGACAAGTCTACACTTGGGTTTAATGGACTATTTACTAGGATTTTTTTTCTTACTTATTACTCTTATACTACGTTGTTGTTATTATTATTATTGCCATTTATGTAGCGTCAACAGATTCCATAGCGCTTTGCAATATTATATGTATTACATTTTATAAAAGACTTTTAACATTATATTTATTGCTTTCACAGAAAATCAGCAATCTGAAGAAAGAAGAGTTTGCTAGCATAGATTCAATCTGTCCCGATAGTGAAGGGTCACCCAAGTTGAAAGTATCTCCCTGTTACACGAAGGAGCCAGCTATTCACCCACTTAATGACACCATTCGGACTGTAGAGGGCAGCAACACTGCAGACAACCGCTATGCTGAATATGCAGAAGAGCTGTCGAAAACAGAGACTTCTGTTGTCAGCCTTGAGTTTGGGGTTGCTAAAATGACAGTGACTTAACTATTGCCTTGTCTGGAGGAGACTACAATGTTTGTTAAACCATCTAGTAGTAATCCAGCTTTCATCTAATGGAATTACAGCTCGTGAAACAAATGCACATTCAGGGAAAATAGCAAAATAGTCCTGAGCTCAGTTTATATGTGTGTTGTTGTACACCTGAAAGTCAAGGTATATGTGTTTTATTTACAGAACATATATCCTTCTTCCGTGTATCTTACTCTTATTGGAAGTTTCCTGGGCTTGTAAATCTTCTATATAAACAAATGTGAGATGATCAGATGGTACTGTTGCTAGGGTAAAATCTAAAGAAAGGTTAGTTTTAACAAACTAAAGATTAGACATATAGGACTAATGCTGCTTGTCTAGAGGAATTTCATCAGATACCGGTCCAGTTCTCTGAATGTATACTAACCTTATTAACACATGCACAATACATGGTATACGGCAAATTTGTTGCATGTTAGCAGTAATGGTCAGTGGAGAGGTTTATTTGTAGACTTGGAAACTAATCCAAACAGTGAGTTGTGTTGAATTGATGAGACTTAACTTGGGCCAAAATTGCTGAACTGAAACACAAAAATAATCCCACCGATTAACTCACAGGTCCGAGAATAACTCCCTAATGTTTTGTTTTTTTTACAAGGATATCACTGTTCGGAGGCATAACTAAACTGATTAATGCCAGTATAATACATATCTTTTTTTTATTTACAGATTTCAGATTTACTCAGCCGCACTGATTTAAAATCCTTAGTAGTTTGTTTATTTCTCAGTAGAGCTTAGATAATCCAAAAAACAAACAAACCTGTTTTGCAGTGGTTTCTATCAGCAGACTATAGATATTAGAGAGTTTAATAAATAACACATAGTCTTCTTTGGCTACAGGACCCCTCCCAGAGCTGACAATACATTAAAGCATCCTTGCCCCTGCAAGGCGATGTTTGAGATCCGACCTGCTAAAGGACTGTGTTCTAGTTGGGGAAGATTACTGGAAACCCGAATAGACTCTGTTTAGAAGCCTTGATCTAATTCATGATAAAGGGAATTTGTTTTTGCACTATATACACTTGAAGCTTGTTTAACATTATTTAGTGATGCTGATGGTAAATGAAAATTGATTCCTTTTTTTTAAACAAACAGAATGTATACAGATGTTGGTTATTTGTGCATTTAGGCAATTTATCCTTACTCACTGGTGCATGGAGTCAATTCCGATTGTGTTTGTCTTTGTGCTGTTTACTTACAAAACTGGATGTAGTTATTAACCTGTAATGATCTTTTTGTTTTTTGGTTTTTTTTTAACCCCAGCTTAGCAAATCATTAAAAATAGTATAACGTGATTAGATTTCCATAAATTCACGTAGCAGCTAAGCCACACCTCTTTGTTTACATCTGTTTACAGTATGTTTATAAATTACATTTTCAGCTCTTTTCAATTTTCATGGAATTGCAGCTTTTAAAATGTACACATGCTTGCAGTTTGCAATTAAATGTACACTGCAGGCTCCTGAAAGGCAACCATGTCGTTTAACATGTGAAAAATATACCTGATCTACGTATTGTTTTTTATATGATGCCAAATCCATGGTGGTTGCCAACCTTTACAGTGTAGCTCCCGTGCTTACATGTAATGTTCTTGTAGTAGGAAGTGGTGGGATCTGGCTGGAAAGTTACTCGTATATGCTTTCTTAAATGTTTGCACACTGTTCTCCTCAATGTTAGAGAGGAAATTGGCTTCCATTTGTTTTTACAAACAGCTAGCTACCATTCATTTTTTTTTTTTTAGACAAGCGAATAAGCTGTGCCACCATATTCAGCTCCTTCCCAGTGGAAGAGAATGCCACAGCAGTGTTTGAACACTTGCAAAAATTAACTCCTTAGTTGAATGTTAGAACCAAGAAATATGAGCGATCAATGCATTGTAAACATTTTGGAGTTGGGGGGGCGGGGCCGGGCGGCCATGCCAGCAGGCTGCATATCACACGGGCTCCTGAGCAAACAAAGGAAAAAAGGCAATATATCCACTTTACCCGACTTATACGGACCCGGGGGTCCATGACATGAAGCCCTGAAGTGTCCCAGTGTAGCTGGAGCGCCCGCCGCAGGGTGGCTCTAGGTCCTGGTGAGAGACTCTGGCGCTCGGGGATTGAGGCCTACCCGGGAGGGGAGCGGGGTGGACGGCCGCTGCCTCGCTCTCCACTCCGACTGCAGTAAATCACCATCTACTTGGTACCTTCCTGGTCCTGCTTCCCCCCCCATGGGCCGGGGGGGTCATCCCGGTCCCCACCAGGCGGGCTAATGCCTAAACGTCTCACCTGAATGGTCTGAAGCCGGAGTGAGGATCCCACGCGGTCTCACCAAAATGGCTGACGGAGGCACAGCAACTGCATCGACAGAAGGTGATCACTCTGTGCTCACAACCTGCTACCACCGGGGGTCCCTGAGGGCTCTCATGCCCCCACGTAACAGCCCTGGAACATACAAGCTGACAAATGAGAACCACCACAGCCAGCATTTCCTCCACATGCCCATCTCAAAGCGGCAACCCCAGAAGGGCACTCTGCAAGCAAGCTCCACTAACGACCAGGGCTGGAAGAACAAACAGAACACCCAGCTTTACCCACTGACCGCATGGTGCTATAGCCCTCGACAATACATCAAGGCTCGCAAGACATGGCAAACCTACCCAACAACCGGGACATTAGGAACAAGTGGAATTCATGGGGTAATATCAAGGGACTCACCCCACACCTGGGCATGGAACACAACCAGATTACCTCAGGCTTTGCGCTGGGCTGGAGCTGACGGTGACCCCAGCCGTTCATAATAAGAAGCACAATATATAGTATGACATGAATAGCTATACCAGATATCACTGTAGTTGCAGTCATTGAATAACGTGCATATCCTCTGCATATGACCCTGTATATAGTTCAGCTTTACTTGAGCTTTATATGTATAGAAGGAAATAACTGAATGTATGATGCTCTGCCTGGTGGCACCCTACTTTAATGAGAATCTTAGCTAAAGTTGGAAACCTTAATAGAAATAGATATATTTTGTTAGTCAGCACTGCATAGTCTATTATAACCTAAAGTGCAAACTCACAGTCTCAACTATTGCATGTCACGACTACTTAGACCAACTGTTACTGTACAAAATGTATGTCTCTCACTTAAGCATAGTCAGGCATAACCGTGTCAATGTCTAGATAATGAAGCGATGACACGCGACATAAATATTAACCCTAAGCTACTGGTACTAATCGACAATGTAATTCAAAAGACAGACGTAGTTACTAAGCTTGTACTTAACTTGTATTATTACCCTAAAAAAAAAAATGTGTGCGTGTCCTCTATGCTATACAACAGTTGACAAATAAGTGTCTGTAAATTGATTGCGATTGCTGTTGTGGCATTGTTGATATGCAAAATTATTTCATGCACAGCAAAAATAAAGAATTAAAAAAAAAAAAAAATTAAAATTTACAACGTAGAAAAACAAACCCAAACACGGCAAAAAAAAATAAACATTTTGGAGTTAGTTGACGTCTAACATTAACCAGAATCACATATATGATGTTGTTTTGTTTTTTTTATTCCATATTTGCGGATGTCAACACGACACAGACCAGTAGCTTTGTTCCAAAGTTATGACACTAGACACTAGAAGCATTTTAATCATTTTAAATGACTCGTATGTGCACGGTGCAACTTTAAATATTTGCATTTTTAGGAAAGCACTTTCCTTGTGAAACGGTTTTAGTACTGGGGTCCACATAAAAGTCATACCTAATGGTTGGTCTATAATAATTTCAAATGACCGCAAAGAACATAGGAATGTTACAGCAGCTGGTTACTGCTATGTAACATCTCCAAATGCAGACCAGTCATAATTTTACATCATTGGACTAAAATCAAATTGGGGTACGACTTGATGGCCAGTTTTTCATAGTAAGATCATTTATTTATATTTTTTCCCCTTAAATTGTGCTATTTCAACGAATAGACCACCTATATCTGCATGTAGAGGCTAGGTTCACAGACAGCGTGATATCTGAGCCAGTAAGACTTGCTTCTGGCAGTACTCGGTTTCATGGGAAAGATCCACTTGACAGCTAACTGCTTGGTCACTTGCACGGGTTTTTGTGATGCAGCAGTAGTTGGTGAGCATGCATTCCCCTGTCATTTCCTATCACTGTGCTCTGTCTGCAAGCTTAATTGGAAGTGCGATGTGTTTGGCAGGTAGAACAAGTTAGAATAAAACATATTACATACACACATCCTGCACAAACACTTTCTTTATTACATTATGGCAGGGCCGTATTTAAGAGACATGCCGTTTAGATATTAAATGTAATATACACAATTCTACATAACAACATCTGGGATGCGCAGTTTGTTAGGGAATTATTATAAAAAATAAAAAAATACAGAAAATTATATGAAACCAGTAGGGGAAGGTTAAGGGATGTCAGTGTATCTGTTTTCTTTAAAGCGCTTTTCACTGTGTTGAGGACACATGTGGGGTTATTTATCTTAACAGCTGTGTTGTGTTGACAAGCAAATTAAAAAAATTTGTCCAACAACAGAACAATTTTGGTGAAAAAAAATCTGATCCTTCTATTTTATTAATAATTCCACAACAGTGACTAGTATGAAATAAGCCACAACATTCATAGTAACAATATTGTTGGCAAGAATATTTGATAATGTTCCTTACAAGGGTTTAAAAAACAAACAACAAAACAACGTCCAATCTCTCAAACTCTGATGTCTAGGGTAAAGAGAATAAACATATCCCTAATAAATATATATATATTTCAGACTGGTTGTATGAAGCTATGCTGTGCACTTTTAGGTAAAATTTGGGGACCTTTACATGAGCATTGATTCAGTTTAGTGAATTCTAGCTGTGAGCCATTGTCTGTCTTTTTTCTCCTTGTTGGTGGAAGAAATGAATTGCTAATCGCTATTCCCAATAGCTACCTGTGCCTGAACATGATTTCCAAGTAAAGACTTTAAAGTGCCAAGTTTTAAGTGACATATAACTTTCCTAATGACTTTAGAAATTAATGTATGATTGTCCAGATAGCTTCAGATGATATATGAATGTCAAAGTAATGTAGAAAAATATATGAATGTATGGGAACAAACGTTGGGGGTTATTTATAAAGAGCAGTTTTGAGACAAAGCACTAAAAATCCTCAGGAACAGGTTTCCTGAGTTGCTTCACTTTTAAGAACGTGACTGTATAATTGCTCTATATAGAGAAACCTCGTTGTGCCTGCTGCTGTATTAATATAGCTTGACATTTTCCATTTGTAGAATGGTATTGAGCTGATCACATAAGATCTTGTGTGATACAAAGAGAATAACAAAAGTGATAGAAATTGCATTTTAAAACATTTCAATGATAAAAAAGGAAAACTAGTTGGCATTTGAATTCCACGTGGGCCTCTGCTCCTTTATAACATTAGCTAGAACAACTTACAGCTTTCTTTCACTTCTAGGTTTTTACATGTTTGTTAAATTGTTTGTATGGTTTTCAAAAAAACAAAAGAAAAACAAACTGGGACTGAGAAGTCGTACTTTTTGTTTGTTCACCTTATTAAAAATATTGTTTAATGTGCAGTGTTTATTTTACTTGAACATCAAAATATATTTTAACCTATATAATTTATAAATGGTTTGTTGGAATTATTTGAGAAAATGATGAACTGTTATCTCAAACCACTGACCGGTATATCTTTCTGTGTCTAGTCATCACCCATACTATTTACTTTATTCTCTTTTGTATGTGTCTGTTTATTCACGTAAATCAAATACTACATAAAATATACAATAGTTTTGTTTTTTTTGTTTGTTTTTTTCAATCCTTTATTTTTGACTGGCAGAGTAGTAAATATATATCATTAGACAAAGGTTCAACATATCAAAAACAAGACATGAACAGTGTTACATATCTCAAGAATCCGCAACTTATCAAACAAATTGGGACGCAAAATAAAGCGAGCTCTGAGATACTGGTAATTATCTGAACCGCCTGAGGCTTTTTATTAACAACCCGTCAGGTTTTTCATATATAATATTTATATAATTTTCCACGTGACCCGCACTCACTGCTTGCGGGTTTGAAAAACGCCTGGGTGCAAACTCCGACCTTCAGAATATATAGAACCTTGTTGAAGTATACTCGCAGGACTCAGTAGTATTTCTAATCGTGCTTATTTATTGAAGCATCAAATATTAAAAAAAATTTTTTTTCGACGTTTCAGTCCTATCTGGACTATTTTCAAGACCAGGGTCTTGAAAATAGTCTAGATAGGGTTGAAACGTCGAAAATTTTTTGTCCCCAAATCCCTAGTCACCCCCGTCCCCAAAAAAGGCTTGGAGCACTCTGATTAGTGGGTTTAAGCCATCCAATCAGAGTACTCTGACAGGTAAATGAATAGACTGACAGGTAAGTCTCCACATTTACCTGTCACAGCACTCTGGTTGGCTTGAAATCCACCAATCAGAGTGCTCTGTGTCATTTTACACAGTGTGGGAAAGCTCTTTGGAATTTTCCCACGCTGTGTAAAATGACACAGAGCACTCTGGCTGGATTTTAAGCTAACCAATCAGAGTGCTCTGTGTCATTTTACACAGCGTGGGAAAATCCCAAAGAACTTTCCCACGCTGTGTAAAATGACACAGAGCACTCTGATTGGTTAGCTTGAAATCCAGCCAATGAGAGTGCTCTGTGTCATTTTACACAGTGTGGGAAAGTTCTCTGGAATTTTCCCACGCTGTGTAATTTGACTCATAACACTTTGATTGGTTACTTAATCCAGCCAATCAGAGTGCTCTGTGTCATTTTATACAGCGTTGGAAAGTTCTTTGGACCTGTGACAGGTAAATGTAGAGACTTACCTGTCAGTCTCTTCATTTACCTGTCAGAGAAATCCTTCCTGGGTCATGGCTGCCTACAATGCATCCAAACATTCAGTATCTCCACCATCTGCATGCAGACACTGAACTTTCCTCATAGAGATTCATTGATTCAATTCATCTCTATGAGGAAATGCTGATTGGCTATGTTTCAATTGTGCTGGCTCTGCCCCTGATCTGCCTCTTTGTCAGTCTTAGCCAATCCTATGGGGAAGCATTGTGATTGGATCAGGCTACCTCTTCTGCTGATGTCAGCAGGCGGTGGGCAGGCCTAAAGGAAACAGGGACAAAGTATGCAGCTGCAGACTTGAATACAAGTAAGATTTTACTATTTTTAGGGAGGCATGAGGGTACCAGGGTGGCTAGATAGGGTCAGGAATACATGTTTGTGTTCCTAACCCTATAGTGCTCCTTTAAGTATGGCCGGGCAGGTGGACTGTAATATAACTCTGCTTTCCTTAGGGACCCACATCTTTAACTTAAATGAATACTATAAGGTCAGAATTACTGTGTATTCCTGACCCCATAGTGTTAAAAAATACTGCTTGCCCACTATAAAATGTTTAAAATTCACTTTTATTCCAGCCCTGCACGGGTCTGCCATTGCTAGCCCTGTCCTGGTCTGTCTCCTTGGCGGACATTATCAGAATTGATGATCTTAGCCAATCCTATACTTTCCCCTAAGGAAAGCACTGGATTGGCTGAAATTGTAAATTCTAATGAGCTCAGCCAATGGGGCAATTAATCAATGCATCTCTATAGGAAAAGTTCAGCGTCTCCATGCAGAACATGATTGTGCAGCACTGACCCAGGAAGCACATCTAGTGGCTGTTTAAGTGACTGCCACTGGAAGTGTCCCTAGGCAGCAATGTAAACATTGCCATATCTCTGAAAATGCCTGCAGGGACTGACTATACTCACCAGAACAAGTACCGTATTTTTCGCTCCATAAGACGCACTTTTTTTCCCCTCAAAAGTGAGGGGAAATGTCTGTGCGTCTTATGTAGCGAATGTGAAGATTTACTTACCTGTCTTGGAGCGTGGGCCGGCTTCACAGCGCGCTCCGCCGTCCAGGAACTTCTATTTCAGGTTCCGGTTTCCGGCGGGACTGAAAGGAAGTGCACACTCAGTGTGCACACTTCCTTTCAGTCCCGCCGGAAACCGGAACCTGAAATAGAAGTTCCTGGACGGCGGAGCGCGCTGTGAAGCCGGCCCACGCTCCAAGACAGGTAAGTAATTATGGGACAATGGGAGGGGAGACACTATGGGACGAGGGGAGGAGGGACACTATGGGAGAAGGGTAGGGGGACACTATGGGAGAAAGGGAGGGGGAGACACTATGGGAGAAGGGGAGGAGGACACTATGGGAGGGAAAGTGCACTATGGAACAATGGGAGGGGACACTAATGGACAAGGGTAGGAGGGGTTAAAGAACACTATGGGACAGGGAGGAGGGGTTAACAATCACTATGGGACAGAGGAAAGGGGGGTTAAAGATCATTATGGGACAGGGGAGAAAAAAAAATATTCTGAACAAACTGTCCCATAGTAAGAAACACTATGGAACAGTTTGTTCAGAATATTTTTTTTTCTGTGTTTCCTCCTCTAAAAACTAGGTGCGTCTTATGGTGAGGTGCGTCTTATGGAGCGAAAAATACGGTACATTAAGCTGTAGTGTTTTTTTTTTGTGATTACAGTGTCCATTTACATTTTCAGTTTGCAAGCACTTGGAGTGTAGTGGAATTTGAATTTCAGAGTTGGATATTTAACAAGAGGTTGATCAATGCTATGATACTGTAAGCATCTTTACATTCTTGCTGCTAAAAAGCAGCTATTGCAGATAAACTTTTAATTATATGATTACTTGTCCCGGTATTTAAAGGAAAATTCCATGGGACATAACCACTTCAGCTCATTTTAGTCGTAATTGTGGCAGGAGTGCCATGACAATGTCCTATCATAAGGAGTCACACCAGTTTTACAGTGCTTCACTCAGGAGAGCTAATCAAATCTCATGCTGAGGAACTTTGGCTTTCAGGAGATGGTAGAGGCAGACTGCAGGCAAGAATACAAACCTGTCAAAGACAGTTTGACTCCTTACATTGGGGTAGGTTGCCAGGGCACTCCATCTACCATAACCACTACAGAGCGTAAAGTGTTCCTTTAACAAATATGTATTGATGAGCTGTAAAAAAATAATAATTTAAAAATAGAAAAAACACATCTCTTTATGATGCAACTGGGAGTTACCATCTTGGTTTTCTGTCAATTATTGTTATAAGATCTGTATTTTGCACTGACACTTAGCATTGTGGATAATGTTTTTATTAGTCCGCCATATATGCCTTGTGTGCCCAAACTTATTTGGATTCTGATGTCATTTGCTAAATTTTAATACAATTCTAAATGTAAATTAAGCATCACATGATAAATTTAACGCAAGTTACATGTGATTTCCCAATAGCAAGTATATCCTTATAGATAGAAAGAGCAATAGGTTGCCAATGTCAACAAGGATGTTTAATATTTACATAAAA